TGAGCATGGTCGCCTGGTTCCAGATGTTGTACCCTTTGATCATGGTAAGGATACAGGTCTTCGTCATGTAAAGTTCGCCACACCTGCATACGTGATACGCCGATGCGAGAGGCCATTCTACGAGTGGAGAGACGCGGACTTCTATCAATCATGCGAAGAATGTTCTCTCGTGTGTTTCTCATTTGTACATCCTCCCTTTCCGACTGCACAGAAACACTCGGAAGAGAACCAGTCTCACGCAATGTCTGGTGAATTCGCGTAAATACACTTCGAGATGGAATCCTTCGATCGGGAAAACGCCTTTGGTACTCTTCAACAGCAGCACGTGCATTGCCACCGCAAAATCCATGCACAAAATGCATATCACAATACTCGACGTGTGAAAACACAAAAGGCATTTCAGGAACTCATCACACAACTAATTTACCACCCATTCACGACCCCCCCCGAAACGTAATCTGTAGGCAGCGCATGAGCTTACGCTAGTGTGACTCGCGGCACTCAAGGACAAACAGATAAGGGTCTCAGCTGACAGGTACGTATACTTTAACATAAGGAACACCCTCCCGAAGTTTGGCACATTCCTCCTGGGACACCCTGTATATTAATTTTTTAGTCTTAAATTTAACTTTGTAACTGATGCAATAAATTGTTATATTTATTGTATTTGATTATTTAGTTGTCATGGAATTTTTAGGAATGAAAATATTGATGTTACAATGCTCTTAATGTTTATATATGGCTAAACCATTCTCACTATAACAGAAAACCAGTTAAATCATTTTGAAATATAGATTAAGAAAAGAGTTATTAGTTATATAAAAATTATGTTGGACATTGACCATGGTATTAGGTGCATTTAAAATACGCTGCATTCCAGAAACTGGATCCACTTCCATCATGAGCATTCAGCTTTCAAAATGTAGTACGTTTTAAATATACCTAGGACAATGTACAGTTGTCAGTGTAATACATGATGCATACATCAAATGTATACCATTTTACTGTAATGTTACCCATGAATTAAAAAATAACAGGAATGAAAACTAAATGTATTTAATTAAGTTGTATGATAAAATGTTTATGACCTACATTTTACATATGTTCAGCAAGGGCATCATGAGTGAATGAGCAGATATAATTTGTATTTAATTTCAGTCCACATTTTCAAAATCAAGTCAGGGGTAACTGTCACCACTGCTTCTCTTATCCTCCCACCAATTTTGGCTAAGTGGTAGCTGTAGGTGGCATTTACACAGTGTCATTAATATACTCCCCCCCCCCCCAAAAGAATCGAGGGGAGCAAGATCAGGTGAAGACGGTGGTAAAGTGATATGTCCACCCCTTCCAATCCATTTCTCTGGAAACTTGCATTTTAAGAAACCACACTTCCTTGTGAAAATGTGGAGGCATTCTATCTTGTTGGAACAGCATGTCTAGGTACACTATGCCAGTCACTGTATATTCACCAATGAAGAAAGGTCTAAACACAGAGAAAGAGTCTCAGCACTTTTTGTTTAGACAAAGCACAAGACAAGGTCGGCTTTGGACTGGTTCTTGTATGTTCAGTTACTTGATGAGGCCAAATTCTCAAATTATGTCAGATAAAATTTTGTAATAAATGGAATGTGACTTCATCACAGGTGACAATTTTTTACCGTAGATGTTTGTCATACTCAAGTCTTGAAAGATATTCACAGCAAAATGTGTAGCAAACTTCTTTGTCTTGGCAGTTACATGATGCAACAGTTTGTACCTATAACTTCTAAATTTAAAACATTTCTGAATACTTTGGTGCACTGTTATGTGTGGCATGTTTAATTGTCAGACAGCATACCTGGTTGATTCGTTGGATTTTGAGTGAAAGCTGCTTGAACTTCATTCACCCTAGCATCAATAACTGGTCATCTCTCTGGGCCTTTTCCATTACAAATGCTGCCAGTCTGATCACATAGTTTATACCATTTGTAAGGCAACATTTTTATTGGTGATTCCCTTCCAAGCACTGTATGAAATCTCCATTGTACTGTTACTGAAGACCTGAATGCATGAAATCACAGCGTACGCATACCTATTTTTACTTGAGACATTATTTTTACTGAGTACAGTGCTTCAGGTGAAGATTTTAAAACTCAGGTGTCTCAGATTACTATAAACTTGAACATGCAACTTATTCAGTTGCATGTAGTTTTCATTCTCATCCTGTTAATTCATTAGCAATGTAATAGTAAAATGATACACATTTGGTGTGTACATTATTGTATTTATGTAATGAATAGAGGATCCAGATTTATTAGTGTTGGTGGCATGTTTACAACTTAATAATTTATTTGCAGGCCTTCTCGGTTTTCTTTATTTGCATCGCTCTCACATCAGATATGATCTGTTTTTTCTTCATCCCAGTCCACTGGCTCTTCTTTGCAGCCAGCACATATGTATGGGTTCAGTATGTCTGGCACACAGGTAATATCCTGTTGCATTCTGACTCTATGAATAGTTTTATATAATAGAAAGCTCAATTTAAAGCCTGATTTTAAGTATCGTGTTACTATTTTTGTCACATATTGTTGGACAGATGGAGAGAAAGGAACATTTTGTATAAATAAATTTGGGTAAGAAGTATAAGAGCTCAGTTTTAAGTAAACTAGCAACAATTAAGTGATAATTTCATTTCTTTTTTATGAATTCTGAGAGGAGGAAAGGTGGTGGAAATCCACCATCCTTGTGCAGACTGAAGAAATCCTGTATGATTTTAAGTACCTAGGAAGAAAAGTGTCTCAATTTTAAAATTTGAAGTGGTCACTTTTTTATCAGTATGTTTCAAAAGCTTATCGTAATCAAAATATTCAGGACTGAAAACTATAACTGACTTTTGACATCACTGTATTAATGGATTGCATTGCTGCTTCATATTGCACCAGTGCCTTATGTCTGAATTTGCATTATATCATGGTTTCTTAATCCAGTTGACACTATTTCAGATGCAAAAAAATTGTATCAAGACATGATGTATAAGATAATGTTATTTGATCCTTGTAGTTTTAAATATTATGATGAAGCCATAAATTCTTGATGTGTCTGGACTGTAAATATGCTGGTATCCATTGTCTGATAAGCTATTTAAAAGATGTGCTGGACAGACCATGTAACTACCACAGCCTCACTGAGTTATACACTCCAAAGATCAAATAAAGTCTTCTCACTCTTCACTAGCTGTTGTTGGTAGTGGCTTCTAACAGCGGACATTCCCTTTCCTCTGGGTTCCCAAACTCTCCTTGGCCTCAGCTACCAGCTTCTCATTTCTCACAACTGCAACTCTCAACTGACTCCACCTTACTACTAGTCCTCGTTATATTGCGCCGGCATGGACCATACAGAAAATGTCTGTTCCATTATTCCATTATTGCCTGTTCTCTTGTTCCCGGGGAAACAGCATGTCCACAGAGCTGTTCCTGAGCAACGGCTGTTGTACTGTTGCCTATATACACAGCTGTTATTTGGCAGTGGGACTACACGTCACATTATGTAAGACAGAGCATATAATTTTGTTTGCACTTGAGACAAGAATGAAGTTCTGTATCCTTGATTCATTTGATTTGTTAATTGTAACAGAGTGTAACCTTTTAGCACAAAATAGTGTCTGATAAAGCTGTTTAAAAATATATAGGACAGAACATCCTTATGTTCTTAAGATAAGTTTCAGTCCTGTATTGTGTGTGTATGTGTATCCAACTTTAATTGTACCAGTGACTAGTATAAAGCATTCACATGATATGGAAGAAAGAGTAGGCTTCTTCTCCTAAGGTAAGAAAGAAGTTGGCTTTTAAATTAATCCTCATATTGATCTGTAGCTTCTCATTTTTTTGCTTCATAAATTGTCGTTCACATACATGGATACAGTCAAAACATTGTCTGTTTCCAGAAGCCGTGTATTAACTGAAGACAAGTGGATCTCTCTCCGTCCTAAAGACAAGTAAAGGATTATATTGGACTTTTTAAAAGAAATATATTTTAGTTGTTTAGAAAGATGGGACACATTTAAGAAGGAACAACCAAAGGTTCCATTAACTTTTGGTACATTAAAATGTACTTAGTATATACCAGAATATGTTATACAACAGATAGAGCCAAAAATATATAAATAGTCAGCTGTATAATATCATAGCACATAGGGGAAATTGAGTTCAAGAAACATCGTACATGACTACCAAGAGAGACCGTAAAAGAGGTTCATTACAGTGTTTGCATACAGTATCATTTCCTTGGAATGTCACACATGTTTTGGTGTGGTGTGTCATAGTGACACAAAATCAAATGCTTTATATACAAGGTGGTTCAAATATGACTGGGACTGATTTGTGTGTAAACAAGCCGCATTGCGCAGTAGCTGTGCGACCTTGAGAGAGTAAAGCCACAACCTCCAACCTCCCTCCTGTTCAGGTTAGAACCTGTTCAGTCCTGTCTGGGAGTTGCTAGAGTGATGAGCAAACAGAAGGTACTGCGGAGCATGGAACAACGCAATGTGATCAAGTTCCTCATTGGAGAAAACGTCTTGTCCGCTGAAATTCACCACAGACTCCAACAACAGTATGGGGAAGAGTGTCTCTCATGGACACACATGTTTGAGTGGTGTAAGTGCTTCAGAGAGGGCAGAGACCACATGATCGTTGGCCACAGACATCCGTCACCGAGCCAAACATTGATCATGCAGACACTCTTATTCATGAGAATAGGCGCGTCACTGTCAAGGAACTTGGAGTAATGCTGTCCATCAGTGTTGGTAGTGTATAAGACATCATGAAATACCACCTGCACTATTGCAAGGCAAATGCACGGTGGGTACCACACACTTTGATGGACGTGAACAAAATGGTGCACATGCAAGCTGCCAGTCATCTCCTACAGCAGTTTGAAGACAAAGGTGATGCATTTTTGAAGTCTGTAGTGACAACCGATGAAACGTGGGTGCACTACTTCATTCCTGAGCCCCAGCAGTCATCACACAAGTGACGGCATACCAGCTCTCCCAAACCCAAGAGAGCGCAGTGGAGCCATTCGGCAGGAGAAGTGATGGCAACTTTCTTCTGGGACTGGCAGGGGGTTATCCCTGTAGACTTTCTGACAGATGCCAGAACAGTCAATGCAGCTTATTACTCAGACCTCCTGGCAACAGACGTGAAGGAAAAGTTCCGATCTAAGCGGAAGACAGGTGGAAAACGGGTAGCCTTCCTTCAAGACAATGCACGCCCCCATACAGCCAAAACAACAATGGAAACCCACTGGAAATTGAAATGGAACCTTCTGACACATCTACTGTACAGTCCCGATTTGGCCCCTAGGTATTTCTACCTGTTCGGAAGGCTCAAATCAGACTGCAAGGCATGCAGGTTGTGGACGACGCCGTCATCCAGACTGTTAGGCAGGGGATATGCCGCCAACCACGAGCGTTTTTTGAAAAAGGCATCAGGATGCTTCCAGAACATTGGAAAAAATGTGTTGACTCCGGAGGGGAGTACATTGAAGACTGACATGTGCGAGTAAGTGTTTGGCAATTATGGTTTTTAAAAAAAAAATGAGTCCCAGTCATATTTGAACCACCTTGTACAGATGTCTGTAAAGAGTGTATCTATTAAATCAGTAGTGTTTGTATATTTATATTAGTATTTGTGTATGGTGATGTAATACAACCAAGATATAAATATTTATCTATATTTTGTTTCAGAAAAGGGTGTTTGCCTTCCTACTATTATCCTATGGTTACTGTTTGTATACATAGAAGCAGCGGTTAGATTACGAGACCTACGGCATCTTCCATTTCATTTGGACTTATGCAGGCCATTTGCAGCTCATTGGTCAGTATGAAAATTTAATGTTACATATTATTTTATATATAAACCATCTGAAAACAATGTCCTAAGGAAAATATTTGAACCGAAGAGAAAATATGTGAATATAGTAAATATTTCTGTATCTGCATTGATTTTTTTTTTTTAATCTTAATGCTCTGTGTATAATTAGAAGTTAAGGCACAGACTTGAAGATAATGCACAGTTCATCAACCACGTTAGATATTACCAATTTAAAAGAATATTTTTACAAATTTCATAAATTCTTGTTGTATTCAGGTTGTCATATGGGGATTATCTCATTACTTTCAGTCTTCATCGAAATTATTATGCCATTAATAAGAATTTTATTTGAAAATTATCCATTCAGTAGTTTAAACTGAGGAAGGTAATCAGAGCAGAGCGAAAATGATGGTGAAGTTGATTTTACAACATATTTCTGAGCTAGTTGCATGTGGCATGTTGTCATTTTATTTTATGGAGTTGCAGCATTGTAGTATATTCAAAGAAGTTTATAACCTAATTAAAAATAAGTGGTTTGAACCAAAGGAAAAAAGAATAGTGCTTATATTCTTTGGCAGAATTAAACTGACAGTAGCTTGTTTTGTGAAGTTTTAGGATGTAACATAAGGACAGGTAACAGTACCATGTGTATGGTTGGCAAACAAGCAGTATTTATGTTACCTGATTGTCACTGACTAATGATTATGGGAATGACTTCAGTAAAGATAAATAAATGTACCTAAATTGGACATAGCCTTTCACAGAAGTTTGCGTTGAGAGTGGTATATTATAAACTGAAAGCCATGACATGTAAAAATAATGAAGACACTAGTTGAGTTTGACAACATTTTTAGAAGAGCTGTGCTTACCACACTAAAGGAACATATACAATACCAACAAAACTTGCATGAACAGAATTTGTGGAAAAGGGTGTGTGCGTACTAACGTACTGTTGAAAACCAGGGCCAGTTTAACCTTTTGATCCAGATACTATACTGCAGTAGTATTTTTTGTGCCCCACCTTTAATTTATATATTGAAATGTTTAAATCTTCATAGCTATTTATGGGTATGAGATAATATTGTATTGTAGCGTGTTTTGTGTGTCACGCTACAAATAAATTCACGTAGGTCTCAAATTAAGTAGAACCTTTTTTGTTCTTCACGCTTACACAATCACGAGTACAACTACTATTCACTGTGGCACCTCAACTGTCTTCTGCGGCGGATGTTCCACAACAGTCTACTTCGAAGGCTGGATAAAGGCTAACTTCTTAGATGGCTGCTATCCCAAGACTGGCACCAATGTAGCGTGTTTTGTGTGTCACGCTACAAATAAATTCACGCCATTTTCTGATATAGCGAATTTATTCTGTTCGCTTGCCTTACACACACTTTACAAACCTTTGCTCTTGCAGTGTTACAATTACTGCTTACAATATCTCGGCGATACTGGACTGTCCTCCCTGGCGGTTGTTCCAAGACTCTCTTGTAGCGCAACACACAAAACACGCTACATTGGTGTCAGTCTTGGGATAGCAGCCATCTAAGAAGTTAGCCTTTATCCAGCCTTCAAAGTAGACTGTTGTGGAACATCCGCCGCAGAAGACAGTTGAGGTGCCACAGTGAATAGTAGTTGTACTCGTGATTGTGTAAGCGTGAAGAACAAAAAAGGTTCTACTTAATTTGAGACCTACGTTAATTTATTTGTAGCGTGACACACAAAACATGCTACATTGGTGTCAGAAGTGGGATATTGAACTTAAACATGCAACGAACAAATTGAGTGCACCGAGAAATGGATTCACAGCAGATGATGGAACTCCTGCTGAAGAAAATCAGCGCTGGTCAAGAAAAAACAGACGAGATGCTGAAAGAATTCAGAGCCACGGAGGCCAAGACGGAGGCCAATAGAAAAGCTGACACAGATGAAAGGAAGGTGGAGAAGGAAGAATTGCTGGCCTTAATTGAGGCCAACCAAATAAAGGCCGATGCCCGACATAAACAGATGATGGCCGAGCAGAAAGCATGGCAAAAAGAAATGGCTGCCATGCGAGCCAAGAGGTTGAAAGCTGATATGAACTCCTGGTAAGAAGAGCCGATCTCTGTAGAAACGAAACCTGAGGCGGCAGAACATCGAGAGGTCCCCGTAGACGACGCCCCGAGAATACTGGTTGGAGAACCGAAGGAGAGGCGTAGGGACCAGAAACTGGCCGCGGAGCGCTGCTGCCAGAAACCGAAGGATGCAACGCGGGTAATTCATGGACCCCAGGAGAAATTGGCCATTGCCCGAGTGACAACATGCCGTACGGAAGTGGCACGGCAGGAAAAAAACAGTAAGACATCCCGTCGCGCGACAGTGGCACGACAGAGAAACAACTTCAAGAAGGAAACTCCCAAGGGAACCTTCGGATGCCAGCTTAATGAATTGGCCGCCGACTACAGAAGGACAACACACCGGGCGAATGTGGCACGACCCAAGATAGACATCCTCAGGAACACCACCCAGAAAAAGCATGGACCCCACGAGAGGTTGGGATTCTCCAGCAAGGGGACGACCTTCCGTGCCAGAGTAGCACGGCGCATCAGGATCCCCAGAAAGAACTGGGTCAGGAACAACATACTGAGGGGAAACGTGACAGGATACACGCCCGGGAGGAGTCATCAGACGAAAAAGGAATGCAGCAAGGGCGTAAGGAGCCGAGACGTAGAAGAGCCCCTACATCCGAGGAAAGGGAGGAAAACCGCAAACGGTATAGGAGGACGGAGTGGAAGACAGCAGCCGCGACTGGAAAAGACAGAATCTGAGACCGGCCTCAACTTATTTGTAGCGTGACACACAAAACATGCTACAGTATTTTTTCTGGCAGAATTGAAGAAATTCCGATTTTAATGCAAGGGTTATTGGGAAAGTAAGTGCCAGTGAACTGTTAACAAAATAAGAAATGAGAACAAAATTGCATTATATAAAGAAATATGTACATACTTCTCAACATAATCACCACCAGAATTGAGACACTAGTGATATCGGGGAGCAAGTTTCTATATGCCTATATCAAAGAAGTCTGCTGCCTGTGAGCTTGACGTAAGTAAACAGATGGTAGTCACTCACAGCGCTGTAAGGAGGATGGTCAAACAACTCCAGTTGAAATGCTTCAGCAGTGCTTTAATGCTAGCAACTGTATGTGGAGAAGCACTACACCTGATGTCAGCATTCCACGCCTTTTGTTCCAAATGGCCCTACACAGTTTCTATAGTGTTTCACAATACAAAACATGGCTGCCATCACAGGCAGCAGACTTCTTTGACACAGGCATACAAAAGAATTATTTCCTGATACAAGTGCCTCAATTCTGCCCTGACTACATTGAGAAGTAACTTAAGTATGTACATATCTTTTGTAATAATAAATTTTTTTTATCATTGAGTGTTTTGTTAACAGCTCACCATAGGTTACTTTTCAAGTAGCCCTTGTAATTTGCCTTATTAGCTGAACATCCAGTAGATGCATGAAGATAGCAAGCAACCAAATTAGAAGTGGAGATCTGTGTGATAGCTCTTGAAACATCTCTCCAAACACAATTTTACTTCACATTGACTGCATCAGTAAATTGTTTCTTTTCATTTTCTGTGTTTTGAGCATGACTCATTGCCTCTGTGTGCCTTCTCTCCTGTGATGGGAATTCACTATGAGAAATGATGTTCCGTCAGTCTCTCTGGAGGTGGTTTGGTTGAAGGACAGCCATGTACAAGGCAAGGGACAGCAGACCCATGTTTCTCTATGAGACCTTGTATCAGAAGGATCCTGAATTTCTGAGCATCTGTTCCCTTACTATTTGGCATGGACTATTGTATTATGAAATTACAGCTAATTACATTGAACGGCCTTTTGAGTAATTTCATGTAGCACTTAGAACCTTCCTTTTGCTGAAGCAAATAAGGCTGTAGCATCTAATCCCTAATGTCTGTATCAGATATGTTTCCAAATATGTTCACTGTATCCAAATCAGATATGTCAAACTGTGGACCATGGATACCATGAAACATTTCTTGTACTGCAGGTAGCATGCTGATATATTGCCTAACAAACTTCATTGACACCCCTCCCATTCCTACCCCTTGTTAATCATGTGTCACAGTTGTTAACTTCATTGCCATCATCTACACCATCACAGTCTTTAATTCTGTGTTCCAGGAGTTACTAATTGGGTGTAATTATCGTCAGAGTCACATGAACTACACTGCTTCATAACGTCACTGTCCAAAACTTCATTTACAGTGCCCTTAATTTCAGACTCCATAAGAACGTGGCTGCGTGAAGGCCCGGCTATGATGACTGCGGTTTGAGACATTTATATTAGAGTCTGAGTCATCAGCTACATGATAACTAAGGCTATTGACATAAATGAAGGTTGCATTCATTTTGTCATGGTTTCATGACAATCCAATTTCAACAGAGTATTTTGTTCCCCAGATAGAGGGCAGAGAAGTTAAGCTTGCAGTAGAATGTATGATGCACAGGACACAGCAAATAAGGAATGTAAATACGTGATGTATTGTGTGAAACCATGCTGTAGGATTAAAACATCTGTATTAGTGTAAATTTCAAATCTTATACTGTTGTGTATGTTCTGCTGCATAAACTAATACAAACTGTGGTTATTGTGTGGAAGAAATTAAAATAATGGGTTGTATAATTCATATCTTACATATAAAAATAAAATTATTGCAGGAAACTGTGTTTATAGAGGAGTTTTTTTTTAATTTCTTTGTTTCTGAATGTGGGGTGGTATCTTATTGAAGGGCATGTGATATTGGAGTAAATGTGTTAATTTTATTTAAGTACACAGGTGTTGCTTCAGAATGCACATGCTGTATGCTGTGTTTTTTTTTTGCTAATTTTATGAAATTTTTGTACAAGTAAACCTGTGTGTTTCTGTTTTTCACTTTTCCGTTGTTATGCTCTTCCCCATACCAGTAGTAATTGATAATTGAGAATTGCTTAAGATCACTTAAACTACTGGATTTATTAGCTTACAAATACATGTTGTGTTTCCATTTTTAATTAAACTCCTTATGCTTAAAACTTATACATGAAGCATTTTATCAGAGATGCTTCTTAATATTAAGAGGCACATTTTGAAGAAGAAAATAATTGTCTGGTTTTAATTTTCAGTATCGGATATCCAGTAGTCACATTGGGATTTGGATTTAAAAGTTATGTAGGGTACAGAATGCGTCAGGTACGTATTGTGACTTCATTTAGTATTTTTTAATTTTTAGAAAGTTATATGTAGAAGCGAATGGAAATTGTAGTTATTTGCACTTTATTATGTATTTCCAGAGAAAGCAGAAGGATGTATCAAAAGAGAATGAGTTTTATATGCAGCTTCTGCAACAAGCATTACCATTAGAACAGCAACAGACACAGCAGCCATTGCCTCAGCAACAGCAGCAACAGTCCTGCCACAATACTAGTCCAGAAAAAAGTAGAGGTAAACCATGTATCAGTCTGTCAAAATAGGTATTTGCAGGTGTGATTCCCTACCTCCCCCATTTCCCAGATATTGGAGAAAATAAAAATTCAGGAGACGAAGGAAATATACCAAATATTAATCGTAAAAGTTAAAAAGTGTTTAAAAATTATTATTCTCCCCTGTAATTTTATATTAATCGTAAAAGTTAAAAAGTGTTTAAAAATTATTATTCTCCCCTGTAATTTTAGGGTTATCAGTAAAAGAAGTATTAAACTGCTTCACCATAGGTGTATAAGCAAATCTGCTGCTTCCAAGCATACCTGTGCTGGATAATTCTGGTGTTGCCCATGTATGCTTCTCACATTGTACAACACAAATTAAAAACATGTCTGAACATGTTTATTTACAGTATAAATATTAATGTCTTTATGTGGTACCAAGACTGAAGGTGCAGTCACCCATATTAATTAACCTTTAGTATCATGAACTGGTGGTTTAAATGTCTGGTACTTGTGGCCACATTTCAATATGCTACCTTCCCTCTCCTTTGCACTTGAGAGTATGATGTACTTAAAATGTGGTGAACTGAAGTTTTTCTCAGAAGTGATGAGTGATATATTCTAATAAGAAAACTTTTTGCAGGAGGTCCATCTTCTGTAGAAGTAGGAATCTCAAATGGAATTGTGCACCACACAGCTCCAGTACCTCAGACCTCCACTACAAAAAATAATCACAGAAAATCCCTGGACAAAGGGGAACGAGAAAAATGTGTGGAGGTTGAAAATAAATCATCCTCATCCGAAAAAGCTGTCAGATACTCACATACCAATGGCAGCATTCACACAGAACTAGAGTTCATCGAGAGGGTGGGGTATGTAAAGTATGTAAACTTGTTAACTTTATCCAGGTTCCTACAGTACATTTTCTTTTCAAAGTATAAAACAATTACCATTAGTTGACCATACATAGTTAGAGTCAAAATCTGACAAATCTGCTATGATCTGAGCAAGAGAAAGTTGTTGGCAGGGGCCTGGGAACTGAAAGAAGCTACTTCAATTATGTACAGATAAAGCCACATCTCTAGTCCCCAAACTAGCACAAATTCTGATAGAAATCCTTGCTGTAAGCATAACATCTAATGTGCTGTCATTTACTCTACTAACCTGGATAAAAAAATTATCCTTACAGAGTTTAACTCTTTGACTGGCGCAGGAGCATTTTTGTGCCAGGACGATGCCAGCCATTGGCATCTTTTAGTGCTTTGATACACTCTTCCCTTCTTTGCTGTCTTGGCACTCATCGACCAAAGACATATTTATGATAGTTTTTGTGCATGGTTGTAAAGAACCCTTGTTGACTATGTGGGGGTCTATATTACTGTCAGAATCCTCTGAGAAGGAAAAGGTCAGAAAATATTTCACATTCATTCAGTTTCACTGTGGCTTCTCACAGCAAGTGTCGGAGTGTTCCTACAGACCAGCTGGAAAGTACTGTGAACGAGATTTGTGCTGATGATGAAAGTGGCAATGAAATGATTCCTGAATTCGATGAAGTTGATAGTGACAATAATACAGTGATAGACAATGATCCACAAGACAGTAATCATGAACATTTAGCCACCACGAGTGCGGTACCTGACACGCCTATCTCATGGACGTACGGAGACATTGTACCAACAATAGTTCCATTTACTAGTAGTCCTGGGATCAAAATTGATATAACACATAAAATTCACCCCTTTCCATGGATTAAAATTCTTCTGGATGACGACTTAGTAAATCAAATCACAACTGAAACCAATCGCTATGCTCACCAGCACTTCAACACACATGAGTTAGCTCCTCACTCTCAAGAACACAATTACAAATATGTCACACCAGATGAAATGTGGACATACTTAAGAATTGTGTTCATGATGGGAATTGACAAACGCCCCGAAATCGAAGAATATTGGTCCACTAGGCCCCTATTTCACACTCCATGGTATGGACAAAAGATGTTTTTGCGGCGGTTCCAACAGATCTCGAAATTTCTTCATTTTGCAGACAACGATGCATGACCAGCTGAATGTGAAGATCGCTTGTATAAAGTTAGGCCAATTATAGACTCAGTGAGGAAATTTAGAAACACATATAATCCTGAAAAGGAAGTTGCAATAGATGAGGGAATGATCGCTTGGAAAGGATGTCTTATCTTCCGAGTATGTATGCCTGGCAAACCTGATAAGTACTGTATAAAGGCTTATCTTGTTTGTGAATCAACAAGTGGATATATTTGGAATTTTGACATTTATTGCGGAAAATCAAGACCTATAAAGAAATTAGTTGTCGATCTGTTGGGGCCACAGCTTCTAGATAAAGGGTATCATCTCTACCACGATAACTATTACAATGGTATAGAATTGTGTGAGATGTTATTACAGAGAAATACCTATGTGTGTGGTACCTTCAGAATGGACAGAGAAGCTCCTAAAGAACTAAAGGATGATGTAAAAAATTTGAAAGAAGGGAAATCTGTGTTTACTATTAAGGGGCAGGTTCTCATACAGGTATGGAGAGATAAAAGAGACGTCAAACTTATCTCCACTCTTCACACAGCAAAAATCGTGGAATCTGCAAAAACGAATTGCAAAGAAGAAAAAATATGCAGACCAGAGGTAATTGGGGACGACAATAAACATATGAGAGGGGTTGACAGGGCCGATCAAATGCCGCATTATTATCCTTGTTCCCGCAAAACTGTAAAGTGGACAAAGAAACTGGTGTTTTTCTTGTTGCAAATGGCAGCGTTGAATAGTTTCATTCTATTCAAAAAGAACACAACAAACGAAAAATATAAGAAGAGAAAATACAAATTCAAAGATTTTATATTGGACTGTGTAGAAAAAATGACAGAACCAAACAAACAATGTGGAAAGGGAGAAGAGTCAAGCAATGAAGTGGATGACGAATCTATTGCTTCAGACTCAAGTGCAGTCACGCCTCTGCCCGCGACCTTGAAAAGACCCCCAGTGAAGGACCCAGCAAATCATCTAGAGGGTGGCCTGAAAATACACAAAATGGTCCATGTTCCTCCCAGTCACAAGAAGAAGAATGGTGCCATGAGAAAGTGTCGCGTGTGTGCTAAGCACAAGATTAGAAAAGAAACAAGTGTCATGTGTGAGCTGTGGTGTGGCTCTTTGCAAACTCTCATGTTTTAATGTTTATCACACAAAGAAATACTACTAAAAAGGTATGAAAAGACGTTTTTTGCATAAAATATTGTCATTTTATTAGTTCCTGAAAATTTCGTTATTAAAAACCAATTTTTGTTGAAGTTATTTAAAAGAAAGTAAATGCATGCATTTTAGCGACTTAAAGCTTAAAGGGTCTGCCAGGACAGGGGTGGCATTTAAATACCCTTTGCACCAGTCAAATAGTTGCACACTTTTTGAATCCTGCATAATTCCATCCTATGAAAACTTGTTTTAACATCTTAGAAGACTATCTTGTTTCTTGTTACTTTGGACCCAATTAATTGCCTTCTGCGTCAGTTCTCTGATGCAAAAAGTTGGGTGGACTCATGGTTACATATTTTCATTGTAATGTCACATAACACCTTGAGCTGGTCCCAGTGACCACTCAGTTCAGTATGTGCTATTATTCTGCCATAAGTTAGTCCCACACACACAAAAAAAAAGAATAAGCTTAAGGATTGTGGGATAAAGTGAGAAGTCAAGAAGTTCAGGAAAGAATATATTGAGCAATGCATTTCTGAGCTAAGGGATGGTGTATTCAGCAAAGAATGTAGCTTGACTATGGAATTGTTGTATAGGATCTTTTCTCCCTAGAGCATACTGCTGGGGAAAAATGAGTGTTCAGAACTGCAGTAGACATGGACTTCTTTGAAGTACTGTATTTGTAATTTAACAGATTTTTCTACAGCAATGTATGAATTTAAGATGGCCCTCAGTTTTTCAGACTGCAGAGTAGAAGTAGAGCTTGTATATTGTTTGAGTAAATTTGTTAGCATGTTGATGTACTGTTTAGTTCTTTTCAAAGGTATAATGAGGAAACGGTTAATTTACTCTGTGTGATGTCTGATTAAGGTAATACAGTTTTGGTTGACTTANAATCCCAGAAGACTGCTTTCTTCATAGTCACCGCCGTGAAAGCCTCAAATCTTACTTATTGATTCATGGTTCAGTAAATTATGCTTTATCATGTGCATGGGTTTTATGGCATTAACTAGTAGGTAAGAAACTATTCCAGCATTTTCTTGGATAAGTTAAGGAAAATGATGAAATGCTTTAGTTATTGTAGCTGGTCTCCAGGCTCCCAAATATGAAGCAGGACTGCTCAACTGTAGGCTATAATTTTCATGCAATATTTTTTTATAGGTCAGTTAATGACTTTGATGAAAATGAAGTCGAAAAAGATAAGAGTGTGAAAGGGTCTGTACAACCTTTGAAAAGCAACTCTTCCAGCAAATGGAGTAACAATCAGGCACGTGAGAATGCCGTCAACTCACAACGTGAAAAGAAAAACAAAGCAAACAGAGAAAATGCTGACAGTGCAAATCATCATAAAGATGAATACTGCTTAAGGTAAAATGTCACCGTTGATTTCTGTAAAAAACTACGTTTTATCACTGCATTATTTTTCCTTATTCTCTTCAGAGGACCCATTTTCCTTCCCCACATTTTTTAATGCTCTGTTCAGGAAAGACTCCCAGAAACCATAAGTATATTTATGTTTAAAATTACCTGTGTCTTTTTGTTCTCTTTTTCCGTTCAACCGTATTATGAGAATTTATGAAGCCACGAAAATGCTCATTCTAACAGATACTCGTAAAATATAAAAATAATTGAAATGTGTAATTACCGGACATGCAGTGGCGCAGTGGTTTGAGACACTGCTACAAGCTGGAAGATTAAGGGTTCTTTGCACGATGAGGTCATTTGATTTTTCAATTGACCTTATCCTTCCAGCCGCATCATAGCCCTGGGGTCAGTGCAGCCTCTTAACAGAAATAAGTACCAGGAACCTTCTTGGGGCCAAAGGGTAGCTGGCACTTAAGGCTGACAAGCTCACTGCCATCTGTGAGCCGATTGTCTAAAAAATGTGGGAGCCTCAGCATCTGAACCCTGCACAGGAATAGCTTAATTTTTTTTACCTTTTATAAGAGGTGGCATCGGAAAGTTCCTGGACTGTTATTGTTGTAACTGCCTTGGTGAAAGAAGATAAGAGGGGAGACCAAGGTCGCACTTCCGCAAGCCTATGGCATCAGTCTGTCACGTGACACTGCGCTGTGAACAAGCATTGTCTTTACATGAATGCTCTTTTGATTTTGTATTTTGTTTTGTTTGCAATGGATGGTAAAATCAAGCAACGTATCTGCATCAAGTTTTGCGTGAAGCTCAGTAAATCTGCTGCTGAAACGTTTGAAATGCTTCATGAAGCTTTTGGAAAACATCCATTAAGTCAGACATCAGTTTCTGAATGGCATTCATGTTTCAAGGCTGGCTGAGCGTCAGTTGCAAGTGGTACTCATCAGCAGTAAGGAAAATGACTTCCACGAAGTTTTTGAAGTGTGAAAAAAACAGTGGGATCTCTGTAAACGTTCCCAAGGAGACTATTTTGAAGGAGATGGTAGCCAAAATGAGTAAGTTAAGCCAGCATTTCTTTTTGAATGTATTCCAGGAACTTTCCGATAGAACATCATATAATTCCAAGTTGATTGCCCAACTTCAAATTACATACAGTACAGTATGCCATTAAGGTTTCAATAATAATGTCAGTAAAACAATATTCTTCTTTGATGTGATTAAGTAGTGAAGAATAGTTTAACATTCTCATCAAAGAGCTGAAGATTTTCTTAAATATATATAAACCTCTTATACTCACAACTAACTGCAAATTAGTTGCTGACCTTTATGAAAAAAAGTCCTGCCCACTCTTTATTGCATGCTCACAAGTCCCACCCACATTCCTCTCGTAAATCACTCCCTGTGCCTATGTGACTTGTATCAAATAGTAGTCATGTAACACACAAAGCAGTTTAAATCACAGTAACACTTAATGTACGTGCACCTTGTTATGGGTTGTAAGTGCCATGACTGGAGTACAGACAGCTCATTAATATAACATATGTAATAGATGGTTGTAAAACAACCATTATACTTAACTCTAAAAGTTCATATTGTTGTAATTTTTAGCCCGTTGCCGTGGTTCGACGTGTATGTTTCGTCAGGGATTTAAATCGTCTGGGGGGGTTCGACGTGTATGTTTCGTCCAGCTGCACACCTATGTTATAACGCCCATAATAATTGATGGTTTTGCTGTAGATTGTTAGATTTTTCGCTGGCCTGTTGTCAGTGGAACAGAGTATAAATAAGACACGACTTTATCTGCGCCTAGTCATCGTTACATATGCCTGTCTTGCAGCAAAGTTCCTGTGGCTCTGGCGAGCGGTTCCTACGTCGTAGTCTTATGAAAGGCGTGTTTTCTTTGCTTTGAAGATATAAACAACAGAGACGTGATGTGTACTGTGTTTATCATATACTATTGCCCTGAGCTGGCCACTCTAACACACTCAATTGGAATTCTTAGAATAAAGGTTGTCCATAAGTTTATTCTCGCATGATCCATTGATTTCGCACAGTACAAAGGCCCAGTTCTTAGAAAAACGCCACAATTTAAGGCAGAACACTGTGGTCACCCCCTGAGACGATACGGATGTGTGTGGGGGAGGGAAAAAGAACTCATTCCTTCATGTATTATCGCGCCAGTTGACGCCATTTTATCGTACTGACCTTGGTGGTCGTTTCGAGGGATGACCATAAATATTTTTTTGAGCCAGCTAGGCTCTGCTTTCGTGCTCTACATACCAGCCAGTACTTAGAATAACTTCATGAATTCTGTGGTCACCCCTACGACATCTACAGCCGCCAAAATGGATGGAATATCAAAGGCATAGCAACAAACCCTTGTTATGATAACTCGTAACGTTGAATTTACTGCAGCTGACCTCACTAGCTTTACTGCTCACGGAAGGACATTTCCTTGAACTGTACCCCTCACGGGGAAGAGGATTAGGCCGTACAGAAGCTGTGTGGTTAAAAAAAAAGAGCAAAAGGAAAGATTCACAATATCGGAGCGAGGAATGGGGGCACCGTTGGGTTACACGAGTGCTTCAAGGCCTTTCTTACACTGCTCAAATAGATACCGGGCGCTCATATTATAAGGTAAGGTTATAAAAACCATCTTTTAAGATCATTTTAGTGAAAGTTTCATGCTTCAAGGCGTACCATTCACTGCTCAAATACTAAAAAACCTGCTTCCATTGAAGATATAAAGGGCGCTCATATTATAAGGTAAGGTTATAAAACCACCTTTTAAGATCATTTTAGTGAAAGTTTCATGTTCCTATCTCATAGAATTTAAGAACAATGATGAATAAATAATTTTCGAGCAAAATTTAAATGGCCGGCTAAATATATTACCGCAGGAGACGCAGCCGCGGAATTTAAATTACCGCGTCAAAGGGTTAGGTTACCATCTTTATAACATGTGGATAATATTGTACTTAAGCATCCTGTTGTTTTAATATTGTCACTTTTCTGTGGTCGTGGCTAATAACAGGTTCTGGATTGGATGATTGAATTTATTAACACCTTCTTTTACATTCACTCTCAGTCACAATCACAATACATCTTCAGCTCAATTCTGATCTGATCTATTCGGGTCTGAACCGTGACTGACTTGAACAATGACTGTCTTCTGCTGTGACTGACTTGGTTAAGAGTAACTTTATGAATGACTTCTGATTTGCAACTGACTCATTTCTGATTTATGATTGAATTAGTTCTTGTTTCACATTTCTGCTGCAACTCCTGTTAATTTATGAAAGAATCACAAATGATGAATGAATTTTTTCTTATTTGAACGGCCACTTATATACTGTCGCGTATCCTAGGAAAATGTTTGATGCTTGTTTGTATCCATGGAAATGTTAGTTGAATGTTCATTTACATGGGAATGTTTGTTTACACAGAAACTTGTTTTGTACCAAGTTGTTTCCTAGAAACAGGTCTACATGTCACAAAAATTTGATCTTAAGTGCAACTTATTGTCTAGTCACCCTCCTTCCACACTACTTATTTCGGTCATCAGGTGTCTTCTGTCTTGCTGAACTTGTTGCACTATATGTCAAAATTTCATACCACATGTGAACACGATATTTCCTGATTAAAATAAATTGACCTGAATTAAAATTAATTAACATTCCAGTGTTTTCCTTATGGTCATCATCCATTTGTTTAAAATGTAGTTGCTTGAGTATCTTTTGTTTTGTATTTATTTGCCCAGCATTCCCTTTATGGCATGGATATTGTGCACACTGTTTGTGCACATTATGAGGATATGTCCCACACACACATATCACTTTTGTTATATATCACTTTTGTTATATATGCATCTTTGTAGGTTCTTCTAAGCTGCCAGAGTAGATGTGTTGTTAATTGGTCTGTGTATGTAGATATTATCGAAATAAATGATATGTGGATAGGATCGCTACCATCCATAGTTCTCATGCCTATAATGTTCTACTACTAGCACAGGTTTCTTGTCATGTTCATCCCACAATTACAAGCACATTTTGCAAAACAAATTTCACCAGCATTTATTCATGAAGGCAAGGACCATTATTAGTTCACTTGGTGTTAATATAGACCATATTTTCTCTTATTCATTTTCATAAACAGTGCTGAAGAAATGAATTCATACTACCTTTTGCTTTTTAATGATTGCCTACTTCACACAAGTATATTATTTCAAGCTTCATTTTCAGTTTTTCCCGTTTCATTGCCATAATTATGGCTTTTCAAAATTTTGTCCTCAACACAGCCAAAACACAATAGACAAAGCATTAAATATGTGCCTGCAGATTTCTTTGTGACATCACTGGAAGCTCAGGTGAAGCAGGAAACCTGTGCGTCAAAGGAAGATGCCACTGTAAACTGTAATTTAACTAGCCAAATTACATAATTCATAATGAAACAAGCTACCAAATTGAAGAGGATGTCACGCTGTTTATACTTCATGATGCTTAAAACTATGAGGGCATATGCTGCCCACAGTTATGTTCTGTAATGTGATCTTCCTCCTAGAGAACAGGAAGAAAGGAGGGTGGGGAACAGGATCTTTACAGCTATAAGCAACATCAGCAAAACTGGTGGCGCAGTTGATCCAAGAAATGTGGGAAAACTGTTGTGGTTAGGTAGGAATTACTTGCTATGACAGAAGTGTGATAAACAAAACTTCAGTTAATGCAGTAGTTTTCTATATATAAATTTAAGAAATGAATGGTTTCAATGGTTTTTGTCACGATAATGAAGCCTTCATTGTAAGGTACAGTCACCCTGGCATGGTTTCACTGTAATTTACATACAGTTTTTATTTATTGAAGATTTGTAAACCTGAATTGTCATATGCAGAATATTGGTACTCCTTGATCTGTGCAATAGTTGTGTTCCAAAAAGAAATCATAGTGAATGAAATAGCATAAATCAAACATTAGCTGGCTCATATTTTCCCTTCTTCCCATGAATTTCTGTGCAACCTACACAATACCCTACTCTGCTCCCACGTGTCTATCAATCAGGAAGTGAAAGTTGTCCCTGTGCTTGAGTAATTAAGCCCTATGGCATGAAGGCATATGTGGGAGTGGATGCATAGATCCACATTTTCTTGACCTCGGCACTAGTTGGAGGTTAGTGGTCAGCTTCACTCCCCGACCCCTTTACCCCTGCACCCAATGGATATGAGATTAGGTGGCCCCCAGGGCCAGTCTGGATGATATGGAGAAGAGAGAATCTTGACACCACTGACACTCGAACTCCAACCCCTCAGTGGTCAGGCCCATAGCTAGTTGCTATACTGACTATGCTACCCTGGCTCCTATCAGTCAACAAGTAATTGCATGCAAATGATTGCTGTTAATTAAAATCAGGCCAAATTAGCTGAGCATATTAAAATGAAATATTTTTTAGCTTATAATGAGTAGGACTTGTACTTTTTTTCTCTTTGTTCCTCATCTCCTTTACTGTATTCCTACCATTTTGTTTCATATTGGCCTTTAGACTTTACATTTAGAACACAGAAAGTTTGTAGTTTGATTTAATTTGAATATTTATTTAGCAAAATATTTTGAGTTAAAAATTCATAGTTAAAACACCTGATATGAGGTACAGAACTCATACTTCAGTGTGAAAACATTATTCCCTATTAAGTGTTTTTCTGAATCCAACTCTCAGTTCCTTTTGTGTACATAAATACCTGTTGTTCGGATATTAAGAAACATTTTTGTAACATTCCTGACATTTCAAAACCCTGTTTACTTGTACGTGGTGTGTTCAAAAAGTATCGAACCTTTGGTCGGCAGAAATACGTATATTGATTTGGAGGTACAAAACCCTAATCCCCTTCAAAGTAGTCTCCTTGGCAATGCACACACACTTCTCCCAGCGCTTCTGCCATTGTTGGAAACACTTCTGGAACGCATCTTTTGGAATGGTGATCAGCTGGGCCGTTGCATTCCGCATGATGTCTTCTCTTGACTCAAATCGGGTTCCTTTCAGTGGCATTTTCAGCTTGGGAAATAGCCAGAATTCACACGGAGCCATGTCGGGGGAGTAGGGAGCCTGACGAACCACAGGGATGTTGTGTTTGGCGACAAAAGTCTGAATCAGATGTGCAGAATGGGCAGGTGCATTATCATGATGGAGCTGCCAAGTTTTTGCTGCCCACAGATCTGGTCGTTTGCGCCACACAGCATCACAAAGGCAACGAAGGACCTCCTGGTAGTATTCCTTTGTGATGGTTTGGCCTTGTGGTGTATACTCATGATGCACAACCTCACGGGAGCTGAAGAAAACGGCTAACATGACCTTGACATTGCTGCGGACCTGCCGTGCTTTTTTTTTGGCCTCGGGGATGTCGGGTGTTTCCACTGTGACGACTGCATCTTGGTTTCTGGGTCGTACCCATAAACCCACGACTCATCACCTGTGATCACGGTGTTCAGAAAGTTGGGGTTACTGTTTGCATTGTCCAGCATGTCCTGTGCGAATTCCAGACGGCTTTGCTTCTGTTCCATTGTTAGCAGTTTCGGTCCGAATTTCGCGGACACTCTCCCCATGCCCAAATCCTTGGTCAAAATTGAATGTACTGACCCAGTGCTTACCCCTATCTCGTTCTCAAGTTCTCGGACTGTGATACGACGGTCCTCCATGACCAAAGTCCGCACTTGCTCAATGACATTCCCATTTCGGCTTGTTGAGGGTCTGCCTGAACACGGTTCGCTGTTCACTGATGTGCGGCCATCTTTGAGGCGGTTGTACCACTCCTTTATCCATGAGTTGCTCATGGCATCGTCCCCGAAAGCCTGTTGAATCTTGCAAATGGTTTCCACTTTGGTATCGCCAAGCTTTTGGCAAAATTTGATGCAATATCGCTGCTCATGTTGTTCCGTCATTTTACACCTTACTGGAATCCGATGAGCACTCACTACACATCCTCACTCATAGGCCGACTGCCAGCGACTGACACTTTCTGCGGGCGGGAAAAAATTCATGTCTGCGCATGAATGTCCCCTCCACATCTCCACCGAAGGGAGCCTCCCGCACTTCATTGGTTTACACGGGAAAAAAGAAGGTTCGATACTTTTTGGACACACCACGTAGCTTCAGTTTGTCACATGAAATGTACCATTATATACATTATGTACATGAAATGATACATTTCATACATGATTATTTAAACTCAGGATAGATCTTATATCTCAACAATTTTTATGATTTCAGGCTGGAAGCTGATGTTAAGAGACTAAAGACTGATCTTCAGTCCAGTAGACAATTGGAGCAGGATCTCCGTAGTCAAATAAATACACTGATCTCTAGTGAGAAGAGTATTAAAAATGAGCTGGCCCAGTTGCAGCAGGATAATGATGACCTACAATCAAAGTGAGTAGTACTTAATGTATGGTTAAAGTGAAAAGAAGTGCAGTGTATTAGTTTTGCTTTTCATTGGTTCAGTCATAGTTATATCACAAGACCGCCTCTGTTCAGTGGTGAAAGATGATGATAAAATATTTTGGTGAATGTAAGCTGTGCTTTATTTCTCAGATGTGCATCTTATAACTGGAATCAGAAAAACTAGTTTTTGATTTGTTTTCACAGTATTGAGAAATGCAGAACAAAAGATGACGACATATTTCCAGAAGTATATGTTATGGAATAAATGTTTCATTTCCGACTTGTCTAAATAACAAGAATGCTATTAAATTTTAACTGTATGAGCATGTTACCACATAAGTGAGAGTAATGTTTCAAAGGGATACTGCTGCTATTAACATAATAAAAGCTAATTTAACTTGTCTCATTTTGGTCCGTCACAATATTAATTACAGAGTAGATAATGAAACGTTCAGTCCAGTGTGACATACAAGTTTACAACACTTCAGTCCTCATTCGCCTTACAAGTTTCGATTCAAAAGAATCATCCTCAGAGGCGCACCACTACGATAAGGAAACATTGTCACATAAGATATTCTAACAATATGCACTTTAGATATGACCAATGCTCTCTATATAAATTTTGTTATCGCTGTTGGTTCCGATGTTTATCTAGGCAAGCACAATGGCGCTTCTTGAAGTGTAGATTTACTTATTATGAGCTTCTTTTAGTGTATTTCCTAGTTATTCTGACTGGGGTTTTTCACTGCATGCAATATGGTGTTCACTTTTTCCCAATGTATTTAAATAACTTTAATTTTAATAGCTGGTTGTTTACATGGAAATTTTAATACAATACATGGAGTACCATGAAATGTGGTGATTCCATTGAGTTCATCAGTTGTATACCATAAACATGTGAAATCTGACTTTTTGGAAGTAATGAATTTCAGTAATAGATGTACATGTGTATTTGTTACTTATTGTGTGTTCTTTGAATAATGTGCGTAACTGAATGTACGTAGAGGAGATTGTCTCTCCACATTTCAGTATGAGAAATGCCAAATGGATTTTGATGAAATTAGGTAGTGTAGGTTGACACAAAAAGTGCAAAAGGACAATTTCGATTTTCGTAAAGATTGACATTGTAGAAGTGTACTTTCATATGGAGTTTTTTTTGCAGAGAATACACTTGGAATCTCTGTATACCCTAATACAGATCACAGCTTTTCAGTCTTGTTTTGCTTGCACCTCCAGTGATCATGCTGTCATATTTTGTTCCCCCCGCTTTTGTGTGAGTATATCTCAAAAGTGAACACTCCCAACCTTTGCATTCATTAACAGTGATAGAGGCAGGAACATTCTTTGGTGGGGAATATGTGTTTTTTCCTTACATTTTTGGAATGTTCTCTTATTTTTGTATGTTTGGATTGTTGACTTATTTTCTTATGTTTTGTTTGTATGTTCCTTTTTCCATTTGGATAGGAACATTTCCAGTTATACTCTTACATTTTAATTTGTTGTTATGGAATTAAAAAATTATTGATGCATACAAAAATTTCTGGAACTTTATACCCACATGAACTAAAACTTAAAATTAATTTAATAGTTTAAAGAGCCCAGAATTGAATTGAATCTTGCCTGCTGTTAAATAATACAAGAGGTAGATATTCGCTAGTCTTTTCATAGTTTACCACCATAAGATTTTGGTAAGTAACTTTCAAACAGCATGTTCAAATAGTCATATGGGTAAAAGATATTTAGTTGAAGTGTTTATGCAGGCTGCATGGTCTGGTGACTGCTCGTCAAATGGACAAGCAAATCATTTCTCAGTTGGAACGCCGGCTGCAAGAAGAACGACGTTTGCGAAACTCTTGTGAAGCACAGTTGGCTGCTGAACGAAAGGCCAAAAAGGCAGAAGAGGCAGCAGCAGCGCGAGCTGTTGCCATGGCAACTGCTACAAATAAGTAAGCTAAGAATTAGAATAGACCAAGGAGAAGTACTCATTTTGAGAATTTTTTTCAGTCAAGGAAAATTGATTATCCATATGTATATTTTTTGTCCTCTTTGTATGGTAAATATTGGCTGCCATATAGTTTGCTTCAAAGTTCAGATGTTTCTAAACTTATGTTTTTGTGCATTCGAAGGTTGCAGTTAACACACACATACAGAAACCAAAATAACATATTTTCAGGGTCTCTTCCTTAATTAAAATTAAGGTAGATATGTTATGTGTTGAAATAGTGTCTGGTGCTTTAGTGTAAGTGCCATTAATTATGAGACCGCAGTGAGACCAAACTCATGAATTTGGTAGTTTTGTTCAGCAGACCAGATTCATGAGTTTTGTGTTAATTTTGTTGCAGTAGCGTTGTGGTACAGTCCTCACTTTTTAAGAAATTGGCTTAACATTCAGTCCCATTCTTGTCACTTTGAACATCAATGTGCGTAATTAAACTTTCTTAATTATTATAGAAACAGTGTGGCATAATTAAGTAATTCTTTCAAGAAGATAAACAGTGCTATGCAGCAGCCATTATGGGGGTCAGTCCTTTGATGAATAATTGGGTGCATGAAGATGGAAGAAAGACAGTTTATATAACTATTGTTGATTTTCAGATCCTTAAAGATTCTTTTAACATGGAGTACTGATGTTCAGATTTTGAGCAATTGATGCTCTACTGTAAATCAGTTTTATGTACTTCTTAACTCAGAAACCAAAAATTACCAACCCTTCCCATATCACAAAATTAGAAGGAGATTCTGAGGTTATCGTAACTTTTTCAGGAAAATGTATATACACAATGTGTACTACAGGAGGTTATTTGGGAGTCTGATGTGAATTATTGAGCCAGTCAAGCAGAATAGAGACAGACTCCTTGCATCAACTCTTCCTGTGCATATTCAGACCCACAGTACAGTTTACAAACCCACAGACCAAAAAACCAGAAACAGAACTTACTCATATCACAGCAGATGCTAGAAATGGTCCTTGTTATGCATGCATTCCTTGCTCTTTCAAGAAATGTTCACATTCATGTGGAAACTTTAAACTCTGGCCTCCTGTGCAAGGCATCTGTGAGGTTTTCAAGGGAGTGCTGAAGCCTAGCACCAATATTATTCAGTTTCTCCTCACTGAGCATTAATTGTTTAGATTCAATTCTTTTCTGTCTATTAATGATCCTCTCTGTCTAAATGTATTTATTTGTAAGTATATAGTTTTTCCTATTTGGAGTTGTGACATTCTGGAATTTATACCAGAATATCCTTTCATTTCTTAAACAACCACTTTCCACATAGGTATTGTACATGAACACTGTGTGTTCCCATGTGTAACTCACATGGCATTTTTGACACAGGAAATAACATGACTACTCATGACTGCTTATTGCACAGGTCAAATACAGTAACAGTAGCAGTAACATGGAACTTGGGATTTATGACTGGACCAGCATGTAATGCATAAGTTTGTTTCATACTAGTTGTTCAACAATTTATTAGGCAGTATTGAAGATAAATTACAGTGTTTATAGGCTGTTGATTTGTCAAACATGCCACAAGCCTGAATGTGCATGAACCAACCTGACTTATGTAGCATGTGGAACTTGTGCCTGAGTGGCAAAACAATTTGTGGCAGGCACTTTTAATCTAAATCAGTTATATGTACAAGTATGTTGGTATAGTAAAAGAAGTTCTATTTTTCCACAAGTGTTATTGAATTTTATTAGCTGTTACAATATGATTTATCTGATATAATTATATTTCTTCCTCTGGTGCAGAATCTGTTGATTATTTTGTTTGCACATGAAGTGAATAAGTTGCACAGTATATAAAAATAAATATTGATAATGAAATTATACTCTTTATGGAATGAGTATACAGTATCAGGCCAGTCATATGATAGTGTAGCAATCATTGCTAAGCAGTTAATGGATTCTTTTGTGTTGGCAGCACAAAAGAGAATTCTTGACATATATACTGAAAATACAGAATATCACACATTGACCTCATACTAATATGAAAAGGATTGAATGCAGTTCTGACATATATTGCCTTGATTTCATTCACCTAGAAAGCCTGTTGTTAGAAGCACCCATTAGTCACTTAATAAAGCACTTGATGGCAAGATAAAGCTTAGGAACAGTGTAGTGGGATATTAAACTTCCCATGTCATAATTTGTAATTATGAAAAGTAGAATAGGAAGTTCAGAGTTGTGTGTATATGTGTATACCAGATACATAGAGAGTATCTTAAAAATTATTCATGCAAAGGAACCCCAAAGTTAGCAGCATTACTGATGTATGTGTACATGAGATTGTCATTTAGGCCTGTCATGATGAATATGTAATATGGTGCTGAGAGATTAGGACTGTTTTGATCTTTAGAATAAATTGTTATTGTTATTACAGGAATGAATGCACAGAAAGTTGTCGGGCCAGGCGACGTGATCTTGAAACAGAGGGTAAACAGCTGCGACGGGAACTCAAACTTAAAGATGATAGGTACCTGGCAGCTGAACGAGAGATGCAGGTGAATTGAAGATTTATGTGTATGTAGTTGGTTAAATAATGCTGAATACTTTTCCATACCAATACTCATTTTATGTTTACAGAGCCTACGGCAGTATAAAGAAAGTCATAATGAGACAGAAATATTGATGTCAGCTCTGTCTGCTATGCAAGACAAGAATGCTCATCTAGAAAACAGCCTCAGTGCAGAGACCCGCATCAAGCTTGATTTGTTTTCTGCTCTTGGGGAAGCCAAACGTCAGCTTGAAATAAGAGAGAGTAAGTTAAGCCATTTTGGCTTCTAAGTATAGTGCAAACATCAAATTAACAGAAATGTCACAAGCGACTGTTGTGGCAATAACTCTATACGCTTATATTTTGGATGTGCTCACTTCAACACATGACTCATGACTACATTTACTTATAGCATCCTCGCTAATCTTGACACTTTACAAATCACTACAGTGCACACTAAGACTTTTCAGTCTGCTGTGTCTTCACCAGCTGTTCCCTGGTAATGGTTTCTTATTGAGGAGATTCTTCGGCTTCCACGCTCACTTTGTTACTGTCTGGTGAATATCTAATGACTCATAACTGACTGACTCCTAAACTTGTCTCAATTATATCTCTGCACGTACATGTAGAAAACACCGTTCATTATTGTACTCCAATCGTTTCTGTGAGAACTTATTTGCAAATGCCTTACCCATTAACAGTTGTGTATACTTGCTTTTTAAGAATCTGTTGCCAAGCAGCAAATATTATTCCATTGTTTATTTCAAGGTCATTACCCAGTAACAGGTCCGCACGTTACATTGCTCCCTCCTTAAGGCTGTTTGTCCTGAATGGCCTACCGGCATACCACCATTTCTTCTTTTCCCCCGTGTGGCATGGTTTTCATGCTGATTACTCTCGAACTGCTCATGCTGCTCCATTCTTAAAGCCACTTGTCCCAAGTGGCTCCCTCATAAGGTGCCAGTTGGTCGAGGTGTATCCCCATCATCCCACTTTTCCTATCAGTGGGTGCAAAAGTTCTGAGAATGGGCAGTGCTATGTCTCCAGCTCTTAGTCTGTTTGCAGGCTCTTCTTTTGTTTTGGAGGGGGCTGATCCCTCCACAATGTCCAGTCACTCATTTTGTGGAGCCCAATGGAAAACTCGACTGCTCACTTTGTGACCTCTAGTCTGAAAGTCTTTCCAATGGTCTTGTTGAATGCCTTCTTCTTGCTTCCTAGATGTGGCTGCTCCTTTAAATCTTGGACCCTTTATCCCATTGCTGCCTTCCTGGCACTTCCATTGTCCCCTCTTAGGTGTCTGTCTTTAGGGGCTTTTCTTGCAACACTGTCCGTGCCTGGTCCCTGTCGACTGTGTCCCTTGTGTGACACAGGAATGGCACAGTGGCTCATCCCTCTGTGGGCAGCAGCCAACTTCTTCCGGTACCCGCCATCACCCTCTGGCTAGATGACGGTCTCCATTCCTTCAATTCTCTGACAATTTTCACTACTTTCTTTTCTGTAGGGACCTTCTCATGTACCACTATGGACTCTTAATTCCACTGAGGTCGGCTTATCACTCTCCAGACAGACCTCCATCACTTCTTGGCAGGCCATCATCTCTTTGCCTGGCTCTTGTTTCTTCTAGCTAGGCCTCCATCTTGGCTATTGTCCATTTGTGGCTGGTGTTCATTTTTTTTAGTTCTAATTTCAACCATTTTGCTTGATTGTCATCCATTTTGGATGGAAAACACCAGTTTTCATGTGTATATGTGACTATAGACAGGGTTTTTAATTGGAGATTGGATTTATTGACCACTTTAACACACGACTCGTGACTATGCTTAATTATAGCGCCATCGCTAATCTCAACACTTTACAAATAACTGCAGCACATGCTATGTCGCTTCAGTCTGCTGTGTCTTCACCAGCCATAATGCCTTCTAATAGTGGAGATTCTTCAGCTTCCATGTTCATTTACCTTCTGTCTGGCAAATATCCCACAACTCTCATAACTGACTAGCTTCTAAATTCATCTCAGTTATAACATCTTGGCTTGGCCCACATAGAAAACACCATTCATCGATGTATTCCAGTTGTTTCTGTGGGAACCTGTTTGTGGAATCATTATCCAGTAACAGCTGCATATACTTGCTTATTAAGAATCTATTGCCTAGTAGAGAATGTTGTGTCATTATTTGTTTCAAGGTTGTTACCCAGTAACTGGTCTACACACTACAATATTGTCATGAATGTGACCATTGCTAGGCAGTGACTCAGTATGCACATTTCAGCAGACAAGCACCAATAGGAACCATGTTCTCTGTGGACCATCCTACAAGTAGTTGCTAGGTAGCACAACGATTGTAACAACAGAAGTGTTTTCAATAGGTCCGCACCATGCTCAGTGCTAGGCAACAGAGCTCTAAACACGCAGCTACAGCAGTATGTTCCGAGACTGTTTGCTTGGCATTTGCATGGTAACACCTCCCTACAATAATAGAAAATGTTTTCTCTGCAGTCCATGCTGCAACTATATAATGAGGTTCCATAATAACTAAGAGTTTAGTTGAGAGTCTGGACCAGGAGATTTCAATCAAGAGAGATGCAGACATCGTTCAGGCAATTCAGTAGTTTAAGTGTTACCAAGTAACGACTAGTAAGCAGATGCTGAAGACTTTATTTTATGTGTTATAATTACAGCAATCTTTAGAGTGTTATAATTATTTGTAGTTATGACTTGTGAGTATCCAGTAAATCTGTTCACTAATCGGAACCCCATCCAGAGGTCACTAATACACGTGACCATATCATATCTCCAATTTTCTGCATGGATAAGTGGTAACTATTTTCTTTACTAGCAAGGTCTGTGCAGTTAAGGAAGAAAGGCCCTTACTGATAAGCAGTAATATTATAATTGCAGCCCTTACCCTGTATTATATGAGCAGCTGGCTTATGTCAGCTTTCAGGCTGTTCAACTCTTTATCCACCAAGGCACATTCCTTGGTGATTGAACAGTCATGGCTGGTCAGTTCTGGTGAAAAGACAAGAGAATGTTAAGGTTCTCATGTTGTGACTTTGAGCAGTACTACATTCTAGGATGCAATACTGTGTCATCTGGTAGAAGTTTACTTACATTTCAGAAGAACATGCTGCCCCTGTCTTCATGGGCAGCACATAAGCCAAGCAAGTGACCTTAAAGATGTTGGTGTATGTTCTTCAGAAATGGCATTTGACTTCTACTGGACTAAACAGTGTTAAATCCCAGAAAGTATTCCTCAACAAGAGAACAGTATGATGCAGGTGGGCAAGAGCCTGCTCTGTATCCTGCACTGAGCAAGTATTAGTCAGCACAGCCTCAAGATTTATTATTTATTATAAGGTACCCAGTTGGCTCTTTTGTGGTCCCTAAAGATAACTCAAGTTGATATTAAGTTACTTGTTTGAAAGCATATATGAGGGTCAGTCAAAAAGTTCCTGGAATGGTGGTATAGCACTCTAATGGTAGGACATATGGCAACATTTACGTAATCACCTTCAGGGTAGGATCCTTGTGCGCACACACTTGCTCCATCGATCCTGCCATTGTTGGAAGCAGCGGTGGAGGGCTTCTTTTGGAATCTTCCGGAGCTCAGCCATCGCATTCAGTTTGATGTCCCTCATGGTTGCGAAATGTGTCCCCTTGAGGCCCATTTTAAGAGTAGGGAACAGCCAAAAGTCACTCGGAGCGAGATCTGGAGAGTACAATGGTTGAATGATGACAGGAATGTTTTTCTCGGTGAGGAATTGCTGCGCAACAAGCAATGTGTGGCTCGGTGCGTTATCGTGATGCAGAAACCCCTGTCCCGACCATTTGTCGCGCCGCTTCCTCCAAACTGCATCATGCATCCTCTGCAAAACTTGCACGTAGAAATGGCCAGTAACAGTACCAACTTCTTGCTCCAACTCCGCGATTGTCATTCTTCAATCACATCGAATCAGTTTTCACACTTTTCCAATCATTTCTTCAGTTCTGGATGTTGAAGGTCTCCGGCTGCGCTGGTCATCCTCTAACGTCTCCTGCCCATTCTTAAACTGCGGATTTCTTTTGTGCAGTATCACCGTAAACTTGCTGCAGGGCCGATTGCATCTCTGAAGCAGATTTTCCCAATTTGCAAATGAACTTGATGTTCGCATGCTACATTGCGCTGAATGACCAACACTCATGTCTAATTCAAACGGAACAGTAACGACACTGTACACTGAAACCTGTCCAGACCTGTTGCGCCTGTGAGCAGACATGCTGAGCTTCCCACCACAACAGTGTGTGCACTATCTTACTGCTTGTTCTCTGTCTGCAGGGGAATTCCGGGAACTTTTTGACTGCCCTACGTATATCTATGATCCATAGTGAGGGTTCATCAGATGCATGCCAGTCTTTTGCTAGGTTTCCAACTTTGTTGGTCCCTAGAGTCAAGTCAGTAACCTTCTTCCTATTGCTAATCAAAAATTGTTTGTTACCATGATTAATAGTACTCAGCATCAGACTTGCCAAATATTCCTTTAAGCATTTGTATGTTGATATGAGTGCCAGTGCCCCACCTTATAATGTAGTATGCACTGACATTGCATCAAATGGTGAGTTGCTTTTTCTGGCTACTACAGTAGTCAGCGATGCTGCTCAACTGCATGTTTGATGGTCACAAGAGATGTATACTGAAGTAACAATATGCTCCTTCTGGCTTCCTTCACTATTTAATTGTTCTCACAATTGTCACATCCCTAGAACAAAATTACAACATGGGAAAGGCATTCATTTTGTTCCTAATATAATTTCAGGATCTTAGATTATCATTGGGTATGCCAGAAGATATTGGTTGCCCCAGTGCTGTTTAATCCTCATGGCATGCCCTGTGGGTAAAGGGTTTCAGAATTATGTTCTGTAACTGCCTTTTCAAATCAAATTTCTGGCACAGAGCTGCCATAGCCATAATGCTGTGGTGTGATTTAAGTTTAATAAATTTTGTGATTAGGTTTTTTCCTCATCTGCCACCTTCATTATTTAAGGTATGCCTGTTTCCTTCCCTTTTGCTTTTTATTTTTCCCGGGCCATAGGTTGGGTGTCTTCAGAGTCCTTCACCTGCAGCATAGATTTAGAGTGTTGAGAATCTCCTAGTGTTGCCACTATCTCTTTCAGCTCAGCCATCAGTTTCCCCTCTCCTTGACTCCAGAGGCTGAAGGATAACCTAAAGCTATCTACTGCAAGGAATTCTGCAGCCCATAATATGACCACTGTGCAATCCCATTAACAGTGTGTCATGTTTTTAGATAATTGCCCATGATGCAGGTCATTTTTGTTCTCATTTGGACATTACTTTTACTATGTATTTTTGTATTAATTTATCCTTTATCCTTAGGCTGACCCCTAAATGACCTGTTACTGTTTATCACACCACTTTATACAGACTTCTTTCTTTGTTATTAATTCATGAAGGAGAGAGAGAAGGTTAGTGGACAGAGATGCTTTTGTCCTTTTATTCCAGTTATTCCATGTTACTTCATTCTTGTTTTGACATTTGTCTACCTCAGTATGAAGTAGGTAAATTTGTGTATCACCATTATCACCATTACCACCACTGTCATCACCACCATCAAAGCCCTTTGTAAATATCCATATTTGAAATTGGGATCACATGCTGTAAAGATTTTAAATTTTTTTAATTTTCTACTAATTTGGCTGTTTTAAGGTGTATTATAAGCCTTTCACTGACAGACAGATAATGTTTCCATGACTAATGTATTAGCAAGTCATTATAAGAATACATGGCATAAGAAACTAATAAAAATATTGTGAAGAGCGAACACTGTTCTTATGTTCCTTTGAACTTTGCAGGTGTAATCCGAGCACAAGAAAAGGAAATAGAAGAATTAAAGAGCAAAATAGCGCAGGTATTAGCAGTGATGCCGACAGACACATTTGGTCCTGGTCCAACAAACAGTAGTGGGATGTCAAAGCTGCGACTGGCTGAGACACCAAGCCCCTGCCCTGGCTGTACTGTGTCTAACCTTGACCCTAATGCTACAGCTTACACCCCTAAGGGTAGTCTCATAGCATCGACAGAGGCCTGAATTGTCACCAGGCAAGTGTAAATAACCACGGGACAGCGTAAAAGAGAGGAGAAGAGTAAAATGTAGTATTCTGTACAGCAACAAAGTTGAATATGTTGGGCACTTTCCCATGACATTCTTTCTTCTTACTGTAGTCAAACTTTTTTCACACTATTTTCGTGGCTGCTCTTTTCCTGATTTTGAAAGTTGGGCAAATTACCTTCATCTGAATGGTTACACATGGCAGAATTGCTGTTTGCCAGACTTTGTACAATATTAACATTTTGTGACCCAAGCATCAGAGGAGCGCCTAATTTACATCGCCTGTACTTGCGGGCTTCCGTACCATACATTTCTGTTCAGTCTTGGAACATGCCAAAGTAAAAGCTGTTACACAATTTGACCATGTTGCCTTCCATTTTTCAGTATGTGCAGTATACTTGGTAACTTATTTATGCTTCATGTGATAATGGCTGTGGATCAGTGTCTAACTGTAGGGTAGTGACTGTTGAACGAGTACAATGTGAATGCTTTCAAATATTTATTTCTTGCACTTTGTTTGTAGTTGGTGGTGAATTAATTTAAGGCGCAGATTCTTCACGGAAAATGAAAGTTGTCTACTGATCCACATTACCTATCATAGCGAAGGTGGATTACTGCTTCTCATTTTTGAAGTGCTGAACAGATATTTGAGTAAGCCTGTAGGCATGCTACAAGTGATATTCTGAGTTCAGCACTTTCATTTACTTGTCATTTTTCTGGCTGTGCCAAGTTGTTGCATTTAGTGCATAGTTCCATGTGTTCAGTTTCTTAGATGTGTTCTCACGGGATATATGTATTACCTTGATGGAAATGTCCAAAATTGTCTCAAGATCTATTGCTGGAATGACTGACTCTGTAATTTGCCTCATGAAATTCAAAGAAGTGTGTTAATTTATTAACAGCTGGTTTGGTTCCAGTGCCTCTCTTCTCATATTTATCCTCTTCTCCCTTCTCTTAACTTACTGTGATGTAGCTCTTGAAAGAGTGTGAGGAGCAGGACACAGGCAGAGAACAGTGATTTGTTCTGTAATTATATCAGTTATTTATTACGATGCAGTAGTCTGGTAGAAATAACAGTGCATATGGATGTCACATTTTGGCAGTTTTATCTAAAAATTCATGAGTATCCACTTCGGTTACAGGAACATTATTTTTCACCAATCATGCTTACAACTATAGTGTAAAATGTTCATATCTTGGTGTATCATATTGGAAGTTCTCCATTGCAGAAATGGGTATTAAAGTGGCAGAATAGCTTAGTAGATTGTTTTGTTTAATTTAATATACTCTTTAATCAGTACATGTTGCAACTGCACTTGTCACAGAACTACCTGCAAATAAAAATTGAATGTGTAATTTCAAAAATGTACTGAAAACTGTAGTTACTGCTGACTGGTGTACATTGGACACTGTATGCTGATGACTTACATGTGGTAAGTTTTGGTTAGTTTAAATTAGTGAAAGTTACATATAATGGTAATTATAATTTTGGTACAGTTTTCAATATTACAGACAACTTCTACATGGTTAGTTTAAATTAGGGAAATTTAAATATGGAATTACAATTTTGTTACAGTTATAATATTACAGGTGACTTGTACATGCAGCAAGCATATCACCACTATCATTGAATGCCACAGCATGTAATGTACTCTAGCTTGTTACTTTCCTGATCCATGTGTACTGAATGTGGTAGTCTTTAACTTTCCATATTTGTTATTGTTACCTTTCATAGATTTATAGTTTAGAAGTCAGAAGAACTGCCATAGCATTTTGTATTATGGAGTCCAGTGATATTGACAAGTCACAGTGTTCCTGCCCAAACCTGCAACCTCCATCACATCAGAGTTGCTACAAGTAATGCCTGTCTTGTTTGCCTGCTGCTGCTGCTGCTGCAGTAATATTGCATCAGGGTTTGACCCTTCTTTCCATAGAATACATGGAAAGATGTCATGCAGGACAGAAATGTTTGATTCATATTGTTGACCCAGTAGGGGCATTAGCTTCCCTATCGAATTGCTTCCATGATGTTTATTATTTAACAGTGTTCTGTGTAGGTCACTGCGATTTAAATACTCTTGGTTTATTGCTGCTTAGATTGCAGCAAATCCAAATGAAGGTTGGTAGCATTATGTAGGAGAGTGTCTCTTTTTTTTATTGTGTGATATATTGCATGTAGACTTAGATTGTAAATATTTAATTATAAGTATTAAAACAAATTATTTTTTCATTCTGTATTTAAAAGAGCACAAAGGTACTGTAATAAACCTCAACATTTCTAGGAACTTTATTTTATGTATGCATGTATTTCTCCATTACTAAATTAGAAATATGCATTTAGGTACGTGTTCAGGTTAATTTCCTGGCACTGCCCAACTTTGAAGTACTTAATTAAATATTGGTTATTTGGTTTATCATTCGTGATAAATTAATAAAAAGTACCTTGATCCGTTACTGTTGCTTGTGCTGTTCAGAACTCATAAAATCACTTTCATGCACAAACACATACCAGTGTTGCAGCAGTTGAAGGAAACTATTCAGTATTTTATATATTTTGATAATGTGCACGCTGCTTTCCAAAAGCATAGAGAGTATGATTTTGATTTAATATTTTAAATTGTTAAACAGTTTAATTTTATTTGAAATGTTCTTGTAGAACAATGCTGAAAGTAATTTTGCCTTGTTTCTGTTGTTAACAAAGTCTATCATGTTCCTCTACTTTTCTTCTGCTAGGTACTGTAATTGATATTGTAAACAATATCCTTTCAATGAGCAACAATACAATTCTGCTCATTGCTTTTGTATATTGATTTGGGTTGTGTTCACTGAATGTCTAGATGAATGTACTGCCTTATGTTTAAAATCTTATGTCTTGTTCATTCTATTAGAGTGCGATCTAAAATTGTCATTATGGTTACAGATAAATCTAATGATCTCGAAATCAAAGCAAAATTATTGTTTATGACAGAAGTTTATTTCATGTTCACATGTTTGCTAGTCTCTACTGGGTCAATTCGGGACATTTTGCAATTTTTACTTGAATCAGGGGGATTGATCTTACTGCACACATCTTAGTTTCATATTCTTGTGTGCTTGATGTTTTGTAAAATGCTTTGCATACTTTAATATTACAAACATGAAAGCTCTGTTGATCTTAATTATAAAAGATTAAATTAATTTACTAATTCCTTGATAGATGATTTTTTTTTTGTTGTATAAGGTACCCACGTACTGTTTTAAATACTGATAGAAGTGTGTGTGCCTAATTCCAGTGATGGATGATTTAATATAATGATTGTTTTTACTTATTATAGGCATGTGCATGATGAAAATGTGATAAAGCATAACAAGGTAACTTTTACTAGACTGTGGCTGTTATTTAGAAGCTATACAACCTAATTAGGTTCCACACTCTTATTCACCAGATAAGGAACCCAGTAACCTTACTGAAAGGATCTGCAAGAGGGTGTTGATAATAGGAACTGCTGCTTTATTACACAGAATTTTATTGTACGCATGAAAGGATAGTAACAGACATGTGGATTAGCTATGTTTCATGCACACCATATTGTGGATGGACAGTCGTGCTAATGAACAGAAAAGATAAGAGGGCATGTGCTTTTGTACCAGAGATTTCCAACATTTTCATTAGACACACATCAGTACAGTTAGGAATCATTTGCTTTGCAAAATAGAAATGGTCTTCGTACTAAACTTAATTGTTGCTTTACAGTATTGAGTAATATACTATCCATTATAGAAGTGGTTTATATTGGCTTTCAGTACACCATATTTCCCCCCCCCCCATTTTGAAGAAAATGACATTGTAGACTATATGGGGAAAATTATGTCATGGAGTATCTGTGATTATGTCAGACTTATAACATCACTAGCCAAACTTTTACATCCAGAATCCTGTACCATATGTAAAAGAATCTGAATTTTGGACAGAGCACATTGAATGTGCCTTTAAAATGCCCTGAATATATTTATCTGTATACACCTGCCTAAAATATTTTCAAAGGATATTGAAGTTGTTTTGTTTGTTATTATTTGATGCAGCTCATTTTCCATGCACTTAAGAGAAAAATGTAATTCTTAATAAAATATATTAAATGAAACTACTAACATATTTTATTAGTTAAGTTCTGAAGGTATTCTGAAATTATTTGGGCATACAGGTTAAAAATGATATGATTTTAGACTTAAGTGCAGGATGCCCCCATATTATGAAAGGGATATTTTGCTAAAAATTTGTCTCTATCATGAAATTCCAAAATATGAGCCCTATTTTTCCATTTAGTTCCCTTGTAAGTGAAGATGATTTTCTGTGGCCCCTTTTTCTTTCACAGTTGTAATGAAAACATGTTTACCTGTCAGAAACAGTAGTATGCAGACAGCTGAAATAAGGGAAGTACTTTGTATAATCTAAATATGTTGGGAATAGCATTCAGCTTTCCATTTATCCCTCCTATGTCACTGGTGTATGCACATAGGCTACCCAATGGCTAGCTACATATCCTGCTGCAATAATGACATGTGCATATGCAATCTGAATTTATTAAAAAGTGACAATTTCTTTAAAAATTGTTTTAGATGAATTTTGTGTTTAAAAATCATATGTTAGTACAAGTGAATTTAAGGTCTGTATTATGATTTTTATGGCCACGTTTTATAATTTGCATAAGGGCAAAATTCCTAACTCAAATGTCTGTAATGTTGGGATGTATTGTGTTCAGAATACAGCCTTTAGCATTTTGATCACTGACTTCATATTTTATCCATGTCTTAACAAACTAACTGCTGACTTCACTAGTGAGGTCTGTAGTATATCTATGTGATATAGCTCTAACCTCTTTTTTTTTTCTGTGGCGCTACAGCCCCAATTTGGGCCTAGGCCTACCTCCATGAAACTCTCCATTTCACTTGGTTTACTAGATCTTACACATTTGGTAGGACTCCTTGGGCGAGTGATCAGCTCGTCGCAAGGCCTCTACCTGTAGACAAACACAGAAAAACGCGCACAAACATCCATGCCCTGAGTGGGATTTGAACCCACGATCCCGGCTTCCGAGCGAGTGAAGACAGTGCATGCCTTAGACCGCTCGGTTACCGTGACCGGCAGCTCTAACCTCTTGCACATTATAATTCTGTGCATACTTAGAGAACCACCATTGCTTGTGCATGCAGTAATCACTGATGTCATATTTCAAGTTCATGGCTTGGATACATGATGCAAGCATTTACACAATATCATGCGCAAGTCATAGAACATGACTGTAAGATGTGTGATGAGGAATTTATAAAGTATGCAGCCTCTTGTAATCTGAAATTTATCTGGCTGTAATGCTCTGTATTGATTTTAAGTGAAGTGTCCTAATAAGTTATTGTGTTTATGAATGTGGTACAAATAATACACTTGCAGTTTGCTGTGAATTCACAGTTAACTGGCTGTTGGAGCACTGAACATTGAGCATAAATAAATGGATGTGGAAAGCTGATAGAGAATGTATCTTACACTTTATATTCATATCGATCTTTAACATTCGAATCTTACGAGACGTGAAGAATTTTTCAGTAGTATTTAACACAGGTAGCTTTTTTCAGCTTATGTTAAAGTCTGTAGTTGGTGTTAGAATCTACTGTGTTATTTGCAGTTTTTCTTAACAGTTTAAAACTGTAATAGAGCTGATGAGGACTTAACCCATACCTGAAAAACATGTAATTTTATCCTGACAAACAATACAAAGCTATACAGCAGTGGAGGAGGCTGCTGGACTTGCCCAGTCAACCAGTGTTGCCTGCAAACCTATTGCCATATTTTGTATGTGGGAATTTTGTACTCTCCATGTTGCCATTTTTCATGCATTTTTTGTATTGTGGTGGGAAGATCTGTGGGCAGTGGTAGATATCACATGTGGGAAATGTGCAGGGAATGCTGGTAATGAGGCAACAACTCAATCTTTGTGACCAGCAAAATAATATTTCGATGTTTGGAGATATTCTGCTCTCTATATGTGTCAAGTCAAAGAAAAATAAAAAAAGAAAGTAAAAAATCTGGGACTATGAGAACCCAGAAATTGCATTATAAATTTCTTGTAACTTCTTTGTATTTTTGTATCCCCATAGTACCCTACCCATATCCATACTATTCAAGATGTATAATTAATTAATTATTTAATTAATCAAGATGTCTAATCAGTTCTATGTTAGGTGGGTCCCTTGTCACCACAGCATGGCTCATCCTCAGGTATGGAGGGAAGCTGCAAATATATTGAATAAGTAGTCGCGGACAGCCAACAAGGGGTGGTCCTCCTGATTTGGGGTAAAAGAATAATCCTGTTACAAAAATGAACACAAAGGCTCAGACCTGGATGCATCCTGTGGATAAATGACCTAGGCTAAAGAAAATGGACATGAGATTTGGTACTTGGAATGTCAGAAGAATGTATAGGGCAGGTTCGCTCAGGGCAGTGGCAGAAGACATCTTAAAATGTAAGTTAGATTTAGTGGGAGTACAGGAGGTCAGATGGGATGAAAGTGGCATCAAACCAGCAGACGAATATACATTTTTCTATGGAACGGGGATTGAAACTCATGAATTAGGTATAGGCTTCTTCATACATAAGAGAATCGTATTAGCAGTTAAGAGGGTCGAGTTCATTAGTGGTAGGATATCATATAAAATACTAAAAGGTCGCTCGTGTGAAATCATTATGAATGTTCATGCCCCAGCAGAAGATAAAATTGATGATATAAAGTACAGATTCTATGAAGAACTAGAACATGTATTTGATAAATTCCTGAAGTATCCTATGAAAATTTTGTTGGAAGAAAATACAGTGCCGAAGTAGGGAGGGAAGACATTTGCAAACCAACGATTGGGAATGAGAGTCTGCATGTAATTATTAATGATAATGGAGTTAGAGTAGTAAACTTTGCTACATCAAAAATTTTACTGTCAAAACTACAATGTTGCCACATCGTAACATCCATAAATTTACTTGGACATCTCCTGATGGGAAGATACACAATCAAATTGACCATATTCTGATAGACAGGAGATGGCATTCGTGTATACTCAATGTCCTGTAATTCAGGGCAGCAGATTGAAGACTGGCAGTGAGCAAACAAACAACGCACAGAGTTCATATGGATAGGTTCAATCTCAAGAAATTAAATGAGGTAGAAGGTAAAGAGCAGTATTGTGTTGAAATCTCAAATAGGTTCATGGCTTTGCAAAAATTGGACACTAAGGTGGATGCTAATAAAGCTTGGGAAACTTAGAATATCAAAATTTCTGCCAAGGAGAGTGTAGGTTATTATGAACTGAAGAAGCATAAGCCATGGTTTGATGAAGGATGCTCAGAATTATTAGACCAAATAAAACAAGCCAAATTGCAATGATTACGGGATCCAAGCAAAATAAATTGGGATAATCTGAACAATAAGCCGTGAAACCAGCAGGAACTTCAGGAATAAAAAAAGAGAAAATCTGAAAGACAAAATTAATGAGCTTGCAATAAACAGTAAGAACAAGACATTAGAGACCTGTATAGAGGAATAAGTGACTTTAAAATGGGTTACAAACCTAGCAGTAACTTAGTGAAAGATGAGAACGGTGATCTGCTTGCAGATTCTCACATTTTGAATATACATAGGTGGAGGAACCACTTCTCTCAGTTATTGAATGCACATAGAGTCAGTGATGTCAGGCAGATAGAAATACATACAGCTGAGCTGTTAGTACGTGATCCTACCCCTTTCGATGTTGAAAGTGCTGTTGCAAAATTGAAACAGTATAAATCGCCAGGTAGTGATCAAATTCTGGCAGAACTTGTTCAAGCGGGAGGCGAAATATTACATCCTAAGGTTCATAATCTAATTACTTATGTTTGGCATAAGGAAAAATTTCCTGATCAGTGGAAGGAGTGTAGTATTGTACCAGTTCACAAGAAGGGTGATAAAATTGACTAGTAATTATCAGGGGATATCACTGCTATTAACTTCATACAAAATTTTATCCAATATTCTTCTCTCAAGGTTAAGTCCATATATAGATGAAATTACTGGGGATCATCAGTGTGGGTTTCAACATAACAAATCAGCTACAGATCAGATCTTTTGCATTTGTCAGATATTGAAGAAAAAATAGGAGTACAGTCAACTCAGTCTCTAACAGATGTGTACCAGGAATCTTCCTAGGGGTAAGGGGCTGCAGGTGCATAAGGCTGACAACCTCACCACCATCTGTGAAGCAGCTGTCTAGAAAATGTGGGAGCCTCAACGTCTCACAACCCTATGGGCCTCCATGGCCTGTTAGAGGAATAGCTTTACCTTAGAAATACAAATGCCATAATCTTGCAGATTGTCAGTGTAATAACCTTACTATTGCCTGAATGTCTGAACCAGCCTTCATGAATCATGCCAACTGAGGCCATCTCAACTGTGTACTTCATAATTCAACCTCAACAGTGATACCAACAAGTATGAGCCATTTTCTCAGGAGACAGATGTAAATTGTATTAATATTTTCAAGTTTCCATTGATTTCATTGACCTTTGCGCTTAGTGAATTATATTGAGTCCTGTGTATTTCAAATATCTTCCTTATTAATGTTGAAATAATCCCTGCGATAATATTAGGAGGAAGCTACAAATATGTATACTCTGTTTATGATTATGTGAGATGAAAATTAAAACCCATTTATGTTTTATAGTTTCAGCACATTAAGTATGAACGTCTATATGTGATGGATTTTTAGCACATTAAGTATGTTACATTACATTACACTGCATTGCATTCCATGGATCCAGAGTTAGTCAAAATGACTGTAGGATGTGGAATATGTCATATAAATACAAAATATATGTACAGTCCCAGTGGAGTTCTCACACAAGAGAAACCAAGAATACACAGTGACTACACACAAGGCTATTTAAAGATACATAAGTTATTTTCTAGACAATAGGTATTGAATGTCATTTCAGTGTGATTTTAAATCGTCCCTCTTCATTCATAAGACCTTTGAGATCAGATGGCAGGTTATTAAAAATGTTGATTCCAGCATATTATGGGTTTTTCTGAAAGCATGAGAGGTTAGCAACTGGTTTATAAAGACAGCGTTTGTGTCTTGTGTTAACACTTTGTACATCCACATTCATCTGAAAATGTTCTTCATTATTGGTAATGAAGTTTATCAACAAATATATATATTCACAAGGAAAAGTTAAGACCTGTAGTCTCTTAAATAGATCTCTACAATTTTCTTTTGCAATGTAAATACCTTTTTACTGTCAAATGAATTACCCCAGAAAATTATTCCATTCTTCATTAAAGAGTGAAAGTAAGCAAAAGAGATTGATTTGAGAGAGTCAATGTTACTAATATGTAACATGAATCTAACTGCATAACATGCTCTACTTAGCTTTGGAATCAACTCATCGATATGGTTTTTCCAGTTTAAATGATTATCAATTTGCAAGCCAAGGAATTCTATGTTTATTCCCTCTTCTATATATTTATCGTTATATCCTATGTTTAATGGATACTGTGGTGAGTTTTTTGTTATAAATTTTATTACATTTGTTTTTTCTAGGTTCAAGGACAGCTTGTTTGCAGAAAACCATATACTCATTTGCGAATGAACCTTGCTTGATAACATGCAGAAATCATCTAAATTTTTACCAGAAATTATAACACTAGTGTCATCTGCAAATATTATAGGTATTGATGATGTCCATAGTGTAGGAGGGAAGTCGTTTATATAAATTATGAAAAGCAAAGGCCCCAAAATTGACCCCTGTGGAACTCCATGTTTTATTATTCCCCAGTTTGAGTAGGTACTTTGGATTGAATTTGATGATTTTATTTCAGTCTTTTGTTTTCTATCTGTTAGGTAGGATCTGAACCAACTTAACGTTGTTCCTTGAATGCCAAAAAAAAAATGTAATTTATTTTATAANATATCAGTATTTTATAAAAGTTCATGATTTACACAGTCAAAAGCCTTTGCCAAATCACAGAATATTCCACCGATGTGCATTTTTTGATTACTAGATTTCAACACACTGTCTGTTAAATGCCTGCATTTTCAATGGAAATTCCTTTCCTAAAGCCAAACTCTTCTGAGGCTAATATAGTTTTACTCTGAAAATAATGGCTTAACCTATTGTGTGTAACTTTTTCAGGTACTTTAGAGAAAGTAGTTAGCAGTGACATTGGCCTGTAGTTTGACATACTAGTCTTGTCCCCTTTTTTATATAGTGGTCTTACTACTGAAATCTTAAGATGATCAGGAAAAATTCCTGTGGATAGTGAGTGATTACAGATTTTAGTTAATGGGCTACTGATTAGAGATGCACAAACTTTTTAAATTTTGCTTGTTATTCCATCATAATCTGAAGAGCTTTTTTGTTTTGAAGGAATGTATTATACTTTTTACTTCAGTTTCAGTGGTTGGAATGGTTTTAATACCAGGGAATTTTCTAGGAAATGCCTCTCTTAAAAATGAAATGACATTATCTCCCACTTCCTGATGCAAGTTTAGATTTTCTGTAATTGTTAGAAAAAAGTATTGAAGGCATCTGTAATTTCTCCTGTGTCCTCAACTTTTTCATCATTTATAAGGAGAGATGGTACCTGTTCAGTCAGATGTGATTTTCCTGTGTCATGTTTTATTATATTCCAGGTTGTTTTTATCTGATTATTTGATTTTGCTGTAAGCCTACAGTAATGCTGCCTTTTAGCCCCTTTTATGACTCTACTCAGAATTTTGCAGTAACTTGTGTAGTATGCTCTCATGTAGGGATTATTACTGCTTCTGCTGTCTACATACAGATGCTTTTTATGTTTACAAAATATTTTTATTCCTTGTGTAATCCAGTGGTTTTATATTCTATACGCTTTTATTCTGCATAGGAAAACTGGCTTCAAAGATGAAGAAAGCAGTCTTCTGGGATTTGGCACCGTGTATATGTGGTGTTAACCGACGTTTCGGAGGAACGTATCGCCTCCATCTTCAGGGTAGAAGAAAAAATATAGGAAATCTGCAAGCAAAGAGACCGTGAGAACCGGTAAAAGCAGACTGTGTGGAAATATACACAGCTTTGTGAGAGCAGGGAATGTAGGGGGGAAAGGGCAAGTATATAAGTGAAAGCAGTAGTGTGGGAGGGGTAGGGGAAGGGAGCTGGGACAAGCATGGTTTTTGTGTAGGGGAGAGAAAGGCAAGGTTAAAGGCTGGGCACTAACCCGTAAGCTGAGGGTGGGGGGGTTGTTATGTTGGTTGGTCATGGCCTGTGTGGCCTTCTGGATCTGGCGTCATATCCCGGTGGGGGTTTTTTAAGAGAACAGATGAGAGGTTCCCAAGACTTTCTGAGACAACCCCCCCCTCTCTATTCTGAAGCTGAATGCAGTGTCCCAGATCGATGCTGTGTTCAGCTATGGCCGACTTGTCCGGTTGTTCGAGATGGATGTGCCGCTGATGCTCCTTCAACCTCATGTCCACGGAGCGGCCTGTCTGCCCAATATAGACCTTCCCGCACTCGCATGGGATACTGTATACACCCGGTGTCCTTAGGCCCAGGCTGTCTCTAGCCGGCCGGAGGAAATTGGATAATTTGTTTGGAGGCAGACCCACTGCTTTGATGTTGTGTCGGGACAGCTCTCTGCTGATACAGTATATACCACATATACATGGTGCCAAATCCCAGAAGACTGCTTTCTCCATAGTCACTGCCGTGAAAGCCTCAAATCTTACATGGCTTCAAAGATATTTAGAAAAATATAGAAAGAAGAGTTAAACTTATAATTTGTATCCTTCTTTTTGAAACAGGTTCCCACGTTTCATTTTCTAATAGACGTTGAAATTGAGCAGTGGTTTCACTATTTATTTTTCTGGTTCTCTGTTTCAAGGGTGATATGTGATGGATTTTTCTGTAAAATGTAAGACCTAACACCACTAATGAGAAATGTGTTTCAGACATGCTAATGGCCTGCAACGTATCTGCAGGATAATACTGAGTTTGTTGTGTAAGCTCCCATTTCTGCTGCACTGTAAAGATGTACGATTTATTTACAATCTTGGTATCCGGTCAGTATAGTTCACTTGTGGACTAAAAACCATGGAGTTTGTTTGTTTGTTGCTTGGTATGAGAAGACTTGTGTCAAATGGTAGGATGATTAAATAAGTAATGAGATATAAATGATGTGGAAGAAAGTGACTCTGGCCTGATTTTAGTAATATCCTGCTATTTGTGTGGAGGGACTGAGGGACCTCATCAGATATTTCAGGATATTCAGTGTTCCAGCCAAATTTCGAACCAGGCACCTCTCATAATTAAGTCTGAAGCATTACCACTTGAGCCATTCTGTCCTGTAATGTGATGATTTAAACAGAGTATTTGGGGCTTAACATTCATGAGAGCCAAGGCAGAGTGATCAGTGTAGTGACTGGCTACGAGCTGGACAACCAAGGGGGTCGGAGTTTGAGTCCCAGTAGGGTCAACAATTTTACCTTCTCCATGTCATCCAGACTAGTGCTGAGGCCCACCCAGCCTCCTGTCCGTTGGGTACTGAGGGCTCTTTCCCTGTGAGTAAAGCGCCCAGGATGTGAAGGTGACCACTGATATTAAGTAGTGCTAAGGTCAAGGAAACGTGGATCTATACATCCACGTGTTCTTGGCGTAGTGCTTAATTAGTTAAGCACAGGCCAACTTTACCTTTTATTCTTAAGGTGGTCGGTTTTTGGTAGTTTCCTTCAGTCCCTCCAGGCATATATCAAAACAATATCTCGCTTAGGACACGACCGCTTCCATCCAAATCCCTTCCTGTTCATGTACCAACCTACCTTTCGACTCTCAATAGTCTAGACGGCGTCGTGAATACCCCCCCCCCACACACACACACACACACGTGCGCGGTATCATGTTGACGAAACGAAAAATGTGTTTGTCTGCCTAGAATGTAAATACCAATGGATATAAACATCTGAAGAGATCTGGATGACCTTAAAAATCCTTCCCTCTGGATCTGTTTGGTGTTCACTCTCCTGTACAGTCTGTAACCCAAGAAGCTCTGAACCGGTCGTGTTATTAAGAGTTGTTTTTACCCGTTGTTTTATAGCGAGCAAGATACAAAAAATCAGAACTTATAACTGAGTGGTATCTGAAATAATTAATTTGGTTGTATTTGCCCAGTCATCAGAATGGCTAGCCAACTGAAGGTAGGTGAATGCTCTGAGTCAATTTTGTTTTCCAGATACCTTTAAAATTCCCCTGATCACATTGGATTTGGAATTCATTGCAAGTTTATTAAAATGATATAATTAAGCTTTATGCCCACTCAGTCGTAAGTGAAAACTCCGGAGTTTGATCCCCAGCTTGGAGAATAACATATACATCGCTATACAATAAATTCGTGAGTATATCTCTTGATTTCGGTATGTACGTTCAGAGAAGTGATCCCTAAGAGATGTGCAATCTGCAATCTGTTGCAAACTGTATTCCCTACAAAACGGACATAAATACATCGTACAATGAGGCACCGACCAAACAATTTATGTTAAAACTATACTTCACGGGCCTCCAGACAGTTTATCATATAAAAGTCTAGGATATAGCACGTCCGCGGGAAAATACAAGATTGCAACGACAGACTTCGTGATATAGATTATCGCTTGAATAGTTTTAACCTTATTTTACGAAATCACTCTTGTTTTATAATAAGTTTATGTTTCATTGTGATTTTTATTCCATGTGTTTTGTAATATGATAATTGTCAAGTATCCAGATTTACTTTTTTTCAGTTAACCTAATCCTTCCAGCTGCACTATGGCCCTGGGGTTCACTCAGCCTCTAACAGAAATGAGTACCAGGAATTAAATAAATAATTTTCCTGGGGAGTAAAGCGCGGCCGGCGTGTAAGGCTGACAAACTTACCGACATTTTTGATCCGATTGTCTAGATCAGGCATGTCAAACTTAACTTGTACAGAGGGCCACCTCAGCCCTATAAATAATAGCCCAGGGCCGCACTTCAAAATAGAAATATACATTAGATTTTGATGCAAGGAAATTTAATTCTATTTATTATTTAGGAATAATTTCAGTATAATTACCTAAAGTCACATATCTTACAGTTTTAAAAAGCAAGAGAATGCCATTTTTTACAAGTATCGAACAACTTTTCAATATGTAAAAGGAGAGATTACACAAGAAATTATGTTAGAAATGGCAAAACATTGAATTTCCTGCAGCCTGCTAATTTATGTCTGCGTGAGACTTCTTGTCTTCTTGTCTGTTGGAAAATTGTCTTTACAAAAAATATTTCTACTAAAATTTTAATATTGATTTTAATATCAATTAGCTCTAAAAGTTGAGGGGCCGCACTTTGTGGCTATGGGGGCCGCATGTTTGACACGCCTGGTCTAGATAATGTGGGACCCTCAACGTCTCACAACCCTATGGGCCTTCATGGCCTGTTACAGGGATAGCTTTACTTTACTTTTTACTTATCCAGACTTACTACGCAACTGCAGTTCACTAGTGTGTAAACATGATGATCGTGTATTTGCCTGATGATGGCTATGAATAGCCGAAATATGTAGCAAAGCTAATTTAGCCTAGAACTCTGTATTGTTGTGTTGTGACGGTCTTAATAAAGAGTTGTATGTAATAACACAACAGGATGCATGAAATGAAAATTATCATACAGACGGCTGACGTCTCGCTGCAGAGGACTATTAGTTGGGTGGTTTCTATTACGGTAGCCCAGATTTGGGTTTCAGAGATGGGGATGGGATAGAACTTTAAACCAGACTACATGTATTTAAACTATACACAATTTAGACCACAATAATACATGTCATAATCCTGTACTGTCTTTTCTCTATCACTGCTTGAGACGGAAGAGAAAACGCTCTAATTCTGCGACATTTGTGATTTCTGAATTTATTGTCATGTGACATAACTTGCTGATGAAAGGCTATTTAATTTTTTAATTAATTCGCTTAGTTGGGGGTGGAGTCCAACTGGGTCCACTCGGCACGGCGGCCACTGATTGGCCTATTGTAGCCTTCCCCGGGTAATTATGATAATGGAGAATTTGGTGGAATGAAGATTGACAGGGGAAACCGAAGTACTCGGAGATAACCCTCCCCAGCGCCAATTTGTCCACCACAAATCCCATTTGACCAGACCCGGGATCGAACCCGGGCCGCAACGGTGGGCTTGGAGTTACAAGCAATGCGCAAAATATTCTAGTCAGGTAAATATTGTATTAGCTTATAGAATGCAAATTCAGATTGCTAATAAATGATAAATAAAAAAAAAGTAAATATTGCGTGACTTCCTTCGGATGAATGGAAGAGTAAAATACATTGACTGTTGCACTCGTTTTGTGCTGATCAGCCTGGAGTATTCATGGTAGAACAATTTTTAGTTGTTATCCCTTTTATTTGGTACACTTTCTTCTTTTATTCAATTATGATTTTTAATACATCAGGGGAAGGGGGAAGATACCTGGTCTGCAAATTTACGTTACTGTCCTTCATACATTTATAATTGCTCGGCTACATTAACAGACATTATTGTCGATGTTCATGAAAGTTCATAGAAGACAAACTCGTACCTAATAACACAGTTCAACTACACTTTTAATCCACTGCGTAGCCTTTCACATGTTTTGGCCATCGCAGCATAGAAGTCGCCCTTGAAAATTCTGGTCTCACACAATTAGTTGTCCAGCGACATGTTTTTTTTTCTACTGGTACAGGAAAACAAGATTTGTTTATCTCTCCGGTCTTATGGTAATGACTTCAAAGGACACAACGCATTTCGAAAGAAGGACTACCTCTTAGGACACTCGTTAAGCGTAATATAACGAAGAACAACATCAAGGAAAGATCAGTTTTTTTCCGTTGTAGAACTCACGAAAGGATATTAATGAGAGAGCCTACACTGTATTGAAGATGATTGTTAAATAATATGTAAGTTTCACGAAATCAAATACAAGTATAATGAGTACCCGACTTCTCTCCCCAGGGATAAACAGGCCGGAGCATGAAATAACCAGCCACCTGAAAATAGAGCTGACGTTGATACTAAGTAGAGGTTTATCTTCCATCAGCTCCTCCCTATATACTTTCATAGCATGGTGCTTAGGCACAGGCGCGATTGATTTGGGGGTTTAGTCAGTAGCGATTGGCTACGGCCTGAATGACCAAGATTTGATTCCGAGTAGGAAAAGGGACTTTTTCTTCCCCCCCACATCCAGAACACCTCTGGTCCCACCCAATTCTTCTTCGAAGGTTCATCAGCCTGGACGTGATATCACTATTCACCACTATATGGTGCCGAAAATTAGAAAGCGGGTAGCTCTAGGCCTACGTCCACTTCTCCTAAGTATGCTTTAATAGTTCAGTAAGTAGGTACCCGAGCAATTTTACGTTTCACAGTTACACTTTTGGATTAAATGAACTATTGAATGGAGAGAAGAAATGTTTCATGGTAGGACTATTGTGTAACGTTGGTAACCTGTGTCGATTAATAAATTTAATTTTTGAGGACGGAACGGGATAGTAAGCAAAACCCTTGTAGATGATGATGATGATTATGAAGAGTACCACGGATCACGAAGTTTATGCCATCATCATCATCATCCTCATCATCATCATCATCATCATCATCATCATCAGTAATCTGTCAGACGACAGGTCCACAGTCTCTTCCAAAACAATTCCTCCACTTAATGCGATCTAGAGCTTTCTCCTTCAAATGACAGTATCCTCTTCTGTCCCCAAGGTCATCCAGCATCTTCTTACGTCTTCTTCCTCGTCTTCTTGTCACTTCTATCCGCCCCTCTATCTTTCCTTCAATAACTTCTTTTAGAAGGCAGTTTCTGCGTAAAACATGACCAATCCAATTAGCCTTCCGTTTTCTTATTTCGTGTAGGATATTCCTCTGCTCACTGATTCTAATTAACACTTCTTCAATTCTCACATAATCGGTCAAACTGATCTTCTCCATCCTTCTCCAACACCACATTTCGAAACTTTCCAGACGTTTCTGATCTACTGCCCTAAGTGTCCATGTTTCAACCTCATACAGAGCTATGCTCCAAATGTAGCATTTCACTAGTTTCTTCCTCAAATTTTAGTCCAATTTGCTGGTAAAAAGATCCTCCTCCTTCTTCTTCTTCTTCTTCTTCTTTTTCTTCTTGCTAAATGCCGACTAACAAAATTGGACTCACTATGGTCGATAACACACGCAGACGAGAGAAATCCGCACCTGCAGTGCTAACTTTGTAATCCGTGTCTATTGAAACAGTTTACATGGGTACAGAGAACGACGATTATGTAATGTGGCAATGCGGGTACCGACTATGCGCTAACGACTACTCATTTCATAGCATAATGCAAAAATTAAATGATATGCACTGACCAGTGAAATGTTTCATTCCAGTGCAATTAATCTGATTTAGAACATTCGAATCATTCGAATGATGACAAGGGCTGGTTATACAGACTGGCTGGTTTGCGACTGTAACAAATAGCTGAATGGAATATGAAATCTGCGTTCCAATTTATCTTTTTATTATTCCAAAATGCAGTGCTGTAGTCGAAGTTGTGCGGTCCAGCATAGCGCCATAATGCTTTTCTTCAGTAACAGGGAAATTCCCCCTTCCTTCTTTTAAAGACGGTTGATAAATAATCAATGATCTCTGTTGTTCTATTTTGGTTAACGGCACTGTCTAAATTGAAATTGTATAACACTCAATCCATACCATCTCATCCTATCTCTCTAAGATCCATTCTAAGTCCACCCACCTACGCCTTGGTCTTCCCTGTGGACTCTTTCCTTCTGGCTTTCCCACCAATATCCTATACGCATTCCTCGTCTCCCCCATTCGTGCTACTCTTTCTGTTTTTGTTATATTTAAAAAGGATAATTTTATTCATCATAATTGACTAGGCCTATAATCTTCCTCGAAGAACATTTGGCATATTTCCTTCTTTCATAAACTTTGAATTTTTAAAAATACAAGGGAGGGTGCATTTGTCCCCCACCCCCCGGCTTCATCTACTGAAGAGTGATTTATACAAATTTTGGTTGTCCATTGTCCACATTTCTCAGAAACTCAAAGAAAATTGATGGTCTACCAGTTAAAAGAAGCTAGAATGATTTTCCCTCTTCCACCCTCCACACGTTACATGATCGATGAAACTACATTACTTAAATGAACGACCATCAGTATGGATAGCAAAACAAATAAAATAAACAAAAAAAATCAAATATCAACTTCACGAAACCATAACACACAAAAATGGCTAATAATGTTTAAAAGTAGTCGATTAAAACTCCTTGAACATTAAAGTTAAGATTTTTTTTTCTGTTTTTATTAATTCACATGTACGCAGTAATTTGTATGACAAGACGTTTTACCATACATATTACCATGCTCCCCTTTTTCTGGAAGGTGGAGGTCAAAACATTTTTCTGCAAATTTAAGTTTGAGCCAATTAAAAAATATTTTTACTGATTATCCTAAAGTATTCAGGATAAAAAATAATTTTGGGAGATGATTAAAGTAACATAAAATGAAATAATTTCTTTGACTAGTGTTTTGGTTTCTGAACAGAACTAAATTAGGCTCATCTTGCAGTGATTAATGCCTTTTTGCCATAATATTCATCCATTTGTATGCAAGAAATAAATTTCCTTTCCTCCTCTCTATGGTTATGCATCCATTCGGACTTCGTCCATCTCTTCAGTTTCTTAATCCTAAACACAGCCAGTAGGACTCCTTGGAAGTAGGATCAACGCGTCGTAAGGCCGCTACCTACACATGACAACACAAACGCATACTAAACGCAAAGATACACCCATGACTAGAGTGTGATTCGAATCCATGATCCAAGAGTTCGACCGGGCAAAGACGGTTCATGCCTCAGGCCGCGCGGCCACTGTGATCGGCTAATGCAAGAAATAACACCACACTAATTTTAGTAATTGTGATGAAGTTCGTTATTTATAGATATGAGAAAATTTTAATCGCTTGTTTCTTAGTCCATAATGCGTCCACTCATATGCATATGCCATATTAAGGTTAATAGCTTAATAGGCCTATATTTTTTAACATTTTCATAAATATTGGCAACACAGAAGATTACTTACCTACTTATGGAGCTGAGTCCTTCTTGAGGAGATGCCAAATCTGCAGCTACTCAGGAATTTCCCAGCATTTTATGGAACCCGAAGGTTCATTACCGTGTTCACAGGAGCCCTTCACTGGTCCATATCCTGAGCCAGATCAATCCATTCCATACCATTCCATCCTATCTCTCGAAGATCCGTCTTAATATTGTCCACCCACCTACGCTTTGGTCTACTTTGTTATGAAAATAAACGTAGAAGATTATTTTAGACAAAAGTAGCCTTTTAACACGATGAATATTTTACGTTTCTTTCCTAATTTGTAATATGTGTTGTGTTGGTTTCAGCACTAATACTGAATTCACTTTCGTAAATTTATGAACACCAAATGTATGTACTGGGGTTGGACAAAATAATAGAAACACTACCGAAACTGCAAACATTTCTTTATCAATAGGCTTGGACCACCTTCTTCCTTCAATGAGGCCGCAGTCCTTCTGGGAAAGGACTCATACAAGTTTTGAGCAGTCTCTAGAGCAATTTTATACCACTCTTAGTGAAAAAGAAAGTCTTCCACTTGTTTTAGAGGTGGGAATCTGTTCCTCACTCTAGTCCAAAAAACTGACCAGAGTGGTTCCATGACGGTCAAATTTGGTATTTGTGCTGGCCAGAGAAGATGTCGAAGTTCACGTTCATGCACCTGAAACCATGACTGAACATTTTCATCTGTGCGAATGGGGGCATTGCCATCTTGGAAAACTGCAAAGTTGTTTGGAAAAGAACTCCTGGATCACTGGATGCACCTGATTACCCACCCTGTCAACGTACTCCCTCGCAGTAATTCGGTCATGAAGGGTAATTGCTGCCCAAACCATCACGGAACCTCCCCCATGTTTCACTATTGGAACCAGGCATACCGTATTGTGGGCTTCCTTGGGTGTTCTCCAAATGTAAACTGTTCCTAATATAGAGAAGAACGAGAAGAACGTGAAGGCCGACTCACGTGACCATATCACGCCAGCGTTTCCTGTTGTCTGACGCTCAGGTTTTATCGTCGTGACACCATTGTTTACGCATCTGAGCGTTACTTTCAGTAATGAGAGGTTCAGAAATTGCAGGCCTACCGTTGGTGTTGGATTTGTGAAGCTCACTTCGGACAGTTTTGTGGAAACTGGGCATTGAAGATGATTATGCAGTTCCGCTGCCACCTTTGTTTCAGTAGTTGTGCGATTTTTCTAAACAGCCCTTCTCAACGCACGACAGTTTCTTTCTGTCTATGTTGAGTTCTACCCACTGTTCATCTTAACCGCTGTTGTCTTCCCATGATGCGTTGTGTATGCCGCCATAACTAGAAACTGTTGCTGTCGATACGCCTAATAATGTGCCAGATTTTGTCACAGATGCTCCAGTATAGTTCTTGTTTTTTTGCATACTGAAAGTTAGTATTCACCAGCGCCATTTGGTTGTACACTGTGTTTTCAAAACACGGCTCTGCCGTCCAACATAGCAACAGTATAACCTGTTTTTTTCCCCAGAACCACAGCTACTTAAAATGTGGTGTGTTTGGAATGTCTCAGCCTTTTCTTATTTCTCTTGTTTCAGTATTTATGTGGATTTGGTAGTGAATTTGTCTCTGAAGATCCTCGTTGTCCTGGTTCTGTACCAAGTGGGCAGAACAACCCGCAGAAATGTCCTTATGGTCTGTATGCAGAACAGCTGTCTGGAACGGCTTTCACAGGTATGTTTAAACTGCAAATTCGTGGAAAGGCAGTAAATGTCACTGTAGTAAATTGTTACACAAATGTGTTACAAAAATTAACATAATTTTTGTGATCAACATGAGGAAATTAAGTAATGTAAGGTATGTGATATGTGATAATAAAAAACGTGTTGTGTAGTCGGTAAATTCACTCTACTATTAATTGTTTTCAATTTACCTAATTCTTCCACCCGCACTATGGCCGTGTGATCGACTCAGCCTCTAACAGAAATGAGTACCAGAAATATTCTTTTCATGGGGGTAAAGGGCGGCCAGTGCGTAAGGCTGACAACCTTGCTGCCATATATTAGCCAATGTCTAGAGAAAATGTGGGAAAGTCAACATCTCACAACCCTATGGGCCTCCATGGCCTGTTACAGTGATACCTTTACTTTTTTTACTTTTATATGAGAAAATTCTAAACTTTGATCCAGAAATTAAATATACAACAAGTCCCTGACTTACGTGGGCTCGAGGTACACAAATCCATAGATACACAGATATGCAAGTATGTAATTTTTATTGGAACAATTTAGGTACTTCAGTTTCTACAGTCATTACTACTGGATAGCACTCACTCATGGAGCTGAGCCCTTGTTGAGAATCCACCAACTGTGCAGCTACTCAAGAAGTTCCTGGCACACATATACTTTACTATATTTTCACAAACAGTATGAAAGGAAAGTAAGTTTCAGTGTGTGACAAAGCATATATTTATGACGGACTGCTTGTGGCTTCACAAAATAGAGTAATTGTTATTGTTCTGCAGTGATTGTTATACTTATTGAAGTTCATTATACAGTAGAACCTCGCTTAATGAGCATAATTTTTTCCACAGTCTTACTCATAATGCGAAACACTTGTTAAGCAAAACAATTTTTCCCACATAAATTAATGTAAAATACAATAATGCGTTCCATGCTGAAAAAAATACTAAAAAAATTTTATGTATAACGTTTATTCAAAGAAAATTATATATACATTGTTAAGGAGCATGAATCATCTTCATCGTTTCTTCTATGCGGAATGAACCAACCTGGAATGCGAATTCGATTTGCAGGAAAAAAATCGAAATAATTAGTTTATTATTTATAATACATATCTAATTCTTTTTTCTAGAAAGCTGTCTAGAGACATTTGTTTTTGCCGAGGCTTCAAAATTTGGTGAAAATGCAACACAGCATTATCACTAAATAAATTTGTAGTGTACATAGCCACTGCCTTATTAGGGTGATGCTTCTCAATGTACGATGCAACAGTTTCCCATGCTTTCAGCATTTCTCTTATTGCACCAGAAGATTGTTGCTTTGCTGTTACCTCCTCCTCCTCATCTGACAGACTCTCCTCCACAACTTCTTGCTGTGAAACACAATGCAGCTCCAAATCGTGCAAATCATTGATGTGGACCAATTGTATGTTCGCGCTAGATCAGCCACGCTCACACCTCGTTCTCGCTTTTCAGTGATTTTACGTTTCATTTCTACGGTTATTTTTATTCTCTTATGACTGTTTTTTGCAGCTTTTTCTTCGGGGACATTTTTGCAAGGGTTATTAAACTTTGCACAAAAAGAATCATAAATAATATGTCTGAACACAAGTTTGGAAAAATGTGTGATCACAAGCGACACTAAGATGCTAGCGGAACGAGTGCTAAACACAGACTGATGTAGCATGTATACAATGCGGGACTTCCCCTCTCGTCACGCGTTAAGCGAGTCATTTTTGTTACAATTTGTTTTCCTCGTTATGCGAATTACTTGTTATGAGAGGTGCTCGTTAAGTGAGGTTCCATTGTATTTTATTAATTTCTACTAGAAAACTTAATTTTGTGACAAATGTAATTTAATTTGAATTAAAGTGTTAAAAAATGTTTGTCTAATGTGTTTTTCATGTAGCTCCACGTACGGAGAACAAGAGGTCTTGGCTGTATCGAATTCATCCATCAGTAATTCATCATCCTTTCATTCATTTAAAGAGTAATCATATTTCCCATGACTGGAACCAGACCCTACCAAGTCCCAATCAGGTACAGTATTTCTTGAATGCTGTGTTATGATACCATGCATAAACAATCAATTTATAATTGTTTGTAATTATTTAATTAGTTGCTTTGGGTAGTTTTAAGACATTAATTTATTGTTCATGTTATTAATTACAAAATAAATTGTGTGTGATTGAGTTTATAAGTAGTCAGGCATTCCCCATATGAATTTTCATTAAACATTTAATACCCAGTACTTTGACATGGTCAAAATGTTGATGATGTAAGATGTCTGTGTATAACATAGTCCATCAGTAATGCAACAAATTGTCCCTTTTTCTTCCACTTACACTTTTAACACATGTATTGGCACTAGATGGCCATCTTTCAGTGTTTACACTGCATTAATGTGCACTAAAATCACACACTGTAGTCCACTTAATCAAATAAAATCCACTAAAATTTTCTGTTAAAATATTTTCATTACTCATTGTAAAATTCTATTCTACCTCACAAGGGGTGTCATCCACTTGTTTGGAACTATATATTTATCACCAGGTGTTTTATGATTTAAGGTGGTATATTTCCTATTATGGCAAAAAGCATATAGGTGGTGAGAGATGTGTATCATATGAAGTCAGGAAAAAAAGAAAGCACACTAAGGAGGGTATGAGAGTTAAAATTTAAAAGAAGGTCTCTGAGTTAGCCCAGTAGAAGTTGGTTCATCCAGATATTGGAAAGCAGACAGAAGAGAGGAAAGAGAAGAAATTGGAGATTTCAATCCATTGACCATGCAAAACAGAAACAGCACTAGCAAAAGTAATGCAGTTTTTAATAGACGGAAAAATAGTTTCTGCTTTATTTGTTCAGTGATAACAGAAACTGAATATGAGCAATTTTAGAATTAAGCATTTCCTAAATCTCTAAAAAAATTAATTAGATATTTTACTCAAGATAACCAATTTCATATTTTGATTCACTGATCCTGACCCAAGTTGATTTTATTGTACGTGTCTTCAGTGTGAGCATATTTCTTTTTACTCATTGCTAATTTGTAGATACGATGGTTGCCATTTGATATACCAACTCCCAGTGAGGTTACTGACTTTGTGGATGGTCTTCACACTGTATGTGGAGCTGGGGACCCTCGTACTAGATCAGGCATAGCTATTCATGTTTTCTTGTGCAATACTTCAATGAAGGATAAATGCTTCTATAATGCAGATGGAGACTTCTTAATTGGTAAGTACTACTGGGGATAAATTCAGACAGTCATGTCTTAGAACAAAAAGATTGAGGGCTGGAAAATCTGGTAATATGTTTGCTGCTGATTTTCATATCTGCAGCATGCCTCTCATTCTAGGTGCTGGTGACTTACATGTTGGCGGGAAATGTGATTTCTTTTATTTCAGTACAGCGGTACTCATATTGAGGTTACAGTTGTTTGTGCATAATTTTGGAATTTTATCACCAAGCCTTTTTTAAGTCTATAAATCATGGACAGTAGACCTGAAAATTCTTGTAATTCAGTTAAGGGTCTTTTGTGATCAGTACTACCTTAGCTTGCTGCAGTAAAAAGTCTGAAAACCCTATCAGAATCCCTATCAAAACAGTCATGTATGTACTTAACAACTTTACTTCTTGATTTCAATTTACAAGCACTGCAGTATCCAAATCATCAGTATCCTGAACAGTAGGTTGGTATTAGAGGTCCACAAACATGGCCAGTTTGGTAACCAAATCTGAACCTACTAGGTTTGCATATGTGTGGCCACATGAAAGACATCGTGAATAAACAGAATGAATTTCTTTATCAGACCCTGGCCATAAATTATCCTGATATTTTAACAGGTTTACACATTCAGTAGAAAAATAAGTGTGCAGACTGACGGTTACCATTTCATACAAAATTAGTGTGAAGTGAAGTGTACCATATAAAGGCTTATTCAGCAATGTAGATTAAGGCCATGAGACTCATTTTTGAAGTTTAAATATCCATAGATTCATAATGATTGAGACTTTGACACATATTCATGGACATTCCTGACTGGAAATAAGCTTTCAAAGTACACTCAACTCTTGATTATCTGGGATAATGGTGGGGATGGAAATTACGATTAATCAAAAACCCGGTTAAGACAAATTTTATTAAAAGTAGTACTGTAATACTGTACCTTCATACTATAGGCCTACCTGTATTTAAATTTATTCAACCTCATTTTTATGTCATCTCATGGCCTATTTAATACTTTTTTTACATTACACTGAAGTATGAATTAGTTATTTCAGTCACAGTGTTCAACAATATCCAACACTTTTTACAAATATTCACAATTAACACTTAAAAAATGTAATATTGTTGTTTGCTTTTTTGCGGCATTTTCCTTTTTACGGATATCCATACGAAGCCTACGTAATATTAGCTTCTCACTTAATAAACTGCTCTCTTCACTCTCAAGATAGTCTAGTAAGGATTCCAAATGATTAAGAGCAGCACCATGTGATATTTTCTTACTAGCAGCACTGTCCACCTCTTCCTCATTCTCACTTTCTTCCCGCTCTTCTGGCTGCACCCCCACTGAACTAACGATTTCGTCACTGCTTAACATTTCGAAGCCCGGATCATACGAATCACAGTCAAACCACTGTCTTATATTTTCCTTGGTGATTTCTTCACCACCATGAATTTGGTTAGCACAGCTTTCTCAGGTTTTTCTCTTCTTCATTCCGCTTGAATTAGTAGACGAAGCAAAGGAAATTAATTGATTCTTTTGTTTTTTCAAATCACGAACAGTTTGTTCTCCCATACCATATTGCATTGCAAATTGTTTAACTACAACTCTTTTTCCCAGCTAATTGATAATTTCAAGTTTCTGTTGAATACTTAACACAACATGCTTCCTTTTACACCCTGACATTTTGCTAAGGCACTTGAAGATCGATACAAGGAGACTAACTGGGGCGGTGTATCTGTCCTTGAAACTTTCCACAAATCCTTGCATTCTTTCACCCCTACCCTAGAACATTGTGTTAGCATAACAGGACCAAAAAATGCAGAGCTCAGTTGACACTACCGTGAAAATAGTGTTACAACTCACCATGTGAAACAAAAGTGAATGAATATTAAAGAACATATAAGCCTCAAAAGAGCCCCGGTTAAGCCACAAACTGGTTTATCCGCCCCCGGATAGTTGAGTATACTGACATAAAGGCATGAATCATTATGTGTATTGGTATATGTGTATAATGTAAGATGTTCAAAATAGAATTATGCAGGCCCTAAAATTACTGTGCAGTTTTTTAGGTGCAACATTTCATCTTTGTTACTTTCAGGCCTGTTTGTTCAGTATGATAAATTATTAATATTTCCATTATTACAGTCCCACAGCAGGGAGTTCTGGATATCACTACAGAGTTTGGCAAGATGAGAGTGGAGCCCAATGAAATATGTGTCATACAGGTGAGAGTTTGTTTTGGGTAGTAGTTCTCACTGTTTTGTTATATGGAGAGTACAATTGGTGTCTGTGCCAGGGCCTTTCTACCATGTATGCTCACTGTGTGGATTGTCACCTATCCTACCTGTTAAACTGTGGAGAAGTGAGACTATAGCTGCACTGTAGAATGAAGGTTACTTGTAGGCTTGCATTAACACTTATCTCCCAGAATTATTGATCTCTGCATAAATCACAGGCCACATAATCTTCCTTGCACCCAGACACATCAGACATCAACTTTCACATCACAGATTTGAACTTCATGTATAAGATATGGATTTCTTATTCTGCAGTACCTCTTGTTTTATATGCTCATGTGTCTGCTGAAATAAAAGTGAGCCCTATCTGGGAAAAGAAAATGCCAATTTGGGATCAGGCTTGGCATGATGATTTAACTAAAGATAACAGTCACAGGGATTACTCTCACGTGACTGCAATGGTTGCACAAATGTAGTCCTGTAAGACCATAGTTTGAGAAATTTTGTCATTGTCCTCACAGATCTTCTTTTTTTAAGTGCCATTTTCTGTGCAAGATGCGTAAGATTTTTAGGAGGCGAATGTTATACCTGTGTCCTCCATTTTGTTTGTGTGTGTTAGTGTTGGAAGCTGATGTTTGGGTTTCCTGCCTACTAACACACCAGTTGTTCTTAATTTATTGACAAGACTGTGATAATGTTTCTGTGGGTAAGTCAGACTCCTGGAAACTTTCATCTGAATTTTTTCTGGCCCTTTCTAGGGAATATACTGCCACATATTAGTGATTAGAGGTGTTGTTTGATTTGGTAACTGGATTTATTGGATTTTTGAAACTCGTTAACTACAAGAAATTATAGGGCTGTCGCTAATTCATGCTTTTTAAGTTCACTAAAGCTTGCAGTAAGTCTTCATAGTCAGCTTTCATCATCATCATTACTTGGTAATGGCTTTCAACGTTGTAGATTCCTCAGCTTCTGGGTTCACTGGCTTCTGTCCTTGCCTGCCAGTGACCCTCTGGCATCTCCCATGGCTCCAGGTATGTCTCCACCTTCCGAATTCCTTAGAGCCAAAGTCAAAGTTACGTTATAGACAGTGTCACGTAACTTCGAACAAGGCCCCACATTTCTAGTCAAATCCCGTGCATAGCTTGTGGTGGGAGGAGTTTCTTAACACTCGTTCTTCCACTTTCACCGACCCCTCGTGTTTTATTGAAACTACCCTATTCTCTTTTCAAAGAACATATTAACAATAATACAAATATATTGTCTCTCGTCATGCAAAGAAAAATTCGTTTAATATGTATTACTAATTTATACTTTGAAAATTAAAATATAATAGTCATATGTAATGAAGAAAAGAATTTAGCCATTCGTCGTTGAAGTACATGTAGAATTAACTAGTGTGTCCATGTTAAAAATGTAGTCTATATCGTGAAAATTAAAACTGGTCATACCTCATATCTCTTATTTACTCATCATCATCTGACGTTTTACTATCTGATGTGATGATTATATTGTCTGTCCTGGTGTCGATATCCATTTCCCTTGTGAAGTACTGGTCCTCTCGATTTTCCATTTTATTGCAATATGCTGCCCAGTCTTCAGCAGAAATGGAATTAAATTTCTCCTCTGCTAGACACATTGCATCGTCCAACTTAAATGTCATGTTCCATTGGCCCAGCCAATTTTTAATGGTGCCCCACACCATCTCAATAGGGTTAAGGTCTGGCTGATAAAAATCTGGTCCTTAATCATAACACAATTACTGAACTCTGTCCTTATAAATCTACAGTTATTTGCAGTTTACAACTACATGTTCCAGTAGTTTCTGTGTCTGGAGTGATCATAGTGATTGAGCTTGATCACAAGTTGACATTTCTTGAGTTTTATTTGTATCATTATGTGGACACACAAAACAACAGCTACTTGAGCACAAGAAATCTGCATATTACACACAAAGTTCCACCCTGATGTCAGAGTTCATGTTTGGTTCACCCTGTATATAGGTGCAATTAATTCTGAGAGACATATCAGGCAGATGCCACAAGTGCAGCAGTAAACTTCACTGAGTGATGTAGCTCCAGTCTCATAGTGCCACAACTGACTGACTGGGATAGGCAGCAACCCATACAGTGAGCATACATAGGAGAGGAGAAAGTCTCTGCCCCGTCACAGTCACAATGTATTCTCCCTGCAGATGCACATTTCATCATCATCATCATCATCATGATTCCCAGCATTAGATCTATACAGTATTTTATGGATATTAGTAACTTAAATTCTTCCTAAGTATCTTCTGATTTTGATTAAATTCAAGACCGTGGTATCATCAAGATATTTCTTTTAAATGGTCATCTACAATTCTCACAACAATTTTTTTTTCTAATTTATTGTCATACCTATTTTGGGTTGTAAATAAAAAAGCATTTCCTGTGATAAGCATAGGTGGCCATTTACAAGACAAAACCTTGATCTCTTTGTGAGTTGATGTTTCATAATTTCCTTTGGGATCCTATATGCATTAACAATTCAGAATGAATTTATTCTCAGCAAGGGATGCGATTTTCTGTCAGTGTCAGCGGATCAACACGTGGCTACATCCTAGAAGTATTTGCTGCCCATTTTCAATTGCCGTATCTAGGACCAATTGGTAAGTCTTGACTAATGTGTCTAAAGTATGTGTATATCACACACTCTCTATAGAATTATCCCACTATAGAGTTCTCATTTTTTATGTGGCCCCAGCCAGAATCTTATATAAGACCATACTTATTTCCCTTTCATACGATTTAAAATTATAATAACTTTGTGCTCATTATGTTTGAAACTTCTGATCATTCCATGTTTCTTTGTCATCTGTTATTCACATTTTATTGCTTTATAATTTTCACCTAGAGCAAGAAAATTCTGATTTTTTATAATGGAAGAGGAAGTATTTTTTAGTTTTGAAAACAGCTGTCACTGTATTACCAAACTGAAAAGAAATGATTGAACAGTACCACAAATTAAGAAGGGAGAGATTTTGTCTGTCCAAAGAGATCTACTGCTGGAATTAAAATGAAAAAATGTATGTGAAATATATGCTCTGAGTATAGGACACACAGACATCATGGATAAAGCTCCAGGTTTGAAAGTTGCCCACAGATAGGGCATAGGGGATAGGTTCAGCGAATGCAGCAGTCGCAGAAGTTTCTGTCTAATACCCCTCAGTAGGAAACATGAGGTGGACAAGTAAGCAGCATGCGTTTGCTGTCGAAGCCTATTTTTTGAACAACCATTCATACGTAGTAGTGCAGCGTGCGTTCCATACTCACTTCGGAATTAAGCCCAGAGGTCCAGTTCCCGAACGGAAATCGATTGTTTTGTGGGTAGAGGACTTTAGGACAACTGGGAGTGTGGTGAAAAAATCATCAGGACGACAACAGACAATTACAACGCCAGAAAATGTGGAGGCAGTTCGACAGTCGATTTTGAGATCTCCAAGACGCTCCACTTGCAAACATGCAGTTGCCCTAGACATATCCAATCGTTCAGTGTGCCAAATTCTTCACGAACATCTTAATTTCCATCCCTATAAGATGGTTGTGCAAAAATTGTCACCACGCCATTTCCAGAACCGAATAACAGCGTGTGAAACGTTATTTGAAACTTTACCCCCTAATGCGCTTGTTTTCTTTAGTGATGAGGCACATTTCCGCCTATCCGGACATGTCAAGAAGCAGAGTATGCGGTACTGAAGTGGTAACAATCCCAGAGAGCTCCATGAGAGGCCACTTCACAGTGATAAGGTGACAGTATGGTGTGCGTTGTCGACAGTTGGAGTTATTGGCCCTTATTTTTTTGAAGAAGACAGTCATGCAGTTACTGTCAATTCACAGCGGTATGTGGACGTGACTAAAAACTTTTTCGAACCAGCTCTTGAAGAAATGCATCTAGGAAATGTGGTTCCAACAGGATTGTGCCAAGGCCCACACAGCCCAAGCTTCGATGACAGTTTTGAGGGCAAAGTTCCCGGACGGCTCATCTCGCTTCAAGGTGACATCCCGTGGGCAGCGCACTCACCTGATCTAACGGCCTGTGATTTTTTTTATGGGGATACCTTAAGGCAGAGGTTTTTAAACATCGCCCCACAAACCTGCTTCAGCTGAAGAATGTTATTCGGCAGGAAGAAGCCCAAATTCCGGTGCACATGTTGGAATGTGCAGAGGGGAACTTCAGAAAACGGTTGCATCAGTGCATAGAGAACAGTGGCCACCACCTTCAAGATATTTTGTTTCAAAGTACAGGATTTAAAACTTTAAGTATGTTCTTTCCTTAGTTAAACATAAATTTTGTCTATCAGCAATAATTTTTCTTTTATTCGCCTACAAAAAAGGGAAGTTTCTGCGCCCTACTCTGTATATATATTTACTATTATGTTCAATGTTTAATGGATATTGTGGTGAGTTTTTTGTTTTAAACTTTATTACATTTGTTTTATCTATGAGTAGATTCAGGGACAGCTTGTTTGCAGGAAACCATTTACTCATATGAGAGAGAACTTTGTTTGGTATCATACAGAAATCATCTAAATTTTTACTAGAAATTATGACACTAGTGTCATCAACAAATATTGTGGGTATTGATGAGGTTTTTAGTTTAGGAGGGAGGTTATTTACATAAATTAGGAAAAGCCCTAAAATTGACCCCTGGGGAACTCCATGCTTTATTGGTCCCCAGTTTGAGTAGGTACTTCGGGTTAAATTTTATGATTTTATTTCAATATTTGTTTTCTTTTGTTAAGTAGGATATGAACCAACTTGCTGTTGCTCCCTGAATGTCAAAAAAAAGTGATGTAGTATATAAAATTTTGTGATTTACACAGTCAGAAGCTTTTGCCAAATCATAGAATATTCCACCAACATGCATTTCTTGGTTAATAGATTTTGTACACTGGCTGTTAGCTTAAAGGCTGCATTTTTAATGGATATTCATTTCCTGAAGGAAAGTTCTGTAACTAGTATATTATTAGTTTGTAAATAATGGCTTGACTTCTTGTTCATAACTTTCTCAAATACTTTAGAGAATGTAGTTAACAGTGAAATTGGCCTGTAGTTTTTGACATACTAGTTTTTCCCATTTTTTGTACAGTCGTCTTACTACTGAAATCTTAAGATGATAAGGAAGATCCCTCTGATAGTGGGTCATTGCAGATGTGAGCTAATGAGCTGATTAGAGATGCACAAACTTTTAAAATTTGTCTTATAATTCTATCATAACCTGATGAGCTTTTTGCTTTGAGGGAATGTATTATACTTATTTATCTCAGTTTCAGTGGTTGGAATGGTCTTAATACCAGGGGATTTTCCAGGAAATGCCTCTTTTAAAAATGAAATGGCATCACTTTTTACTTCCTGATAGAAGCTTATATTCTTAGTAATTAACAGAAAAAAATTGTTGAAGTTATCAGCAATTACTTCTGGGTCCTTTACTTCTTCATCATTTATAAGAAGAGATGGTGTGGGAACATCCCACATACTATCGCGCTGTTTCACCGGTCCACGGACAACACTCACTCCTAAGTCAATAGCACATTGCTCCACATTGCTGTCAGCTCTCATATTTATACAGCACTCGCCGTCCAGCTCACTTGTAACCATCACATGCGCTAGCCAATAAGTGCTCACAATAGCAACTACAAGTCTAAGCTCCGCCCACCAAGTTTGGTATAAAAGGCGCAGCTCCAACCCAGCAATCATCAGTGACCACATCAGCCAGTCAGCCATCACACATAGTCCAGAGCAATCAGTCTTCGGAGTCATCGGCTCTTCACTGCGTCAGGGACGGTGCCTTGGCTCTCTGGCGGTCATGCCCAACACACTGCGCAACTGACACATCTGCTGCCACTCCAGCAACCGCGCTCCACGACCAGACGTCTTCTAGCAACCACGCTCTGCGACCAGGCAACTTCTGGCAACTGCCGCACTGCGACTGGACAACTAACTCAGCTGCCGCAACATTAGCCAACACACCGTAGCCAACATCTAGTTCTACTGGCGCACGCAGCCCTACATCACGGGCCAGGCAGACCAGCCGAACAGCCATAAAACTCTATCTACCGCGGTGGAATAATGTATATTGGAGTATTGACAAATCTCACAGTGGTATCTGTTTACTCAGATGTAATTTTCCTGTTTCATGTTTTATTATACTCATGCTGTTTTTAACTGCTTATCCACTTTTGCTCTAAGCCTATGATAATGTTACCTTTTATCCTGTTTTAAAATCCTGCTCAGGATTTTGCAATACTTAATGTAATATACTCATTTGTTGGATTATTACTACTCCTACTCCTGCCAGGATCTCCAATCGGCCATCATGTGTGCATGTCTGGCGTCGGCCTTTTCTTCAGCAGAAGTCCAACATCTGCTGCGTCTCCATTTTGTACCAGTAAAATACTCGATGCACAATAATTTGTTTATGGCATGTTTAAGTTCGTAACCAATTCTGACACCAGTGTTACGTGTTTTGTGTGTCACACAACAAATAAATCCGCGTAGGTCTCAAATTCAGTAGAGCCTTTATTGTCCTTCACTGATACAATCACACGCTTTACAATCATTATCACTTGCAGTATTACAATGATTGCTTGCAATATCTCGGCCAGTACATCTGTATCTCTCGGCGTCTATCGTGAGACTCTTATCGAATGTATTGCCTTCTTATATGTCTGCGGCCGTTGCTATGCATTGGACCTTCTGTTGTAACCGTGGAGACTCCTCTTAGATCTATAATATCACTATTGTTGTTTCCAATGCAATGGTCTATTCCAGCGTTTCCATAGAAGTGGCTCTTCTGGATTCCAAACACGTTACAATATGTACAGACTCATTCTATATTTGCAAGATATTTTTCTTCCTTGTGTAATCCAGTCATTTTTTATTCTACCTACACTTTATTTTGGGTAGGAAAACTAGCTTCAAATATATTTAGAAAAATATATAAAAAATAGTTAACTTATAGTTTGTATCCTTATTTTTTAAAACAGGTTCCAATGTTTCACTTTCAGATAGATGCTGAAATTGAGCAATGGTTTCATTATTTATTTTTCTGGTTCTCTGTTTAAAAGGTATTAAATTTACTTCTGTACTAGTGACCAGAGTGGTTTGAATGGCTGTTGTACTGCGATGTGGAAAGCAAATGGAAAAACTACCACATTATCACTCTTTCCACAAACAGAAGATCACATTAAGTGGAGGAACTGTTTTGGAAGAGACTGTGGACCTGTCGTCTGACAGATTACTGATGAATGAATGAAGGAATTAAGTACTGTGGTCTGAGAGACCTTTGGCTGTAGGAGATGTACAAGAACAGCTTAACCTCATACTGTCTATAAAAATATCAATGGCTGTACTCGAATTTGAATTCCTGTTGCAAAATTCACAGTGTGTGACAAATTGTATGGCTTTAGTAAAGAGATTACTTGTATTTTATGGTTATTTTCATTTAAATAGTATGTGTTCATGTCTGCCCAGATTATAAACTCAGATTTGGATTATACATATAGTTTAAAGTTGCATCTAGTCTCCTTAGAAATTCACTAATATCTCCTGAAGGATCTCTCTACAAGCTTAATATAATAAGGTTGCTCCTTGCACTGAAGAGAAATATAAATTTTACTGAAATATTGATCTGCCCTAACAAAAATACACACATGTCCTCTCTGTAGGCCTTTTCAGCAAAAGCTGGAGTTTAATAAGCCACCGTTCATTGTGAGGTGCAGCAGCTCCTGTTCAACCTTGTGATGAGGGTTTATGTTGTATATTTCAAAAGAATGTTAATTCACTTTTGCTTCTCAATCCTCTGATATGCTGGTGAAAGATATTTATTGAGTTGGATGATTGTGCTTTTGAATTTAAGCTAAAAAAGGAATCACCCTAGCATGGGTTATAACAGGAATACTGCTTGTACTTGAAACGTGACCACCAGCATCCCTCTCAGCAATAAGTTGCGTGAACTTCTTCTTGCTTCGAGAGTTTAGGTGCAGGCCATGCATAGTGAAATCTTCCCTCAAAATAGATGATGTGTCAGTAACAACGGTGGGAGTCATATGCCTCAACAGGACTCAGTCAAGCGGCAAATTTTATGCTCCTAACCTTCCTATTCATCCACATCTTGTCATGCCTCTCCAAGAAACACAGTCACATGTTCATAGTGTTTAAGTATAGAGTGCATGGGTGTAACATGTTCAAATGATGATTATAGCGTATGTTTGTATGAGTATAGCAATTTTTATGACAAATTGTAAGATAGGTAAAATGGTTCCCATGTTCTCATACCTGGTTTATTCCAGTAGTTGAATTACAACTACAAACATATTTCAGATGTCTCAGAAATACAAACACATTTCTATACGTGGTGTGTTCAAAAAGTATCGAACCTTCTTTTTTCCCCCATAAACCAATGAAACGTGGGAGGCTCCCTTCGGTGGAGATGTGGAGGGGACATTCATGCGCAGTCGTGAATTTTTTCCCGCCCCCAGAAAGCGTCAGTCGCTGGCAGTCGGCCTATGAGTGAAGACGTGTAGTGAGCACTCGTCAGATTCCAGTAAGGTGTAAAATGACGGAACAACATGAGCAGCGATATTGTATCAAATTTTGCCAAAAGCTTGGCGATACCCAAGTGGAAACCATTCACAAGATTCAACAGGCTTTCGGGGACAATGCCATGAGCAACTCACGGATAAAGGAGTGGTACAACCACTTCAAAGATGGCCTCCGCAAAATTCATACCAAAACTGCTAATAATGGAGCAGAAGCAATGCCATCTGGAAATCGCACAGGACATGCTGGACAATGCAAACAGGATCCCCAAATTTCTGAACACCGTGATCAGGCGATGAGTTGTGGGTTTATGGGTATGACCCGGAAACCAAGATGCAGTCATCACAGTGGAAACATCCGACATCCCTGAGGCCAAAAAAAGCAGGGCAGGTCCTCAGCAATGTCAAGGCCATGTTGATCGTTTTCTTTGACTCCCATGGGGTTGTGAATCATGAGTACGCACCACAAGGCCAAACCATCACAAAGGAATACTACCAGGTCCTTCGTCGCCTTCGTGATGCTGTGCAGAGCAAATGAGCCGATCTGTGGGCAGCAAAAACTTGGCAGCTCCATCATGTTAACGCACCCACCCATTCTCCACATCTGATTCAGACTTTCGTCGCCAAACACAACATCCCTGTGGTTTATCAGGCTCCCTACTCCCCCGACATGGCTCCGTGTGACTTTTGGCTAATTCCCAAGCTGAAAATGCCACTGAAAGGAACCCGATTTGAGTCAAGAGAAGACATCATGTGGAATGCGACAGCTGGGCTGATCACCATTCCAAAAGATGCATTCCAGAAGTGTTTCCAACAATGGCAGAAGCACTGGGAGAAGTGTGTGCATTACCAAGGAGACTACTTTGAAGGGGATTAGGGTTTTGTATCTCCAAATCAATAAATGTATTTCTGCCGACCAAAGGTTCAATACTTTTTGAACACACCACGTATATACCTTTGATCATGTTGATTTATATTGAATGAAGGGAAATATTTCCAGTTTTTGCTAACTCAGTTATATTTGGTCTCAGTATATTTGGGTAATATGTTGAAAATGTAGAATTGTTTTCATTTTCATTTTCAGAATTTTGATTCAAACATTGTGATCTGTCATTACCAGTATTTTAAAAATGTCATGTATGAACTTCATGAACTTATGGGCCATATTAGTTATGAGGTGATAAAAGTTGCATACTTCTGTTAAATATGTTTACAGAGGAAAAATACCTTCTGTGATATGCTGCCATGTGACTTTGTACAAAGCTGTCTATGTTTTCAAGAAACCTGCTGTCTCCATCTCTCTTTTCTATTTAAGAACAGAGGCAGCAAATTCCTCTGAAATCTGTACAGTGTAACCCCACAGAAGACCATGATCATCATATTCAGACTTCACATTTTCATAGATTTTCATGATGATAAACTTTGTTTGAAGTGTTCTGATCTACAAGAATTTGATGTATTCAAATTTTGCTATAGTGCTTTACTTGTCTGTAAAACATGTATATTAGCTTGTTTATTTATTTTATTTGTGCTTTATTTGCCAGTCTCTGCCATACTGTTCAGAAAATAATTTCCCAAATCTCTTTCATAAATGTTCTTACATAACGTATATATTTTTATTTTTCAGGAGCAAATGGTCTTGCCAACCCCCGGGATTTCTTATGTCCTGTGGCATGGTATGAAGACAAAGATGTGAAGGGCTATCAGGTGGTATCCAAGTTTCAGGGCCACTTGTTTCAAGCTGAGCAGAACCACAGCCCATTTGATGTTGTTGGTTGGCACGGCAGTTATGTTCCATACAAATACAATCTGGCCTTATTCATGGTCGTCAATGCTGTGCAGTTTGATCATTGTGTAAGGGCCTTGAAAGATAGGCATATCTTATTAATCTTAATAGTGTGCATCCTGTTGTGTGTCATAAGTAAGATATACAAAAGTACAGGGAGATCGAAAAGTCCCACACATCAAACTAAAAGATGTTATAAATTGTATTGCAGTTAATATAATTATATCTCCTACCACTATATGGTACTGTAGGAATACTAAAAATGAGTAGAAACGCCATCTGTTGTGTAACGGTCATACAACATCTACAGTATAGCTTTGTTTATTGCATGACAGACATGTCATTTTCCCAAGAATGCGTTTTCATGGTGGAACATTATTTCGCCAGTCGTTCTTATGCACATATCGCAGACAAGATTTGTCGGGAATATCTGGATTCTTCAGTTCCTAACAATGCGATGATAACGAGAATAATCAACCAATTTTGAGAATGTGGATCAGTTTCAGATAGGAAGAGATCCAGGATACCGGTCATTTTGACTGAGGCTAAACTGGCCAATGTGGAGAAAATGTTGCAGTGTTCCCCTTCAGAAAGCCTGAGGAGATTATCAGCGCAATCAGAGATTTCATATGGATGTGCTCAGAAAGCAATGAAGAATTTACACCTTCGTGCATATCGTGTTTGCTGTGTGCAGGAACTGAAGGACCTGAATATAGAAAATCTTTAATCTTTGCTGAGACATAAGGAAACAGGATGATCCTGTTATAAGTCAGATGTCTTGTCAGCCTGTGGTGCACGTAGTTTGGATCACAGTCAGTGTAAAATATATTGACATGTAAGAGCATCCAGGCTTTACAAGATAAACATTAATTTCTAGCTTAACTTCCTGAGGGAAGGGAAGAGGAGAGGTATAAGAAGTGTTGTTTTGTGGGTTACCTTGTGGGACATATGAAACTTTTTGTAAGAGAGAGTGAGAGAAACAGCAAAATCTCAAGACTCAGTGATTCAGTCTACGTATTTGCCAATACAGTTATAGTGCATATGCTGAATTAACTTCCTTGGTCTATTCCACATAAAATATTTCCTTCAGATGAATATTAATTTGTAATTCACATGTTATGATTTTATGTTAGGATCCATCCATTTTCACGGTGCTGACATGTCCATCCAACAGGCCAGGAACAGCCATTGCTGATTTTGTAATTTTCCCTCCGAGGTGGTCTGTGCAAGAGAACACCTTCCGCCCACCCTATTATCATAGTGAGTACATCATATGTTCAGCATTACCAACATTACAGATATAATACCCTTGATCTTCGACTTACAAATGAGCTAAGTTCCGAACACCATTTGCAAGTCAAGTCATTCTGAAGTGAAAGGAATAATGTAGTTAACAGTAGACGAATACCTAAGTTTATGAATCAGCCTATTTAATCTGTAATACTGTTATGTAGTTCACCTCACAAATGAATGTTAAAGCACATTACATATCCATACAGATAAGAAAGAAATAAATGAATAACAGTTCTTATGTTATTCGTACATATGGATATTCAGAAGTCAAGTGTTCATATTGTGACATGACGCCCATCACTGGTCAGTGGCTAGCAATGCTTAGGAAACTGTTGCCCCAGAGATGAAAGTAACAGTGGGGTTTCCACCATTACAAAGAAGCTAGCAATATCTAAGCAACGAATTGTTTGAAACAGTAAACATGTATTCCCGCGACAAGAAAATCGTTTGCATAGCAGCAGGAATAATGTATTCCCGCAGCAACAAGAGATTCATTTGCATAGCAGTGGGTGAAACTAAACCCTTCAACAAAGTGTTGCCTGCCTGTTCAGCCCAAGTACAGGATATAACAGTCCAACTTTGGCAAGAGACCAATAGAGTTTGTATCCAACTAGAGCAGAAGCAAGTTCATATCCAACAAGAGACCAGGCAGTTTAGCTTCAATGAGAGCTAGGGACACTGAGATCTGAGCACAGCAGAAGACACTTCACCGAGAATAGCGGTGCAAAAGTGTATGACATTGAAGAGGAAACGTCCGAAGACATTATAAGTGTGAATAATTGTATTTGTGAGTGTAAAGAGTCTAATAAATATTCATCCAAATCTGAGACCCACGCAAATTTTCTTGTCGCGAAACCTAGGAAACACGTGACGCCCTTATAAACTGAGATAGGATGAATGAAAAGAGCAATAAACTGCAAAGAATCACATCCAAATTTCAGGCAGTATTTAAACCTTCATTCATTTTTTTTTATTTCTCTGCGAATTTACAATCTACTCATGAGCACAACCCATCATTACCGACATTCAGTACTACTGTAATATCAGATTTTTAACCCACCACACTGAAAGTACATGTGAGGTTTGATGTTTAAACTAGCAATTTCAACTGAGTATTGTTTGATCACCCTCCTTACAGCTCTGATCTTGCTCCAAGTGACAACCACCTGTTTACTTACGTGAGGAAGTGGTTTGGCATCATAGCCCATCAACAGTAATGGTTAATGAAAGGTATCAAAACATGGCTGAGCTCACAGGCAGCAGTTTTTTGACACAGGCATACAAAAATTTAATTCCCTGGTACAAGTACCTCAGTTCTGGCATTGACTACACTGAGTAGTAGCATGTTTGTATTTTTTCTTGTTATTGCTTATTTTGTTAACAGCTCACTCAGGTTACTTTCCAAATGGCCCCCATACTTTTAAAATTCCCAAAGTATGATGAAGTTTGTCATATGCTTAATCTTCAAGGCACATTATGGGCAGTATCCTCAGAGATAATTGTGGAACATACTCGACATTGTGGCATTCCTTTGTGGTACAGGGATTGCTTCCATTTTAGCTTCAGGTTTTTGTCAAGATTTTTACTGGCCCATGTAGTCTGTTTTATGGGGATTTTTAAACAAAATATTGTATTGCTGCCTGCATTGTACCGAGTGTTGGAGTCTGATATGTCTCTCTCTTTAATTAATGGTTCATACAAAGTGATTTAATCTGTTTTTATCTAGGTGCACATAGCCATTGATACTGACATGCCTTTAAACCCATGACACCCATAGTATGGGTGTCAGTGTTTAAAGTTTCTAATTTTGTTTTTTTCCAGTGAATGGTTTAGGAGTAATAACAACAATTATGACTATCATCATAATTTATTTATTATTTAAAATATCACAACAAACATTGACACTGATCTTTATCTTTGCATTTTATAATTGTGATTATCCAATGAAAATTGCAGAAACATTCTCTTAATTTTTTTATGCTTGGTTAGGAAACTGCATGTCTGAATTCATGGGTCTGATATTTGGAAATTATGAGGCAAAGAAAGAAGGATTTCAGCCTGGTGGTGCTACACTGCACTCAGTGATGACTCCTCATGGGCCTGACACACAGTGTTTCGAAGAAGCTACCAATGCAACTTTGTGTCCCACCAGGGTGGCTGATGGCACACAGGTAAAAGCCAATGGCATAATTTCTTATCTATGGTTGTTACACAGTGCTTACAGCATGAAATAGCAAAATTTAAGCCCCTTTGATATACAACACAAGGAGAGTGTATAAGTAAATTAAAATTCTCATGCACTTATTAAAAGATAAATGATTGTATTATCTGCCATCTAAAGCTCATATCTCTGCATCACTAATCAACCTGATACAATAGAAATTCTTTCATTTACAGGCCTTTATGTTTGAGAGCTCACTGAGTCTTGCTGTCACAAAGTGGGGTGAAGAAACATGCCAAAAGCTGGACAAGAATTACTATAAGTGCTGGCAAGGTCTCAAGAAACACTTCAATCCAAAATGGCAACCTGATGTGCTCTAAAGGTCCATTCAACTTTCAAACACGATATATTCTAAACCATAGCACCCACTCCTTCCTGTAGGTGTTGCCTGAAACTCCTTCATATATCCAGGTATATAAGTAGTTGGAAGATACAGCACAGTGATATAAAACACAAGAGATTGGTTGAATGTGTGAAGTGACATGTAAAGAAACTCAATTGTCTGTCACTAAGCCTACATATTGTTCTAGATTTGTCACCAGTAATGAGACACAAATGTAGCTTGTAGTAATCTCTTCACCAGCCTGCATTTTGGGGTTACACACATTATGGTAATTTGAGTATTTTGTGCATCATTTCACTTCACACATAACTTATTAACTAATTCTGTGGGGCATACTTTAGAAATTGTTGGCTGGTCAGCTGCCTTATATTCAACCTCAGGTTCATTACTCTGTTCACAAGTTGCAACCAGATGTTATCCTGAACTAACTGAATTTGTTCCACTCCTGATTTAAGATGCATTTTAGTGTTATCCTCCCATCTGTACTTCATGATGATGATGATGATGATGATGATCATCATCGATTCAACCTTTTGATCCCTTCCATTCCTCCAGAAGATAGGTTGAACCTTCTAGCAAAGCTTTCGGTGACCAGTGGACCTTCTTTCAGGTGTAGTTCATTAAGTGCTTTGGAGTATGTTCTCATTCTGTCCTTTCATCTTGAATCCAGTCTGTTATTCTGAATCTACCCTTCTCAAAAATATATCTTCTCCTCTTTTAAGGTTTTGTAGCCTTTCTGATTTTGCCATGTGAACTATATGACCTGTATTCCTCTCTCTCCACAGATAATACATGTCCTGGTCACTTAATTCCGTATATGATCATCTCCATAGTATTGGGTGAAGAGTGCAGATTATGAAGCTCTCTGTTATGTTTGCCTATTTCCCTACTACTACTACTTCCTCTTTTCATTTAAAATTAAGTTCTTTTTTTTTTTTTTTAGGATAGGAGTTGTAAAGTTTCTGAACTGAATGATAGCAAGCATTTCCTTAATTTAATGGGTCATTCTTTGGGAACATAAATGTGACTTACTGTAATTCCTAAATATTTTACCTACACCATATTTTTTAAGGTTTATTAGCTAGCTTCATATTATGATTTTCTCCTGTATTTCTGTTATGAGATGTAAATATATACCTAAGTTTCCTGTGTTTATTTTTACACCAACCCCTTTTTTAGTATCTAATGAAACTTCCTTTTCTTTATGGTAGTTATGTTTTAGCCAAATAAATAATCAGCAGCAGCATAAACCTGAAGTTGATGTGATGTATTCAATTTCAGTCCTCCCTGATTTTCTTCAGTGTTCTTACTGGTGTATTCTGAATCACACTTAATACAATGGTAACAAAGAATCTATTTGAAACTACACTGAACAGGACCAATTTGGACTCTTAGAGTCATGCATTCTTAACCTTGAAACTCAATAGAGTAAGTAGTCAACTTCAAGCCTAGATTGCTTTAACCCTAGAGAGAACTGCTGATAGCAACTGAATGGAAGGCTGGTTGGACCACAGAAAGTCTTGATAATGTGAAGAGAAAATCCTACCACTCATGGGAATTGAACCCTGATTCCTCAGTCATCCAGTCCACAGCCTAGTCACCATATAAACTTGGCTCTCTCAGCTCAACAGCATTATACTTCTCACAGGCTCTATTGAAGTCTATACACAGATGATGCAGTATATCATTATGTCCCCAGGATCTGTCAAATCCAGAATCATAGTAGTGTATCAGAAACTGCATGGATCCCCAAGTCATATGTATGGAGTTAATGGTGAGAATAGAATCCTGGTTGAAATTTTGTATTAGGTTGATAAGAGTGATATTTATCAGTAGCTACTAAGTTCTGCTCATACTCAAGCACAATACCGTAACATTACATTCCTTTACTGCTGTCCCATTCCTCCTTATTTCAGATCGAATTCATATAAATTCATTCCCAATCGTCAGTTTGAAAATATTTTCTCTCTCCTTTTGTACTCTGTATCTACTGCTTACTCAATGCTACAGAACCTGTCCAAAGCCAAAAACCCCTTACAAGATTTAGTAACATGCTCAAGTGGTGGGACCATACTTTTGGTTGTCCACAAATTCATATTCAACATATTCACAGGTACATTCCATATGAGGTCATCTCCATCTGCAACTTGAAGACTCATCATGCTGTGATGACAAGGCCACTTAAAATGGTATCACACATAATATATGCAATAAATAAGGCTTTTATGGAATTAAAAACTGGTGAATTCAAGTGGCCTTACTAGCCAACTGCAGCCACCAAACATTTTGATTAACAAATCCTTATAACACTGATTGGTGTAGAGCCTAGATAATGAATACCAAAACACAATTTGATACCAGCATGACGAAACAGACACCTGTTTCAAACGTGTGAAAATCCATTAGTGAAACATAAGGGAATTGTAAAATCTTTAAATAAATGTAAGTACGAGCATTCACTTTGGTGGCACAGAACATGAAGGAAATATATATTCATCCTATTCCAAAAATTTGTCCTCTATTTCTGAATTGAGTACCCTTCACAGGAGCAAATGCAGTGTCTTCCAATGTTCAGCTTTCAAATATCTGCAATTCATGGTCTGAGTTGTTCGTCTTGGCACAGAACACAACTATATAAAATGATGGGAAAACAGTTTTCACATATAATCTTTGGTGTATGAGAAATCTGGCAACAACATAAATATGTAGGGCTTACGGTTATGATGAGTTCCACTTCTGGGATATAATGCCGTGCAGTCCACTGAAAGAAAACCAACATTTCAGAGGAATGTGTTTCCTTCATCTTCAGTATCGAAGAACAAGGTTGCAAGAAACCAGTGTGAAAATAGGAAGCAAGCAGAGGCTCTTGCTAGGCTTGTTCTGTGACCCTGAAGATGAAGGCGACACACTCCTCTGAAACATTGGCTGACTTTCTCAATAGATTACATGGCATCAGAAGAACTCAAAACAATAAATTTTTAATCACGTAATAAGCAATTTCTAAACTGATTCTCCTTTTTATTCTGTTGTGAATCTCGCTTTTGTTTTTTATTTCTCCACATACTTAAATTCATACACGTCTTAAATTATGTCTTGTTCCTCATGATTTCATGTACTTTGATCTGCATTTGTTCTGGCTAATAGTAATGGATGTATACAGTTGTCTTCAAAATTTAATGTAAATACATATGCAACACTATTGAACAATTAACACTAACTGTTTCACACTTCAGAGAAATGCAAACAATGATATTTATAGAATCATAAAAGATGCAAGCATAAACCACAAAGAATGCCCACCTGCCAGATAAGAAATGTGTATAGGTACCATTAAAATAACATGTTACATATAAATACGAAAATGTGGCTAGAATTACTCCTGAATTTGATAGATGGAAAAGGGAATATGTCCACATCTCAGTCAGCATGTATGTTCCCTCTTTCAACTGATACAGCTGCTTTATTTATTCTGAAGACTACTTATTGTGGCATGCTGCTTACAGAATTTGCAAAGTATCTAGTAAAAACTAACACATTTATTCATGGTATATACCAACATCATCTTTAAAATTATACATGAAAGTGGAATATTAGGTTCATAAAGTCATTTTCTATTTATTGACATGTTTTCTGATTTCTGCTCCTGGCCAGTCCTCCTAGCAGAAAACATTACAGTAAAAGTACAAACATGCTAATTCATAATACTGAGCTGAAATTGCATACTGAGATTTGAAAATGTCATTACTATTATAAAAGTTATCTGCCAAGCCATTTGACATTCACTTTCCTCCACAGCGGAAATATGTTCAAAGAGGATACAAACCCTTGGAAATCATTAACTTTTAGAGTTGAAGCTTACAATAAAAACCAGTGTGTTACAGGTGACCAACAGTTTACTCTCTTGAGAGCACTGATTGTATAACACAAGTTACCACTACATTTGCTGTTAAAATAATTAGAACAGGATATGGTCTTTCTTTTTAAAGTTCATGGTTACAGCTGGCACACAGAAATGGGTAAAAGACAATTTTTATTCAAGTGGAGAAAAACTGTGAACACTCCACGAAGATTTCCCAAATGCAAAGTCAATATATCAGGCCAAAACGAATTAAATTAATATAATACACTGAAAATAATGCTTTCAAGTATAGTGCATTATAATATTTATATGAGTTATATGTAAAACATATGGCATTGTTCATGTCACAACAGAGTATACAGAGATAAATTTCATAATACTGAACCTGAGCAGTTATTAGAAATTTATTCAGTAACATGAAAATTTGTATCAGATCCTGAAAAGTGTATATTACATTAACACAATATTTGCAACAATACAATACACATTTTCTGGTACTTTTATCTGCATTGAATAGAGCATGGAATTCTTCAGTGTACACTCGTCTCACATATCATTCACATGTGTATTAAACCTACTAAAGCACTTGTTAGTTCCTGACAATGTATAAAACATATAAAGAGGAGACTGTAAATTCATCCTCCAAACTTTTTATGGAATTTTAATACAAAGGGAGTACAGCTCTTTTTGCTACATGCTGTGATCATCATAAGTAATTACAGCAAATTATTTTCTGCTATATACTGGGTGGGTGAATGTAACACTGTTCTGTTGATCTACTTTCTTTTACGTATTTTTTCTTCCTGTTCCATCACACTTAAATGCTGCATGAGGTGCACATTCACTGACACATTAGTTTCAGCATGTTTTGACTTATAGACAGCCACATGCATTTAAATTTAATAAAAGAATTTCCAAACATCTATATAAAGAGAATGAAATGTATTTTTTGAACGTGAAAATCTGAATAATTCTTCTAATTTTACGGATTTACTATGTAAGCAGTCATGCTGTCACCTGTGTAGATGTAATTGTTAAATTTGACTTCATTTTCAAAATTGGAAGGAATAAGTTTAATTTCAAAGGCAAAATACTGCACACAACAAACTACTTCTTTAACCGCTATTTACACAGTGTATGTGCCATGCCAGCAGTTCTTAGCGTCTAACAAATGCAATATATCATACATCCTTCTGATGCAAAGTGAAGACAATCTAGCCCCACCACCCAAACTCCTGCCTTTACTATAACATATCAAACATAAAACAAAGAGCACACTTATTAAAGATAAGCAGCGGCATGCACAAAGGGAGCCTGCACAGAATACCTGAACAGTGCTGAAAGCAAGAAGTAGCCACTACAGCACTGTAGACCTAGAGCAGGTATCCCTGTGAATTTTAAATTTTAATATTTAAAAAATAAATAAATTCAAATTGAAGATTTTAAAAATACCAAAATTCAAAAATCAAATTGACATATGTAAATTAACAAAGATTTTATACATATCTGACAAATATCAGCAAGAGGATTCTGATATATTGGGATCTATTAACAATGGAGAAATGAACAATTAAGAAAGCTGGTGGATTTAAATTTTAAACTACGTGCATTGTAACAGCTACGTGAGAGAAATACACCTGATGGCCATTTATGGCCAAAACATGTAGTGTAGAAGAAAATAAGACAAAAGAACTACAATAAATTGTTGCACTTAGGACGGAGTTTGTCATACATTGTGTAGAGTGTAACAGGATGCTTAAATATAAAACAAAGACTTTAAGATATATGCTTGGTGGAGCATTATCATGTGCAGGATTACTGCTTGTGCAAACTTGGAGGAACAGAGAAAAAACACCGACACTGCTGAATTACAATAGGCCTAAAAACCATAAATATCACATACTTAAAAGATATCCCCTCTTAATATATTGCAGGCATCAGATTCAGTTTAGCATTCTTAAATAATTTATTAATAAGACTATTGCAATTATTTTTATTTAATATATGGCTCCAATTATGGCTGACACATTATCTGCTTCTGGTCACAAGTAACCCATGGTTGTAATGATAATATAACATACCAAAGTATAAAAAACATATATATTTATATTTAGCATCCAAATTCAGTGCACATACTTGTGTAATATGAGGATCCAGAACCTTTAATATTTGAACATAATTGAAGTCATTATCAAAATTACCATACAAATAGTATACGCACTTAGCACACAAGACAACGCTGCACTTTTCATTGATATTAAAGAACCCTCTTAAATCAAAAATAAAACTTACAGAGGTACTTCCAAATGATATACAAAGAGTGCTCTATGCAGGCATTAGTGACATTAATACCAGAAAATGAACCCATAAAGACTGAGAGTGTAACATGGGACTCTTCATATTCACATAGCCCTAAACACTACCAAAATGTGTGATACCGTACTAATCAAATATGTGAAATGGTCTAGTTCCAGTTAACTGAAAATGACCAACTGCGCAGTCATATAAAGTGCAACTAAACTGTGTACGTATGATTTGAGGTGCTCGTGTTGGTGAATACTGAGACTGTGTCTTCTGGGATGACTTGCAGTCTGACAGATGGTTTCCAGTATTTCAGAGGAAACTACAGACTCTATCAACAGAGTAGGAGACAGCAGGTTCCTCCAAAAAACCATTTAGTAGACTATATGATTTCACATTCCTGAAGATTGTAATCTTAACAGTGATGTATACATTCAAATATTAATTTTTCTACCTGATAATACAAACGTTTATATTTCTTCATGAAGTTTTCAAATCTATTCCATAAAATATTACAGTAAATAGTTTAGCAGCATTTATCTTATAATTCAAAAGGGAAGCAGACACAGCTAACAATCATAACATTACATATGGGCACATACACTACACTCTCTCTCACCTTGTAACAATTTCCACGGGTTAAAATCAAGACCTTAGCTGTTACAATCATACTGTACACAGTGTTAATTCAAAAGTCAGAATTATTCTTATGAAGCTCCAGCTTCCAGTTCTGATGCTGGAGTTTCTGGTTCCTCATCATTATATATGTTTTCTGCCATTTGCCAAACCTGCAACAGTATAATGATATTATATAACACATCAATGAAAATATAATACATGGACAGTGATCGATGGAAATTAAAAGTAAGGATTTTATGTCCACTTCCACAGAAGAAATACTATGGCAGAGTATAAGGGTCAATGACTGTAGGATATTTCTGTCAGAGTGATGCTTTTCATCTTAAAATGTTATGACATATCTCAAAAGAATATTCTATTTATAATTACACCCAAAGAAATATTTTAAATATATTGGTTTCTCATATATGTTCTATATTTGCTTCTGTGTGGGTGACTGGTGATTTTATTTAGCCTCCTGTAGAAATTACATGGTTATATCTAAGCTATACTACACAGTCTCATGTGGACTTCTTAAATCCAAACATGCATCATTTAGTCAATCACAATACTACCTATAAAAATTACCTGATATAATAAAGTAAATGATAAATATTATATAATATGCCACCATTCCAGTTCTCAGTGTGTTGCAAAGTACATCAAACCATAATAACACATTCACGGAATATGTAGATATGCATCTCACTTATGAGAAGGAAACCACTGTCCGCAAGTCACAATTTAATAATTTGAGAAACAATGCTTTACTTGGAAAATATTACCTTGAGAACAAAATGTTATTTACCTTCTACTTCAAAATTATTTAATGGATATTTTTAAATACATTTCAGTCCTTGTGGCCTTACTATATTGCATGGCTTACCTGCATTATGTTATCTTCAGAAACTGAGCAAATTACCCATGGTTCATTTGGATTCCATGAGAAGTCTGAAATCTTTGCTGTGTGTCCACCATGAATGAACTGTGAAACAGGTAATGAATTAGTACTACTACACTGCCAACCTTTGTAAATGTTTGAAGTTGTATCTCCAGGAGACATTTACATCTTGGATATGTACTTAGAATTTTCTCACATATTACTAAAATGACTGACTACAGTTTGGGTGACCAGGCTTAGCTTCCTGGAAAAGCAAGGGATTTTTCTCTTTGCCAGTATCTCCACACAGCCTCTGCACATTCATCTCTTTGTCATGCCACTGCTACTGAGCTCTTTCCATAAGGATAAAACCAAAACATGACGTTAACTGTTCACCACTGACCTTATCACCCATATGCCTTCATGGCAAGGTGCTCATGCACAGGGCACTTTACTTCTTCCAAAAACTAAGTGAACTATTATACTTATATATGGATATTACATAATAGAATGTTTAAATCTGTTTTCAGGTCCTAAGTCTCTTCCTGTTCTTATTTTATCCAATGGATAGAAGGTTGGGTAGACCCTAGAAGTGGTGTAGACACAGGGGAGAAGAGAAAAATTCCTTTCCCCTGCAAGGAATTTAACTCCAATTCCAGTTTTGAGTCTGTCACCATACCACCCAAGGTATCCTGGCTCCATTCCACAATCAATATTTGACACCTTCAGGTGACAAAAACTGAGTAATATTATCCTTCACTAGCTTAGTATATGATTCCATATGAATTGCCATTTTGGAACTGTGATATCAAACATACTTATATTCACAATTGCATGAGCCATAGCATATGCACATGGGTGATGAAAATGCAACATAAAAAAAACAATACTTCATGGCATGAAAGTATGTTACAGTAGAACAGTTAGTTTCACCTAAATTACCCACATGCAATTCTAGCTCACATATACTGTTAAACATTTCTGAAGACTGGCAAATGAAATTCACTCATTTCAGAAAGCAGCAGTGAAAGGAGTATCAGATGACTGAAAGTGATAGTATCTCAAACTACTTCCCAGAAAATTACAATTATTTCTTATGAAAAGTATTATCAGAATTAGGATGGTAGAAATTAACAAAATTTTAGAAAGATACTGAACAGACCAAGAGTTCTGGAGGTCCATCTTCTGCATCCTCTCCTGACTGCTCTTCTCCAATTTTGCTAAGGTCCCACACATGCAAACGTCTGTCTGTGCCGCTAGATGCTAAGATAGTTTCATTATGTGGTGACCATTGTACCTGTAATAAAAAAGGTACAATTTTTCACATTCACTAAGTAAATTTTTAATCACCAAATATCCCATAATATCTAATCAGAATTAACCTCTCACTGGAATAGTTTAAAATCTGATTTATTAAGATGATAATGCAGGAGTACTTTTTAGTAGTTTTTTGCACAAAATGAAAATGTGATAAGGTGGTTGTGTCCATCACCCCTCATTGAGATCTACATATCTTATTTAAAAAAGCTGTCTGATATGTAATTCAAGAATGAAATTGTATTCAAAAAGCTACCTTTCTACATTCATCACAGCTTTTATTGCTTACTTCTGCTATAAGACAGACAAAAAACGAATTTTAACATTTTTGTAGCATCTGCCAACTGATCACCTGTTCATGTTGTCTGTAGAAGGTTAATGAAATACAAGAAAACATAATTTTATTCACGATCAATTACATACAATAATGTAGCCCTATATTCCTGATTAGCTAATCAATGACATCTGCAATAAATGAAAATTAAGACTATATACTGTAAACTCCAAATAATATACTACGAAACTCTGAGTACTTCGTATGTAGTACACGTCTAACACACTTGTCAAGATCAGTATACATACAATTAAATGAGAAAATTTCCTTAAAAAATTCAGGACTTCATTGCGTATGTTACTTCAATATTTAGGAGTACTCCTTACCTGGAAAATTTCATCTTTATGTGATTCAAATGAATGTAGTTTCAGCTTCAGATTTCTAAGATCCCACAGTGCAACAGTCTGCAAAAGTCACAAAATTAATCTTAGTAGAAATAAAAGCACTCCATTTTACAATGACCCCTGTCTAATTAAATTTTAATATTCCTCTCTCAAAATGGCTTTAGAAATAAGCCTTTCTTTTCGACCCAAAACTAGCAGCACAAGTGACTGGAACTGCCAGAAGAAAATTTCTAAAAAGCATACCAAATTAAAACTATGGTTGTACTTCAGCTTTTACAATTATATAAGCTCAAACTGTCACATGTTTTACTGACAGAGAAAGAACCAATATACACTGGAATACTACATGATGACACAAGAGTGAAGAACAGAGCATTAGCCAAAAATGCATCATATCAGTCTAAAGTTCTGATACTGCACTATTTTCAAGTCATATTATAAAATCCCCATATATTTCAAGTCCATTTTCTATGGGTTAAAAAAGAAAAAGTATACACCATAAGCATTAAGTAAACCAACAAAGTAAAGATCTGTTACCTTATCAGCACTGCCTGTAGCCAAAATAAATTCTGAATATGGATTGAATGAGAGGCAGTTTACTTCTGCCGTGTGTGCATCTACTGTGTGTGATGGTTTGCTTGTATTGTTGCAGCGAGTATCCCAGATCATAAGTTTCTGATCATCAGCTACTGACCCAAATAAAGACTCATGTAACAAATGCCATGCAACATCCTGTAATGGAAAGTATGCTGTCAGAGATGTTACAATAATGTGTACCAGCCTACTGAGACTTCTATATTAGGTGAGAACATTTGTACATTCTAAAGGAAAAGACATAAGGTAGCACACTCTTCCTCTTAATCATATACATATCAGCCATGCACTCATACCTCTGCTAACTTGTATTTTCTTCAGCTTTATGAATTAGGCCCCTGGCCTGATTCAATTCAGAATTACCATCTAACAGTATGAATCTCTCACACATCTAGTATGGCTCCTCAGACAACGGACTGCCTCATTGCAGAACACAAAGAAAAAACATGGACATATAACCATGCCTCACGTGAGATTCAAATACACTATCTCTGGCAGAAGACAGTATGCACTGCATGGCCACTGTGATCAGCAACTTCCTATATTTAATTTTGCTAGATTAAAGGCAACTAAAGAGTTGAAGGAATCACAGTGCAATTTAAAGTAACCCCTTTAAATTCTATCTGTATATAATGTGGCGTGTTATATGTGGTCCACTGCTGAGCAACGAAACAACAGAAATTGTTGAGACTGTTGTGTAGGAATATCCACAGCAACGAGTGTTCATTGCATAAAAATATTCAGTACACATCCCTCCCCACTAGGCTGTGATGTCACGCAACAGGGGAGTCTGTGCAGCGAAAGTTGCTAGGCAATCAGTAAACACATTTTTTGTGTGATCGGGACAGCAGCTACATAGCTACTCGTCAGTGTTGATTCAGCAGTCAGTTGAAATGTAGCAGCCGCCGAAGAAGTTAGTCACAATATACACAAAGGGACTTAAAACTGAGGAGCAGCATCCAGTACCCCTGCTTTCTATACACTAGATTGCTAGTTCAAAATTGGACAAGAGATTGATCATACTAAGGCATTTACGATTTCTGTCACTTTCCCTGCAAAAATGACTGGACCATGAGAGCCATCCCAATCATTCTATATAACAGGCATGGCCAACACATCAATCGCGGGATGATTTTTGATCGATCTCATAGGCCTATAAGGATATTATAGTGAAAAGCATGTAAATTCACTTGTAATATAAAATAAGAAAGAGATCATAGCTACTATTCAAGATCTTTAATTATCAAGAAACACACTGTGCGGCAAATAGAAATGATGTGTGGAAACATAACTGAACAGTTGTTGAAAGACGTTTCCAACTGTGTTGCTTTCTCCCTCCAACTGGATGAATCTACAGACATCAGAGACAGCCCAGTTACTAGTTGCTTTTACAACAAACATCATGTGTCGTGTTATTTTTACCAATATTTTTGCTTAAAGTGAGGTACGATGGGAGGAGGTGGTAGATCACTGGCAGTTTTGACACTAAAACGTCGATCACAACCTGTCTGAAGTTGGACATGCCTCCTATATAATATAACCTCTTACAGCTGGCACCACACCATAAACATATAAGGAAAAAGAGACTGGCAAATAACACAAGACTTGTGATAATGGTTCATTGCCACAGGCTTCTTACACTGCTCAAACACACAAGTAACATACAGTTTCTACCAAACAATATGTATGTGGTGCATTAAAATAAGAAAATCTCAAGTATAATAATGTATATACAGCAAAACTTGGTTATAGCAACATCGGTTTCTGCGACACCTTGTCTATTGCGTCAAATATTCAATGGTACGAACTAATTCCTCATAAAGCAACTGTTTTTATACCTTGCTTAGTACGACATGCACAAATGCATCAACCTCGTATGTAACATCATTTTCATTCCTGAATTTCTCTGATATCGTGGGAAAGTTCAATGTGTCTGCCCACCCTCACTTTCTCTACTTGCTGACATGACTGTCCTGGAAGAATACGACCGTAGGCTGCAAGAGCAGCGTGGGTTTTATGCAAAAACAAGGGTGTGGGGTGGGACTGCGTGAATAGTGCAAGAGGACGCGGCAGGTTGTTAACTGCATTCCTTTCCTAGAATCTCGTCTAACAGGACCTCACATTGTCTACTTACCCTATAGTGTTCCTGCCTAAACCCAGAGAAGTGCAGTAGCGAAAACATGGCAATGAAAAGGAAAGTTTTAAGCATTGAAGAGAAAGTTAAAGTGATTCGTGAAATATTGTGTGTATTGTCAGTGAAAAGCGCTGTAATATGTCTTTGATATTACACATTTGGGCAATTCCACGTTAATGTTACGTTAGTCTGTACTTAACTACGTATTTCACTAAAAAATGCAACATTTTAACTCGGTTTTTGGTAGATTTTTACGTGACTAACATAAGGCTACTGTGGAAGTGCCCATTTCGGTTACAACGACATTCGTTTATAACGACACTATTTTTAGGTCCCTTTGATGACGTTATAACCAAGTTCTACTGTACATTTATCTTGACATGCTTTCCTAACTGGGATTGCCATGCAGTACAAAAACTTAAGATCTTCAGATATACAATGCAATGAGATCATACCGGTCTCTCCAAAGGAGATATAACAGTATCCTATCAAATGAAACAATCTTTACCTGAAATAATGATCAATTATGAATGGAAGGCTAGTGTGCATGTACACATCTAATAAGAGATAATAATTATACAAATTCTGTCATTAAGAAAGGTATGTTGGATTAAACATTACCTCCACAACAGCTGTATGGCCTGTGAAGATTGTTTTTGCATCAATGATGCGATTTTCTTTTGGAGTAGCATTAATGTCCCACAGACAAATAGTATGATCATCTGAAGCACTGAGAAGATAGCCATTCAGATTTGGATTCCAAGACAGACCATAGCCTTCTTTCTGATGACCCCGAAGCCTGAAGCAATATACAGAAATAAATAAACTGAATTCTAAACTTCATGCCCAAGGACAATTGAACACCATCCAAACCAAGAAGTTGAAGCATTTTCCCCATAGCCTAATTTGTTTCACTATAAATTTATGTATCAATAAAACTAATGTTGAATAAATTTCTCAGTCTTGTGATAGGCTGACTTCTACACAAAAAATGTAAGGGTCAGAACAAAATGTTAACACGCGCCCCCATATGGCAACAATGAATGCTCTACAGCAGACAACATACTTCTGGCATCACCTGATGAGTGCCAAGAAGAAAAGGATATATGATTATTAGCATGACATACCTTGCTCAAATTATATATAACATATAAACCCTTTAGCTATCACAAGTAAACATGGCATACAAAGGTGTACAATAAGATATTTGTGGGAATAAAAGCAATATCTATATTTTAAGATGAAAAAATTAATAAAATCTCATTTACTCCCATTTGCTACAAGAAGGATTTTAAATTAATTTTCCTGCAAGTACCGGCCAAATTTAAAAAGCCCAGAGACATTGTTTGCAGTAATTATGTGACAATCAATCAAATTGTGTGTACTGTCACACAATGGCAGCTGTCTTATACAGTCTCTGATCTGATAAGCAAAAATTAATGCTCTGTGCCATAACTGATTAACACAGAGTACCACTGGTTCTTACTCCGAGGCCGTGTGCTTAATCAGTAAACAATTAACATCAACCACTGCTGATCCTTGCATCAAGGTTGTGTTCCTGACTGACTTCATTAACTTAGTTAAGGCACCTGGGATTTATACCATATGCATGAAATACTGCCAATCTGTGGAGTATATAACTCTTAAAACAAATGAAAAAATTTCTTAAAGGAAAGTGACAACATGAAGTTCTGAGACAGGAAATTTTAAGGTTACACTTATGAGACTTATGGCCAGACTTAAAAGAATGAAACTTCTTAAAGGAGAAAACTTATCTGGAAACACTCCATTTGCATCAATTCTATACTGAAAACCATAACACAATATTTCCTGATCTACAAAGATACAGACCAATTATCTCACCAACATAAAAACAACTATAAGCTGCAACCTAGTTTCTGGAGATGCACACTGAGAAAATACAGTTACTGCTTCTCTGAATGGGTCATGACTCAAACCTTGAACCAGCAGAAAAACAGGAGCTACTTGTGCATCTGTTAGGACATCATCTTTGATTAGAAACTTTTGATACTGACAAGCATAATTTGACATGCATAATGTGCAAGTACACATTAATTTCTAAGGTTATGCAGAAGACAACTGAATTTCCCTCTTCAAATGTGTAATATTTTAATACTGATATGGATAATATTTATACACATACAGACACAAGATACATAAGGTAACCCCCAAGAGAGAGAGAGATTAAAGATAATTCAAACATAAATTAATCTGTCATAGTTTCTTCGTTCTAACATAGTTCCTTATAGACATGTGAGTACCTGAGATCAGGGTGGCATTCTCCACTAGGGTCAGGTTTTGAGGGATGTTTAGTGTAGTCAAATACCAATACATCACTCGAGGGAGTCTTTGTTGCAATGACACATGGATTCTGTGGCATATATCTGGCTCGATTAACCTCACCTTCATGGTTTATCTTGATTTCAATCTCAATCTTACCACTCACAGAACCAAAGCCACCAAATTCTGCCAAAAGAAAAAAAACTCTATGAAACAGAAATGCATGTGGAAATAAATCAACAACTTCTGGTCTGGTTTGTGGGTAATGGTCAACATAAAATTCTGAAGCTTATTACCATATTTATTTGCATGATTAACAATCTCTTAACCATAAATTTGTCTCTAAAGTTGGTGATGCATGAAATACGTGAATACTACCTTTCAAGGTATAATTGTACATGTTACACTGAAATTTGGAAAATGATGTCTGGCTAATATTAAGGAGATGGGCCATGTTAAAGATGTTATTGCCATTCCTTGTGGCGCAATTTATAACCATGTGTCTGAACCCCACTGTATAACTGTTCTGAATGTACTGGCTACAATACAGCTTGATGGGGAAGTCCCACTAACAGTAAGGCATTCCATCTGCTCCCAGACTGTTCTGGGTCAAGAAATTGGAGAAGCAATAAAAATTAAAAGGCAAAGACATGCTAATATTATCTAAAAATACGTGGGGCAATCCAAAAGTTTCTGAAATTTGAATTTTGCGCGCTAATGATTATGAGTATATTGAAATACCAATAGGTGTCTCCTCACACACCCTTCTTGAATCAGTGTGGCAAGCGGCGTCAAGTCGAGTGGTTGGGTTTATTATTGGTGAACGTAGTTCCATTGTTGTGTTTGTTGAGTTTGCGGTTTTGCGATGGCTGACCTGAGAGAACAGCGTGTCTGTATAAAATTTTGTTTCAAACTTGGGAAAACCGCTGCAGAAACGCACCAAATACTGAAGCAAGCTTTTAGTGACAACAGTTTAGGCCAGACACAAACTTACAACTGGTATAAGCGTTTTAAGAATGGCTGAACATTGACTGATGATGACGATCGTTCGGGACAGCCGTCAACAGGCAAAACACCAGAAAATGTCACGAAAGTTAGGAATCTGATTCTGGAAGACCGTAGACTGACCATCCAAGACCTCTGTAACACCTTGGGACTAAGTTATGGTACATGTCAACGAATTTTGTCAGAGGAACTGAACATGAGGAGGATTGCGGCGAAGTTTGTGCCACGACTGCTGCAAAATGAACAGAAGCAGCATCGCTTGGAAGTCTGCAGGGAACTTCAGCAACAGCTTCAAGAGGACCCAAACTTTCTTTCGAAGGTTGTCACTGGTGACGAAAGTTGGGTTTATGGCTACGACCCTGAAAGCAAGCAGCAATCGTCGCAATGGAAGAGCCCTTCTTCACCTCGGCCAAAAAAAGCTCGACAAGTCAAGAGCAACATTAAGTCCATGTTGATTTGCTTTTTTTTTTTATATTGACGGGATTGTTCATAAGGAGTTCGTCCCTCCTGGTCAGACAGTCAATAAAGAGTTCTATCGCGATGTTCTAAGGCGTTTGAGGGAGAACATGAGGAGAAAACGTCCAGAGAAGTGGCGCACGAACGACTGGGTACTCCACCATGACAACGCACGACCGCATACGGCTTACATTGTGCAGGAATTTTTGGCTAAAAACAAGATGGCAGTTGTTCCCCACCCACCGTAATCGCCAGACTTAGCTCCATGCAACTTCTTTCTCTTCCCCAAGATGAAAATCAAGTTGAAGGGGCAAAGATTTGATACAGTTGAGGAAATTCAAGCGGAAACGCAGACGGCACTAAACACCCTAACAAAGAAAGACTTCCAGGATGCATTTGAAAAGTGGCAGAAACGCTGGGATCAGTGTATGCGCTCCCAAGGGGACTACTTTGAAGGTGATGGTGCAGAATAAGATCTAGGTAAGATGTAATAGTTTTTATTAATATATTTCGGGAACTTTTGGATTGCCCCACGTAGCTGTCATTCTTAGACACAGAGGGATGGGGTGGGGCAGATATATAAATTTACTTGTAACATTACTGTGATGTTTTGCAATAGTACACACATTCTTTTGTCCACAAGCCATTTCATTTATGAAATATAGTAACACTGACATGTTGCGCAACGGAGAACCCCTCCCTACCCAGCAGCAACGTGGCAACTCAGGCCACAGTGACGTGGCAGATGAGTCAGCGCTCCGTCACCCCCCCTATGCGCGGTGACGTAAGATGGCATGAGGTAACAGCGTTGCTAGGCTATACACAGACACTGTTACTTGGCACGCAATGACGCTGTTGACGCGGGCAACAGGTAACAGCGAACGGAATATAAGCCGGCTGAGCAGCAAGCGAGAGCCAGTGTGTTATCAACAGTTCTCAAGGCAGCAGCCTGCGAGTTGGGTTGGAATCTAGCCAGTGGTGAGTTACGAGTGAAAGTGTGTGATAATCAGTGACAGTTTGTGATAACTGAGAACTGACTGGGAGTGTCTGATACAGTAACACTTATATAGCTCCCGTACTGTGAAACGTGTAGACTACTGACAATAGAGTGAATTGAATATTGCGAATAGGGTTATAAGTTGTGAAACCCCGCAACATTGTCATAATTAATTGTAGCCGTTACTTGTAGGTTGTTGAATAAACCAATTAACAATCTCTACGGCGTCTTCAGTAACGAAACACGTTACAATACATTAAGGCACATACAGGGTGATTCACGAAGTTTTACCCCCACTTAGGGAGGGCATTCCTGAGGTAATTTGGAACAAAAAATATTATTATACTAATGGTATCCAACTCATAATTAAAGAGGTACAGTAATTTGAAAACTGGCAAAAAAATCTTTTCTTCTTCGAATTTCAGTCAAAACAAATTAGAAATACAACACAAACACTTTTTAAATCAATGTTTTAGGAAAGAAGCATTCGAAAACCATTTTTTTTTTCAATTTCTTAATTTTGCATTGTGCAACATTTTTCATCGATTTTATGTTACAAAATACATTATTTTCAGCATCCCATTCTGTAAACATACCAATGGTTGCATATCACACCCTTCTATCAGTCTGTTTCCTTTAACCTGTAGTCCTTTAGAAGACGACTGGATTTACAAAAGATTTTCAAAAATTTCTCCCTGCACGTCAACACAATGCGTTGCACACACATGAACTGCGCTCGTAGCATTTCGCAGTTCCACACGTTTCTTCCTTATTGTCATTGCTGCGTCCAGAATACATTCAAGCAACGCTTCACGTGTTTGTACCTTTACCTGGTACACAATGTCCTTCATCCAGCCCCTAATGCAGTAAAATGAACGGCCCGATTAGCTGATCATACAGAACACCACACCAGACATTGACACTGAATCTGTGTTGAAAATTTGATTCTATCGTGGCACGGGGATTATTGTCTGCCCAAACATGTAAGTTGTGACCGTTGTTGACCCCATCCCATGTAAACTGTGCCTCACCGCAGAACTCATGAAGAGTCCGCCATGCCATGGACCAAGAAACACTGAACCACTGAGCTAGATGTCTTGTACTGGCACGCGGACTGCGCTCTACAGCATCGAGAATGTTTTCTTCTTCACATAATTCATGTTGAGGATTTCGTTCGTATTGTATACGAATGCCGGGGAGAGAACCAGTTTATCTTAATGTGTTGAATGTACTGCTAATGGATTTAGGATTCGGAATCCTGGAATTAGGATAACGCCAGTCATATTCGGCAGTAGCAGCTATCGGATTTCCATCACATACACCCAAAACAAACACCATATCAGCGTATTCCTCAGTGGAAAATGTGTACAGCATCTTAACTTCACAGTCACCAACACAACATCCTATTTCTGACTGGAACACTCTCCCTACCTGTGTGCAACATTCCAGCCGGTCTCCGTTATCTGCTGACACAGCTGACTGGAATGCACGGTTGCCCAGTTGGGGGGGGGGGCATAGCGCTGCATTCACAATGATGCATTTAAAAAAATCCATTGTTACTCCGTAACTATTGAAAATCGACCACAAGTTTATAAGGAAATTTTGCAGGAAATAACCCCAGGAATATGTACCATAAGCCGGGGTAAAACTTCGTGAATCACCCTGTATAGCCTTTTCTGCACTACTAGACTATTATAGAGGTTCAGAAAAAATATTCTACAGTAACAATGTTCAACAATCTCTAATCAGCTATGATCTGAACCAGGCATATCCCCAATACTTGTCACAGGCATTATAATTTGAACAAACTTGCTGAGCATAAAGGGATAGATTACATTATTTATTATTTACAGTTATATCTATTTACCAAAAATTTGTCATTAGAAGTTGCGAGTAATATGTGGCATTTCATTCTTTCCATAAAACTTTGTCTAAAAGTAGGAGAGTGTAAATTATATGAGTAAATATGGTACAATTTAAATGATCTGCTAAATTACAGTACAATGAAATATAATTATAACCATATAAGTAGGTCTTGAGATTTGTTCACTGAAAGTAGTTTTCATGCTGAAAGTTTATAAAAAATAACTGACAATTACACTGCAATTCATGTTCTGAAGTACATGACTATAGCACGACTGTTTCTTAATTCATCAGGCCACTCACTAGAGTCTCCATGTGGGTGTCACATGGGTTGACATACATCACAGGTTAAATTTTCTAATTGTGGTTTAGCAACACTGCCAATAGTTTAAACTACATAATGTAAAATGATAACTGCAGAATGAACTGGAGAAGAGGTAAAGGAAAAGCTCAGAGTTTAGTTTAAAGTACAAATGCAGTACATACATGGAGGGCCTGGGGAAAACCACTCAAAACCTGCCAAGGCAGTCAGTGTTCCAGCTGATTCCACATGTAACGCCCACCCCTCAAATACAAGTCAGAAGCATTACCACTTCAGCCAACTTGTTCCTTATCACCAAGCATAAAAGAATTTCATCATTTAACAAGAAAAAGAACTTTATGCCCTCTGTCAATGACACAGACTCATAGCTAGTGATGTAGCGAGTTACAGATACTATATTTACACAAACTATGATTTAAATTTATATGAAAACTTTAACAGAAACAAACTCACCTCCTTTCTCGTTGTCATAATGTGAAGCATCAAACTGCGCATCTTCATTTGGCAACTGGACACTGGCTATCAACAAATGATTTTGCTCATCAGATGTGTGAGTCCCTAAGATTAGTCGATGCACTGAATAGTCTTTGCCCTCTGGCCTGAAAATTTAAAAACTTTATTATATGCAGGGAAATTTTCTAACATTTTGAAATACAAATCTACTGGTAATTTTACAATCCTTTTCATGCTAATAACAAAACAGATTAAATCTGATACACAGCTTAAAAAACCAGCAAATGGCCCTTTTGTGTGCACATCATTGAAGAACCATTTATTTTGGGACCCTTATCTCTTCAGAAAAAGGTAGGAGAAGGTATATGGGAGGACGGAATTTTACAAGTGAGAAAAACTTATCATTCATGCTGGCCGTGCCATAGCTCAAGCGGTTAGTCGCTGGCTTCCCACCATGGCAGCCCAGGTTCAATCCAAGGTCTGGTCAAGTTGGATTTGTGGTGGACAAAGTGGCGCTGGGGCGGGTTTTCTACGAGTACTTCGGTTTCCCCTGCCAATCTTCATTCCACCAAATTCTCCATCATAATCATCCAGGGCAGGCTACAATAGGCCAATCAATGGCTGCCGTGCCGAGTGGACCCAGTTGGACTCCACCCCCCACTAAGCGAATAACATTCATGCTATTGAAACATTTCATTTAAACAAGATACAGGTGCATGTTGGTGCCAATGACTAATAATTTTGTTCTATCATGCATGTCCTTTTAACATAATGCAGTGAGGAAATAAACTTAACACAGTGCTACACACATTAAAAGAGGTCAGTAAAATTTTCATGGCATAGAGATGTTAACCCATGAACCACTGTCAGCTAGAGGACCATTCCTTCCACTACATCTGTAACTGCTTATACAGCATTTACAACAATTTACATACCTGGAATCCCATTTCCACTTACCTCCTGACAAGTTATCTATACATATACCATATTCTACAATTAAAATTGTATCATCAATTGCATGTTTTATTCAAAGGGTAATTATATAACACTCATGGTCTGTGTGATAATTGTTATACCACAGTATTATCATTTTTGGGGATGTAACAAAACAAAGTGTTAAAAATCACCACATTCTTACATTTGGGCAAGGAAGGAGAAAGAAATGTCTCACTACTTTATGACACCGTCAATAGCCATAATATATAGTGTTGAATGAAAATATAATAGATAAATAATGAATTGGAATGGATTTAGAGGGTAGCAGTCATGGCCTAATTGAGGAACTATTTATTCCAGGATTCACCTGGGGAGACTAAGGAAAACACCAAAAACCCTGTCAGGATAGCCAGTGTCCCAACCGGGATTTGAATGAAGCACCTTCTAAATATGAGCCAAGACTATCACTGCTACATTAACCCATTTGGTGAAAAATTGTTTTACACATAGTCCAGATACCTTGTCACATCTGGCAGCCACTGTGCCGTCAGTGATGGCCACTCTAATGCATGGGTCATAACCAAGTCATACAAGAATGGTGTATTTTTCTTCCAAATTTTGTACTCTTCATTAATAACACGTTCCTCCACAGCATCGTCAAAGGTTTCTGAAATCCAATAATTGGGACAGTTAAATGTATACAACATGGACTTCTAAGTGTAATACTGCAAGACAGAGTAGAAAATAAACAATTTTTTGAGACAGAGAAATAAAGATGCACAACAATCTGGTTTCATTGTACAGAAAAGTCCTTATTCTAATTATGTGAAATATAACAACACAGGAACAAAAGCTTGTAATTTGTTTGGATTCTCATTATTATAGACAATAATAAGATCAGTTTTCATGATCTAGTAGGATTAGAAATGGAAGGCTGCATGAGGTTAAACACTTCCTTTGCGAATAAGGACAGAGAGAGACCAGCAGAAAGCAGTATCTTCTTACATACACAAAATTCCAAATTCTTAAAGAGAAAAAAGTAAACAGTAATGCTGATGTGTAACTGATGTTGGACATTCATTAATTACACGATGTGGTTTGCCTGGTCAACTTGGCACTGTCAGAAGGGGATGCAAGATGCTACAAAACATGTTAAGAAGATAAACATGAGAGCTGGGTGGTATGACCGATAACATGACTGGATAATCAAGGAAATTCTGAAGATTGAACTACACTCTGATCTAGAGAAAGGAATCCATCTCCCTACCTGTAGGCAACTGAGTTTTTAATATTGTACATAAGTCCATCACTATAACACTGCACTACCTCAGTGATCAATAAAACATCATAAAGCTGCGCCTGCTAATTAGAGGCAGATTTATACCCTAGTTGCATACAGTTACTCTCATACTGTGTGCTGTTACTGGTGGACAACTACTACTGCTGGCTGGTGAACTAATCAATGAAACACTGTGATAAAGAGTACAAATACATCAGATTTATTTACAAAATAAACCACCAGAGATTAGTATTTGGGGGAGGCGGGGTCAGAGCTCAAGATTTCTGTTAAAATATACAAACAATAAAAACTTTCAAACACACACATGAAAACCTATAATAAACGGGTACAAATAGAAAGTATAAATGATAATAACCAGTCACTTGAAACTCGATTTTTGCTTCCAGCGGTATGCACTAAAAATTTAACCCGATTAACTAACCTATTATAACTGATTTACTCTGCATCCAGTATGTATTGGTGTACTCACTGGTCACTGCCTTCATGTACGTATACACATGTTATTACTAACTACACAAACCCTATTTGGTACCACATGCAGTAATATCTGAAAACATTACCACGTAGCAATTATCTTCTCATTGAACCATAAAATCGTCATCTTATAAAACAGTCCATGCGTCTTTGCCCTCCGAACTAAAATACTAAATTGTGGCAACGTACAAATAGAACAAGCAAAAAGATCCAACAGTATCCAAATTAAATGCTGTCAATATACATATATCAATTAAAATCGTTTGGTTAATTACTTCAGCTGAACGATATTCACATTTTCATTCGTGTACTACTAATTGTGTATGCTTTAGCAAAAGAAAGCATTATAAAATACATAATATATTCCTATCGAAAGCCAAAATCGTCCAGTAAAATAGCCCATGCGTCCTTGTCACCAAACCAAAATACTGAACTGACACAGCAGGTACAGAATATGCGAATAAAAAGTAATACTATTAAAATTACCTCCATCTTTATCTCCCATTTTATTTCGGTGCACAGAAACTAAATACTCAGCTCACAACACAAATTTCGGAACAATAATACCTCCTACTAATCACAAACGCTCAACTCCCGCCAAAGTTCTTCCCGACCACTACAAACGCTACATACAGTCACTGCCGGTCCTTGCCGTCGTTGCTTGTCTCTCGAATCTAATCGAATCTAATGATGAACAAGAATCGCCAATGATTATATAACAGATGTCAAAGAACTAGATACGGAACATGCCAGAAAATGCACTAATTACCTAATTATTATTAGCTTTGATTCCAAGGAAACTGGCAACCGCAATTTCCGAGAATTGTAATAAACCTGAGTTGAACACATGTTGCAGAATGGAGCAGCGCAAATTGAAGAAACGGAAACGCAACTCGTGAAAAGACTGAGAAACTCTATTTCCAGGCAACGGAGCATGCTAGTCTTCTCACATTTGCGTTGCCGCGTGGTTTCCTAGTGTCAGCTGTTTTGTAACGCGCCGTCAGTGAATTAGTCTGTTTCTTTCGATGGCACGAAAGATTGGCAGAGTTGCTAATTTTGTTTCTGGGCAGAGAAGTGAGCAAGAGCCTGGTAAAAATGACAAACGCCACTCAGCTTATGCTAGACAGGACAAAATAGATTTGGCCTGGGAAAGAATTTCTCATGAAACGAAGGAGTCTGGATCCAGGTTAAGTTTTTCGAAACAATATAAGCGCCTCACTTTAAATTGCCACATAACTGATGCACCCGAAGTTTCCTTTTCTTAATATTGCATTTAAGCATCCTTTTGCATTAATATATCATTTATTTCACAATATTTCTGTCTTCAATACGTCATACTATAAAGTCATCCTTCTCACGCTGGTTCGCTCGCAGATTTCTTGTGTTCTACCCTGAAGATGGAGGCGATACGTTCCTCCGAAACGTCGGTTAACAATATCTACACGGCGCCACACCCCAGAAGGTTGCTTTCTTCATATATAAACTTGATTTCGCGTAGCTTGTATTGAACAAAGTCTCTGGATTGCTTGTAGTCCGCAGAGGATTTGAAGCAGATACCTACCGAATACATGGCATGAACTGAATTTGCCCCCACCTTGACTCAAACTCCGATTCCTTGGTTGTCCAGACCTTAGCCAGTTGCTTTGCCGACTACGCTATCCTGGTTATATATACAGGATTGGATTCCATTTTCAAATTATAAGCCTGCAATTTCACCATGGCGTTTTAACATCCGCTTTGTATGTGAAATTCTTTTGACTCTGGATGCCCCAGTATGAAGGTATGTGCCATGAATTTGATGAAATTCTGGGAATTGAGTGGCTGAGCAACTGCTGGCTTGTAAAGAATGAGCCAGCTCCACAGATTTAGTTACTTGATCACTTCCATAGCTAAGTATTCAAACCACACTGTATCATCATCGTCATCATTGTTATCGCCATCATCATCATCATCATCATCATCATCATTGCCGTCATTGTTTCCTGTTGTTGATGTTTTTGTTTTTGTTGCTGCTGCTGCTATAATTAGAGACCTGGGACACCTCAGTCGGTTTAGTGACAGGCTACTACTGGCTGGATGGTCAGTGCTTAATTCGCAGTATGAACAAAATTTTTCTCCACTCGTGTCCAGACTGACCCTAGGATCCACCCAGCCTCCTATCCAATGGGTACCAGGGGCTCTTTCCCAGGGGTAAAGCAGCTGGGACATGGAGATGACCACTAACTTCCAACAAGTGCCAGAGTCAAGAATGCTGGAGCTATACCTCCACTCTCCTGTATATTTTCATGGCACAGTGCTTAATTAGTTAAGCATAGGGACAACTTCACCTTTACCTTACACATGGTTCTGCTGGTTTGCAGACACACTATACATTTAATTTCCTTTAAACTACCTCATGTCTCTTCTGCTGGCAGTGATTCCACTAAAGGGAGGGTTTATGGATGATAAGCCTCCAGCTATGTTTGCCTACCCACAGTTTTTAACCTGGCACCTCTATCCATACTGTTCCTCTTATTTGTAAGACTATCAGCCACTTGGGTAAGCCACCTCAGTCTGGTCTCCTGAGACTCTAATGTAGTTTCTATTAAGAGGTTTGATTATGCATGAGAAACCATCAAATATACCTGCACTCTCACAGTTTTTCATCTTGAGTCCACAAGTTTCTCCTACTTGTTATATCATCCATCACTCATTTGGGTAAGCCATCTTGATTTGACCTGTGCTTTGGATCTTTTGTCTTTTAACATATGATTCCAAATCCCTACCATGCTGTCTGATTACATCCACTGTTTCAGTATGTCCCAATCACTGCAGCTTTTTCATCTACAAAATGCTAGTTTTTATCCTTGCGTTTCTGCAGATGCTTCTCTGCCACTCCTTTGTTAACAGAAGGAACGTATGCCTCTCCCATCTCCTTCCTGTGTATTCAGGTGGTAGGGAAACTCTGTTGGGTACTATCTCCAGCCCTTCCCAACCAATTCAGTTTTGCTGGAGCCATTGTTGCATCTATAAGTCCTTTGCCACAGACAAGGCACAATGTAATAGGACAGATTGAATCACCAGTCCATGTAAAGCCCATTGATAAGTAACTTTCATTACAAACCTTTTATGTGTATGTTATTATATTAATGCAATGAAATTTGTCAGAGGCTTGTGATATTTTGTCATTATCCCAAACAGAATTGTCTGTATGCCTAGGACTAAAGTCCCCCTCTTTTGTCACAAGCCTCCTCTTCAAAAATTGTCACATATGACCATCAGACATTTGTGTAAAACACAGGGGTTAATGAAATATAAAATAGAATGGCATAATAGACAACAAAATAAGAAAATCGCAAAAAAAGATATGAGAACTTCACAATGCTTCCAACCTACAATTTTGACCTTATACAGAGTTTACAACAAGTGTGTGCAGTATTCCTCTGTGACTGTTGCTAAGCACCAAATTCCCATCCCCCATTCATGCCTGTCTTCATTCACTGCACCCTCCTTTGCAAGTTACTGCAAAAGGATGAAAATGACTACAATGAACTATTTATTTCAATGTTGGCACATTTACTACCAATTAATTTAAATACTAATTGCTATTATATTATGAAGATCATTGAAATGTTCAAATAACTCTTTTAAATACTGAAAAACCATAGAAAATTTTAATAATTTGTGGGGATTTGTTGTTACTCCAATGACAACCCACTTCTTCTGAAAGTTTGTAGGTCCTGAAAAGGATCGTTGGCTGCTGGGATGTTTGGCCGGTGAAGTAGCGCTACGTACGACGGTAGAAATGATGTCGGATGAGGTGTGTTGCGGTGGCAGCTAAGCTGGTAGTCTGGCCGCAGAGCATGATTGCAGGATGAAGCCTGATTGCAGAGCGCGGTCGCTGGAGTGGCAGCAGCTGCGCCAGTTGCCCAGTGAGTTGGGCATGACCACCAGTGAGTCGAGGCAGCCAGTTGCCCAGTGAGTCGGGCATGACCGCCGGAGAGCCGAGGCAGCCGTGCGTGATGCAGTGAAGTGCCGATGCCTCCAAAGACTGAGCGCTCTGTACGAAATGTGTTAGCTGGCTTGCTGGTGTGGTCACTGCTGCTGACTGAATGCGTCTCAGTGCGTCTCAGTGCTGCTGGGTTGGAGATGCGCCTTTTTATACAAAGCGTGATGGAAGAGCAAAAATTTGCTGAGCGCTGATTGCGTATAATGACTAGACAGTGAGTACTGTATAAATGCGAACGTTGCAAGCCATTTGATTGGTTAGCGCGCGTGATGGTGAAAAGTGAGCGCTGTAGAAATAGTGTGATGGTATGTGGGATGTTCCCACAAATTAAAAAAGGCAATAAGCAAATATTATTTTTATATAAGTTGTAAACTCCAAATATAGGACATAGATAGCTTTAATGATCGTTATTAATATAAACACACATAAGCGTGAATGTGAAAGCCATACACATACACACATATTTTTTCCCCCATGATTTATTGCTCAACCCTGGGGTCCCAGGGAACCCCCAATTGAGAAAGGCTGCTTTAACAGACAACTGTTGTTGGAATCAAGGCATGTAGGTGCAAAGAACAAATAACTATTTAATAGGCTCAGTATACTCTTTCTAGCTATGGAGTGCTTATTGGCTCTACGAATATTTTCAGCCAACAACTTGGAAGTGTTTCATAAATATTCGGAATTCCATGCAGTCAATACAAGACACAAGCCTGAAAGCGTTGCCAATATTACAGTCTACCAAAAAGGAGTATATCACACCGGAACAAAACTTTATACCAAATTTTGCACAAAAAATTAAATGTTTATTGCTCAACAGTACACAATTCAAAATATCACTAAAGACAGTTCTTCTGATTCAGAACTTCTACCTTGCAGATTAAATCCTATTTTGAACAAGAGCAACTTCACCAGTCATTGGTCAGATCACCACATAGACAACACGCTTGAGCCACACGGTGATTAAACTAGTGCAGCAAAAAACTAAAATACAATTTCTAATAAGTTTCTGACTGTGTGTAAACATGTGTCTCATAGTGTGGCTGTGTGATTGAATCTGTTGCGTTTCCAAATGTGTTGTGCTGTACTCTGACATAGCCCCATACCCTTTGTCTAGAGCTGGTGGGATACAGTTGTGTCTGCCTGCCTATCTCACAGGCAATGATGATTTTCAGAAACTTGGACTCAACTCATTGTGTCTTGTCTTGTCAGTTCATTGTAAAGCTGAGGAGATCTGATGTTTTCGAGGGCCCAAACAAATTTCTCTCACAGCAGTCTGTGATCACTAGCTTTAGCTTCAGAATTAATCACAGAGAAACAACATAATGTTATGGGGATACAGGGAAAATATTAGAATTTAAATGAAGAGGCTTCATTCTGTGGTAAAATAACAAGTATGGGGATAAACTAAACAATATAAGAATTGAAAGCAGTAGGCATTTCAGGAATAAAAAGATGGAATATCTGAAAGACAAAATTGATGAAGTTGCAACAGACACTAACTCACACATTCATGGAGCTGAGCCCTTCTTGAGAAACCACCAATTGTGCAACTACTCAAGAACTTCCATGTATCTTATGGAACCCAAAACTTCATTACTTTGTTCACAAGAGCACTCCAATAGTCCATATCCTAAGCTAGATCGATCCTATCCATACCATCCGATCCTACTTCTCTAAGCTCAATTTTAATA